GCAGGCAGCGGCAGCGGGAAGCGGACAGCGGACAGCGGACAGCGGACTGCGGCAGCGGGAAGCGGACAAGGGACAGCGGCAGCGGGAAGCGGACAGGCAGCCGGGAAGCGACAGCGGCAACGGGAAGCGGACAGCGGGAAGCGGAAACAGCGGGAAGCGGGGACAGCGGGAAGCCCGGAAGCGGGAAGCGGACAGCGGGAAGCGGGACAGCGGACAGCGGGGAAGCGGGAAGCGGGAAGCGGACAGCGGGAAGCGGACAGCGGACAGCGGACAGCGGGCAGCGGGAAGCGGACAGCGGACAGCGGACAGCCGGCAGCGGGAAGCAGACAGCGGCAGCGGGAAGCGGACAGCAGGCAGCGGCAGCGGGAAGCGGACAGCGGACAGCGGGACTGCGGCAGCGGGAAGCGGACAACGGACAGCGGCAGCGGGAAGCGGACAGCGGCAGCGGGAAGCGGGACAGCGGGAAGCGGACAGCGGCTAGCGAGAGGCGGACAGCGGGGAAGCGGACAGCGGACAGCGGCAGGCGGACAGCGGACAGCGGGAGGCGGACAGCGGGAAGCGGACAGCGGGAAGCGGACAGCGGACAGCGGACTGCGGCAGCGGGAAGCGGACAGCAGGCAGCGGCAGCGGGAAGCGGACAGCGGACAGCGGACTGCGGCAGCGGGAAGCGGACAACGGACAGCAGCAGCGGGAAGCGGACAGCAGCAGCGGGAAGCGGACAGCGGCAGCGGCAACGGGAAGCGGACAGCGGACAGCGGACAGCGGACAGCGGCAACGGGAAGCGGACAGCAGGCAGCGGCAGCGGGAAGCGGACAGCGGACAGCGGCAGCGGGAAGCGGACAGCGGACAGCGGACTGCGGCAGCGGGAAGCGGACAACGGACAGCGGCAGCGGGAAGCGGACAGCGGCAGCGGGAAGCGGACAGCGGCAGCGGGAAGCGGACAGCGGGAAGCGGACAGCGGGAAGCGGACAGCGGATAGCGAGAAGCGGACAGCGGGAAGCGGACAGCGGGAAGCGGACAGCGGACAGCGGGAAGCGGACAACGGCAGCGAGAAGCGGACAGCGGGAAGCGGACAGCGGACAGCGGGAAGCGGACAGTGGACAGCGGGAAGCGGACAGCGGGAAGCGGACAGCGGACAGCGGACTGCGGCAGCGGGAAGCGGACAGCGGACAGCGGCAGCGGGAAGCGGACAACGGCAGCGAGAAGCGGACAGCGGCAGCGGGAAGCGGACAGCGGCAACGGGAAGCGGACAGCAGGCAGCGGGAAGCGGACAGCGGACAGCGGACAGCGGACAGCGGACAGCGGACAGCGGGAAGCGGACAGCGGGAAGCGGACAGCGGATAGCGAGAAGCGGACAGCGGGAAGCGGACAGCGGACAGCGGGAAGCGGACAGCGGGAAGCGGACAGCGGATAGCGAGAAGCGGACAGCGGACGGCAGCAGCAGCAGCGGGCATTTTTTTTTTTTTTTTTATTTAATTCTCTTTCCTTTTACAGTTTCGAGCTTTCGGTCTTCTTTGTCTTTTGTCTCTAATTTTTCTATTTCCCTACTTTTATGTTTAAGGAGTTTTTTATTTAAACTTTGTTTTTTATTTTAATTTGTTTCTCTTTTTATTCTAATTTGTTCCCTTCTTTTTCTTATTTTTTTTTCTTTTTCAGAATGTGGGTCTCTCAGCCGACATCAGTAGCAGCGGACAGCGGACAGCAGCAGCAGGCAGCGGACAGCGGACAGCGGCAGCGGGAAGCGGACAGCGGGAAGCGGACAGCGGCTAGCGAGAGGCGGACAGCGGGAAGCGGACAGCGGGAAGCGGACAGCGGACAGCGGGAGGCGGACAGCGGACAGCGGGAGGCGGACAGCGGGAAGCGGACAGCGGGAAGCGGACAGCGGACAGCGGACTGCGGCAGCGGGAAGCGGACAGCGGGAAGCGGACAGCGGATAGCGAGAAGCGGACAGCGGGAAGCGGACAGCGGACAGCGGGAAGCGGACAGCGGACAGCGGGAAGCGGACAGCGGGAAGCGGACAGCGGGAAGCGGACAGCGGATAGCGAGAAGCGGACAGCGGACGGCAGCAGCAGCAGCGGGCATTTTTTTTTTTTTTTTTATTTCTCTTTCCTTTTACTGTTTCGAGCTTTCGCTCATATATGTCTTTTGTCTTTAATGTTTCTATTTCCCTACTTTTATGTTTAAGGAGCCTTTTATTTAAACTTTATTCTTTATTTTAATTTGTTTCTCTTTTTATTCTAATTTGTTCCCTTCTTTTTCTTATTTTTTTTTCTTTTTCAGAATGTGGGTCTCTCAGTCGACATCAGCAGCAGCGGGCAGCGGGCAGCTGCAGCAGCAGCAGCGGGAACCAGCAGCAGCAGCGGACAGCGGGCAGCGGGCGGCAAGCGGCAGCAGTAAAACAATCGAATCGTTCGTAATTCATATCATTAGCATAATATACTATGAATTTTCTACGTTATATATTGAATCGAAATAGCGCGAAAGAGGAAAAAAAGTACAAGCCTATGAATAGACATTTCCATCCTTTACTAAAAGAAAAGAAATTAAAAATATCTCTTAATTTTATTTCTGTTTCTTCGGGCAAGTCTACATATATTACCAATATGATTAATTGATTCCATCTTTATATATTTATCATTATGTGCTATTAATTAAAGCCGTAGACAATATTCAGTTATCAAAGTTGCGCGCTGGAATGGCCATGCGCAGAAACGAATGCGCACTGATTCGGCCGCCATGTTGGCGCGTGACTGCGTTGTCACTGCGACGTCACTGCTACGTCAAACGCGTCATACGGCCGCCATGTTGGCGCGTGATTCGGAGTCATACGCAGTTACACGGATCGTCGTACGTCCGCATTTTTCGCATCTTTTAATCGTTTTTAAACGAATATCACGAGTGAACGAGCGTCGAGAGTGTTCAAGGATGATCGCGCGACTTTCATAGTGAGTCGATGGAAACGCGCGACAGCGATTTTTGACGATATTCAGTGATGGCGTCATCGCGAAGATGGAGCGAAGTTGCGTCGCGTTATTCGCGCCCTTGATGATGATTATCGGATGCGAGCGAGTATCGGGAGTGCCGCATAAAGTGTCGCGCGTTCGCGTTGATGATATCGTTTGAATTTGTGTGCATCAAGATCGGAATGGGACGTCCCGAGGCGAGCGAACTGTCCCGAGGAGGAGCGGCCTGTGGAACAGCCGCCTGAGTAGATTTGATTTATCATATTTGCGTGACAATTCGTGCTCATTCGACGCTTATACAGCATCGCGATGTCCCGAATTTCGGACAAATCGGCGCCGCATCATAATTCGATTCGGTGCAATTCAAATAAGTCGATCGCGTGAAGATGATTATGCTAGAAGCGATTTGAATTTTGTATACGCGCGCGCAGTGCTGCACAGACAGCCTATCTCGTAGGGTTGCCAACTGTTAAACGATAAATTTGTTTGATCTAACCTAACCTAACCTCTCAGTGTCTTTGGATATCGAATGTAAACACAAGCGTATGCTGCCTGGATTGTATCATGCTTTAAAAAATAATATTTAATTATTTCCTTAATGTATTACATTTTAGTACGTAATATATTAATCGTATTAAATGTGCGACGTAGAGTTTTACACATTTTAATGAGTAGCATATAATATAATTGGTTAGGTTAGATTAAATTAAAACAAGCTGCTGTGATTCATTTAACGTAATAGGATTAATTTGACGAATGTGCAGCTATTGAAGTTACATGATATTTGTGGACACATTTTTAAAGTAATCATGAGTGTCTTATCACATCTCGATTACATGAAATTAAAATATAAAATATTTATGTATTCCACATTAACGTTATTCATTACAAGTACTATATTACTACATTACAAGTACTTTTCTTATATCTCAATCATATTCAACCATTTATTTCATCGATGAAGCTTTTCATATATCGCAGACAATATGATACTGCGTGTGGAATTTTACACAGGTAATACATGGCACAAAAATAATTTGCTCTCAAGTATTGTGTGCATTTCTCAAAAATAAATCAAATTAAATTATTTTCAGAATCCAAACATCGCTACATTGCCAGGATTGTATCTTATTATAACTGCGATATTATCACCTTTTAATATGTGTGCGCAGTATTACATACATAAAATATATAAATTTATTTGAAACGTACAGAAATCTTTATCATATTTATAATATTTATGATATAAAAGAAAATTGCAACTCTAATGAAACAGAGCGGTGGAATAATTGGTTGACACTTATGCTGATCTATAATATTTATCCTTTTTTCATCATTAGATTTTTGGTGCTTTTTTTATTATACAGATGTTATCTGTAAATATAGTACTTGTAATGTTGCTTCTGTATCACTGTAAGCTCACAAAAATGATAGCATTTGCAGGTAATTATGTTATACTTATATATCATAAGAAAGAGAAAATAAAATTAAAGTTGAATACTGAATGTGCTCTAAAGTAAATCTCATCTAAATAAATAAATGCATAAATGTGCGCCCCACATTCCCCATGAAAAAAATACATAATATTAATTTTTATGTATTATTATTATTAGATTTTTATTCTTTTAAATTCTTTAGATGCACTTTTCATTTCTCCTCTCTTTCTTTCCAACTACTAAATATAGATCTATCATTTTTAATATAGATCTGTCATTTTTAGTGTACATTATTGCAGTAAGTGGAATAAAGAGCAAATTTTTTGGCACATTTAAAATGTACAGGAAAGTCAGTTTTATCTGATGCGTTTTTTTCAATAGAAATATCTGAAAAAAATGCATATTCATTACACATTACACATTTTCTTACCAGTGTATTCCTTATATGTAGGAATATACATTAGTCTTTGACCAGCCCTATTTTTAACCGTCTTTAGGGATGCTTTGGCTTTTGATAACGCAAATCTAGCTAATCCATTTCCATTTCCAGTTACTATAAATGAACTGATTCTAGTCTTACGTGCTAAATTACCGGTCATACAAGTTATCATTTTTTTTCCAAAATCCAGGTTTCAAAACTTTCAAATGTATCTGCACAAAACAAAGATATTAATTATATAAGATTCTAATATTTAGAACTGAAACATAAAAAAAAAATTGAAAATAGACATCATATCCCATGATTTTGGTATGTGTGTGATTCAACCATTATAATCCAATAATAGCATAAATATTAACCTTTTCCAATAAGATCTGATTCAATGCTTCTGCCATCCATTGTAACACTCGTCCAACCATATTCCAATGGCGATAATTTGATTTGCATTGGTCTGGTTTGACTTTGTGGTAATTCCATAAGTTTTTGCTTTCTTTCAAGATTTACAAGCAATTTTTGCTGTTGAATTAATTCTTTTCCTCTAAACACAGGAGTGTTTAGACCAGGAAATTGTATTGGAATTTTTCCCATGCCAATAATTTGCTCCTTATTTAGGAGCTCTCTCTTTTCACTACTCTTCTTGCTCTACCTCTGCGTCTTCCTGCATTACTGATACTTGTCACACTCTTTCATAATTCATCTTCAGGTCCTATAGAACAAAAGCACAGTGAAATACAAATTATTTTCTACTGTAAATATAAACTGTTATCAAAATGCTATCCATAAAAGTTTTACTTACTATTCGCAAAAAAATATAGAGTTTCTCACATTATTTAATAAAGTGACTATTTTTAATAAATGTGAATGACTGACAAGCAATAAATTAAACAATATTAAACAATAATATACCTGAAAAAAATTTCATAATTTTATTAGAGTTAAATTGATAAATTAATTTTAAATACACATTATATGTTAATTACATATAATGATTTAGAGACAGTGATATATTTCATTTGCGTTACCATTGTTTACAGATTGAACATTTTTTATCAAATTATTTATAACTCTAAATATGTAGCATACGACAAGCCATTTTTAAAATCTATAAAACAAACAACAAATTTGTTCATAATTTTCACTCTTTTTTGTCATAGTCTGCTTTTAGGCGACCTTAAAGTCACTAGATTAACAAAGTACCGCAATTTTGATCTCAATAAGATAAGCTGGAGAAAAAATGGCGTCCGATACCAACGGGACACAGGACAAATCAGGATCAAGATTAGAAAAATTGCACTTAGTATAGATAGCTACACAAAGTGTGCACTATCTGCACCATAGACCTTACAGATATGGACTGGCAATTGCCTATAGTTCTGTAGAGAAGCAGTGTCCGGAGGAGGTTAGAGAGAGAAACATACTTTTTAGTACTTCTCTTTCTACAAGTGTCCGAAAGTATGCATTGCACTTGTAGAAAGAGAATTACCAAAAAGTATGTTTCTCTCTCTAACCTCCTCCGGACACAGTCTGATACGTATTGCCAGTCCATACTTATAAGGTCTATGATCTGCACTATCGGACGCCATTTTTGCTCCATCTTATCTTATTGAGATCAAAATTGCGGTACTTTGTTAATCTAGTGACTTTATCAACAAAGCTCTCCAAACTCCATCTAGCAGAGATGTGCGTCTCTATTCTTCTTGAAGCATGTCAAGGTACGTGTGATATGGCTGTAAGAATAATTCAAGAGATTTATTTTATTTGTACAAAGCTAAATGTTCTTGAATGTAACAAAGTAATTAAATTCACAAGGGTGGTAAATAAATATATATCTTAATTCTCTCATTACTCCTACAATAGAGTAGCAGATTAGTGAAATTTTACCTTATTATTGTGCACACATACATTGTGCTTTTTGTAAACAAAGTATGGATATACGTGTGATGCATAATGAAAGTGAAGAAGGAGAAATTGTATCAGACTTTGAAGAAGATTTCACAGAAGAATTATGTAATTTGCCTCACATCTTAAAATTTATATGTAAGCTACGTAACCATATTAGGAAGCAGCGCAAGAAAATTAATAAACTACGAAACAAACTCGATGAACAGGTATATATATTTGGTAAAATATCTAAAATATTATTGATGTGATGCGTAAACTTTACATTTGTTATATGTATATACATTAATATAAATTTTTTTAATACATCTTTAATATAAATTATGATTATTTATTGTAGAAACATCAAAATTTGCTTTCTGCTAAAACATTTGTAGACTGTGGGACTCAGACAGATCCGCTTAATCTTGATAAATCATTATTGCAAGACTGGAATATTAGTAATGATGTTAAATCATCTAGTATAGTAGATCAAGTAAAGCAAGTAGCAGAATCAGCTTTATTTCAAAGCGGTTTTGTTTATGAAGAAACATCAGGAATGTATTATGATTATAATACTGGATACTATTATGACACAGTATGTATTATAATATATTATATATTATATTATCCTTACTCTATTGTAATATTTTTCTTGTAAATATATAAACACAACAAAAAATATTATTTTGTAGAGCCAAGGTCTGTATTATGATGGAAATACTGGGATATATTACTACTATGATGAAGCTAGTAATACCTATCAATTCCACAGTCAAGTTTGTGTAAATGAGGATACTACTGTACAGCTTCCCATTTCCCAAAAGAAAGAAGAAAGAAAAACTGGGAAAACAGATAAGGTTGTTAATTATAAACTTATGAAATTTTAATTCTATGCATGTGTCACTACTCATTTTCTTGTAAAAAAAATATTTAATATATTGTTTTCATTTACAGGTTTTAGACAAAATAGATGAATTAACAAAAGGCCTGTCAGATATAGCAACCAACAAATACAGAAAACAAGCCTTAGGTATAACTATATTATGCTTTTAATATATATACATGTCTCTCTTGTAGGATGATGTAAAAAAACGAAAAATTATAAGCGAAGAAGATTCGGAAGATAAAGAGCCTGAGGAGGGTGAATGTTCAGAAAACGAGAAAGACGATATTTCTGATGAAATATCTCCTAATATATCTACTAATAGTGAAAGCGACTCTGAAGAAGAATCAGGTTTATTTTAGTTTTTAGTTTATAAATTCGTTATTCTTCAATTATTTGTTACAAGATACACACACACACACACACACTCTCTCTCTCTCTCTCTCTCTCTCTCTCTCTAAAGATTAATAATATTAATTTTAATTTTACATTTGTTTATATAACATTAGAATGTAATTATATACATTACACATTTTTTAATTTAATAGTATTTATTTTGAAATATTGATATAATTTTAGTATATATTATGATTTATGTGAAAAAGACGGATAAAATAGTATTTTACATAGTTTTCAATTATTGTTTCAAATATTGTTTTTCTCTTTCTTATTATAAGAATGCAGTTTGCTACGGAAATTTTGGATTTTTCCATTGCTGATTTCATCAAATAAATTTTATCATAAAATTCAAAAGAAAAGTCTTTTATGCAACAAGATAAATTATTTTTTATTTCAGATTTAGCAAAAAGTTATCCACCTTGTATGAGGATTATTACAAAGGAAACAGATTTACCAAAATTAAAAGTAGGCTCTCTTTTTCTCGTGACATGTATAGGAGGTACATTAGGTCGAGAAGGAGATCATTCGGTACTAATACCTGATATAAATGTTAGCAAGGTATAATATATTATAACAATACATTATATATTAATATATATTTGTATACATATATATTTATAATAATTTATGTATTATGTTTTGTATATTTACAGCATCACGCACGTTTTATATATGATGAAACTAAGAAACAATACCGTATAATAGATTCTGCTTCAAGAAATGGTACATTTTTGGATGGCAAGAGATTATCAGTAGCTAAACAAGAATCCGAAGCTCATGAGATAAAGCATGGCTCAGTTATAAAAGTTGGCGGGACAAAACTGTTGTGCCATATTCATAACGGAAATGAAACGTGCGGTCATTGCGAGCCAGGCCTCGTGCAACAAAATATCAGTCTCGATGAAAATAAAGCTTCCAAGAAGGAACTTCACAAAGAAGAATTACGACGTTTGAAGCACAAGTTTGGATTTGCAAAAGATAATATCATATCTAGTCAATTGGCTTCGGGTTATCAAGATAGAGCGCAAGCTAGGAGACAATATGTAGGTTCCTCGCATCATCGTGTTAAAACAGAACAGACTTCTGTCCACACGTGAGTACATTATAATATTTAGATAAAAAGATAAACGCGTCCTGTATAAATATTCCAAAGTTCTAACGCAGATATTTATTCAATCAGATCGATCGCGAAGGATAATAAAGGATTCAAAATACTTTCGAAAATGGGTTGGTCCGAAGGTCACTCCTTAGGCAAAGACGGGGACGGAATAACGGAACCCGTGAGTGTTCTTCTTAATCTAAGCTTAATAATTATATTAATTTTTATCCCGCGAAAAATCACCAACATTTATCTCATCATTGAATTGATTACTAATATGAAAAAGATGACGGCAAATATAGGTTGCATATTACATAACAAGTGCTCATAAAAGGAAAGAATAGCCGAATTGTTAATCTACTTCAAAATAGCGCATCAAATACTTCTAATTTAATACGATCCGGACTAGACTCGCGACGCGCATGTGTGTTGAAAAAGGAAAACAAATCAAGAAGAGCCGACACACACACGCGCGCGCGCGCGCGCACACACACACACACGACTCATTAGCCGGGCGATCGCGGGAAATCCGTGATCTCTCCCCCCTTTCTCCCCTATCTTCGGTCGCATCGCGCCGATCTGGATCCTGGGTTGCCCCCGTCGTGTCGCATTTCGACGGCGAACGAAATGAGCGGCGTTGCTGCGGAGCAGAGCATTCGTATGATAACGAGCGTAACTCTGCGAAATGCGGAATGGCGAAAGAAGAGACCGCCCGGATCGCGGGTGGGTACCGAGGAGGGGGAGGAGGAGAGGGGGGTAATGAATGCAAATGTATTGAAATCCAAATCATTATTTTGTCTAGACGCATCGTATGCCCCATTGCATACAGTCGGCGGTGGTGCTTGTGCGCGTAAAAGGATTAAAGGGTGGGATATAAGGGGACTGTTATTTTCTCTCGTCTGTACTTCTGTCCACTGTCGCCTCACCACCCATTTGCTCGTCCTGTTGTCCCAGCCTGCTCTCTCTCTCTCTCCCCCCTCCCCCCTCTCCTCCCCACCCTCACCGTTTCATCTTTTTTGTCAAATTTGTCCCCGCCGTTCAAACCGTTGCTTCCGCTAGATATAGAGAGCCGCTCGCGCTTTTTGCTCGTAAAGCATCGTCGCTGTTAGACGCAGGCTGTATTTTCTACGTAGCATGGTTCCCATGGGGATCTCTCTTTGATTTTCTTTTAAATAAACAAATGTGTGTAACGCGAGATTGAAAGAAAAGTTCGAACGAAAGCGTGCATTTGTATTCGAAACTTTAATTATCGAAATAGGAGATTTTCATTATCGATAGAAGAATCAGATCTTAATTTTAATTATGTATATATAACGCATATATATATAACGTATCGTATTTAACGGATTACATCTCGCTCGCGCACATCTGTCTTCATCATCGTGTCATCTGGCGTTTTACTGTTTTGCTGCCTCTACGAAATGTCCCGGTTTTTTTTCTTCGGTAAGAATTCCTTTAACATACGTTCAACCTCGCGTTCATCAGACGTAATGTTTTCCCGCTAGGTTTTGCTCGTAAAACACCGCCACTTTAGGACAGTGGAATATACCTTGTACATTATGTAGCTTGTAGACGTTGGGGCTAACAATTTTTTTTTTTAATACAATTAGACGCAATGACAGTACGCACAAAACACGAGAATATTAGTCTTGAAATAAATTCTGATCACGCACGTGACGGAAATGTCATTTATTTAAAAACTAAGGATATTAATAAAACTGAATCTTTTTTTAATCAACGAGTAAACTCTCCAAGAGTGGACTTTAAATTATATATCATCGATATTCTAGTCTATTATTTGCATTCTTTTTTCTCTCCTTTCTCTTTGCAAAAAATTAGTTTGAGTTTAAAATCTCGATCTACAAAATATCTGATCCGGCTATATTTTTTTTATTTCTTCACGATTGCAAGAACTAAATTCAGTTTATTTTCGAGCTTTTAATTTTTTGTTAATATCGCGCCTTGAGGAAGGAAAGGAATCTTGCAGAAGAAAAAACTCGCTCGTCAGAATAAGATTCGAGATCACTCTCGTTCGCTGATCTTATCTAGCGTATTGACGTTCACCGTTGCATTGCCATCGTAGACAGCCATTTCGCTTTTACATTGGATTCGTTTTTACATCACCGTCGTCTTTACGCGCGCCGCTCACGCGGAGAGTTGCAGCCTCGAGTGCGTTTCACGGAGATGTGACCTATATCGTAAACGACAGAGACGGAGAAAGAGAGGAGCCGAGAAACGGAAAGGAGACACTCGTTGAGACGGTTGAGAGCCCGTAAACCAGACACATTGTAAAGCCCGCGAATGACGATTGCCAGTAAACCGCGAGATATAAAAGCGTCGCGGAAGAGGACTATGTTACGTGGCCTCTGCGTACGCAAGGCCATGCTGTACTTTAACGGGGCTAAAATCTCGGCGGATTCATTTATCTGAGTGCTTTACCGGCCGACGAGTGCGTACGATTACGAATTACAAAGGTGCGCTTTGCCATCTCGCACGAAATACATTTATTTGTTGTTGCGATCACCTCATTGTATCATTTGCCAATCGTAATAATCGCATTTAAATAAAAAAAAATACATAAAATAAAATTAGCGACTAGTAGTCTGAAAATTCTCAATGAAATGATGGAGTAGATAACGAGATTGCAAAGTTGCATTCCTCTTTCTCGTCTGATTTCTCATAGTCGTGTAAATGTTACGATCTTTTTGAATATACTTTATATACATAAACCGCAATCAATGTTTGTAGCGAACACTCGGACCGTGAAATAATCGCAAACTGCATCCGGAAACTGCAACGATTTCATTTTATGGACTTCCCTGAATATCGACTGCCATTTCACGGATACAACGCGAGCGCGTACACCTCCTTTTACGATTTACATCCATTTCCATATTGCATCTGTTTGCGGTTTACAATTCTCACTGGCGGGAAAAACTCGTCTGATTAATGACGCGATAAATAATCTCAAGTTACTGGCTAACATAATAAGGATTCTCCGTTGCTTCCGTAAATCGTAGTCTATAAAAGAGATATCTCTCTCTGATTTTTTGCCGCGGAAACGTAAATCGTCGATCGACCGATACGATCAACACAATATGTATATAAGACGGAACTTGCTAAATAAGATAATGTTAAAGGATGTAAACAGTTCGTCGAGAGAAAAATTGCGCAAAACAATTTATTCTGCAGGACAAGTCCAGATGGAATCAGTTAATTAATCCGCCTTAGGTTTAACTTAAATTATACCCCTTTACTTCTCTTTAATTATATTTCTTTGTAGACGTTATATCTGGCATTGATCTCGAATGGAGAGACATGTTTTGCAAGCGCACTGCATACGCGAAAACAACGGAGACACACGGGATTGTGTCTCGCGAAAACTTGTTGTTGCCGCTCACCTTTTATTTCTCACCGCTTATTTTCTTTCTTGCCGCGCCGTCTATTTATTCGCCGCATCTTTTCTCTTCCGACGAAAACAATGATAGCGATGAAAGGAAAAAAAAAGAAAGAGAGAGAAATAGAGGGACTTGGCGGAAGTTGATCGCGAGATGTACGTGGTTCTCTGCCATTCTCAGGCATTACGATGGAACGCAAGGTCGTTTTGCTATTACGTAATGCAGAGAGGTAGAGGCTGCAGGAATGCACTGAGGATTCAGTCTATCCTTCCTTCGATCGCTTCGACAAGTCCGCATTGGAGCTCGGGGCAAACCTGTAAACGATAGACGACTGAGAAAGAAATCAATTCATTTACAGACATCGAGAGTATCCCTTTTCTTTCACGATTTTCGTGTTATTTGGCGATTTTACTCTTTTTCGTTTACACATGTTTAATATATTTTAAACGGAGCGTAAAAAAATGTTTAGCATGTAAAATCTGACGGTTTTAATATTAGAGTGTAAATTTTTTTTTGTTAAGAATTGCCTACATGAATGAAAATTGCGCTTATTCTTCTTATATATTTTTTTATATTAATTTTATACTGTATTTTAAATATAATATATTTTAAATAATATATTTTAGATATAGTATAAAATATATATATATATTTAATTAATTAATTTATAATATATATACTTGTTTGTGCAAATGATATTAAACTTTAATCCAAATGAAAATAGAATGTTTTGAATGCATTACTCGCGAAAACAAGGTAGGCAAACGAATAAGAGCAAATCGCAGATGTTGATTCCCATGCCTTCGATTATTTTACGATAACTTGTTGTTGCCATCCATCTCCCTTTCGTTCCTTCCTTTTACTCTCTTCTCTACCGTCTATTTATTCGCCCTTTTACTTTGGCGACAACGAAAACAGCGCTAAGAAAAAAGGAGAAAGTAGAACGCGCGCCTATCTCGCGCGAATATTTGCGAGTCGGGTCCAACGAAAGACAACAGTAAACAAGTTGATTTCCTACGTATTCTCTCGATAATACTCTCGATACGATCGAAACAAATTGAATATATATATCTTGTTTCGATTAAATATCGATTACATTTATCACTCAGAGAAAGATTATTTCATCTGTCGTAAAAAATAATTAATATATTCACGAATCACATTCAATATACTCTTCTCATAAAATTTAACACACAACTTATTTACCTAGCTTTCTAATTATTTTCGGCAATAATTAAAATATCTCTTTTAAGATAGAAAATGCTAATATATTGTATATCTTTTTATCATCTCGCGTAATAATCAGGAAGGAAATTTGATGGAGCGAATGATGAAGCGATGAACTTTACGATATATGTGTACAGATTAAGATAAAAATGTGAAACTGACTAAAGAGAGTATCAGAGGAAAGTTTGGAGACTAGAAGATAGAAAAGAGAGAAAAGTGAACTTGGTAGTCGCACGTTCGGAAGACTCAGAAGGCAACAGGTGGGAATCTCTCTCTATAGTCTCACAAATAAATCCAACGCAAACATCTCTATTGTCTAAGGATTATTTGTTCGTTGACTAAATGTAGATACTAAATAGATAAAGTAGCGGCTTTTACCTTATTCTCTATTGACCTCCTTTAGTTTTTCACAATTATTTCTTCTTTCTATGCGAGTCTTCTTGAAGAAAAAAATTCTCTCTACTCTCGTGTTATCCGTTTGTTTTCTTTTCTATTTAGAGAAATTTCCTTTTCTCTCTTTCATCTTTTTTTGTTTCCTTTTATCTTATTTTATCTTATTTTTAGCGCTGATGACATCGGATAGATAAGAGAGAACTCCATCTAAAATTGAAAGCATTTTGATTAATGACATTCGAGCAAAATTATACGTGATCTTGAAATGCAAAGATGCATCTATGATAAATTAAGCAACTATTATACATTTAATGAACATGATACTCATAAAAATAATGCGTGACAAATTCGTACACATAATCAAAGCAAATTTCAAATGTAATCTAAACATTCCCTTTCAAATATTATTCCTGTTCAGAAATGCAGAATTGTCTCTGTCACTAACGTCGTAGCATCTAAATTTTTAGGAAAAACAAAGATGTTTACACCGATAGATAATTTTTGAACCGTTTTAACTTTGCAAAAATTTTGGAGAGACTCGAAGAATATGTGCGGAACCGTAGCGAAGAGATTCTGCATTTTCCGTAGGCAATGCGAGATCTATCGGATTCCCTCGAGGGAGAGACACGCGTGTAGACGTAAACGAAATTAACCAGAGCTCAGCCAGGAGGAAGCGGATGCGAGTGCATAATTCTGTGCATACATAGGAGGTCCGTATACGCGGCGGGTGCACGTATCGGCTTAACAGTCGGCATTGCCGCACACAAGCGCACGTTTGTTTGTATATTGGTTTGCGTCCGTATAACGTTAGTTAGCTAGGAATATACAATCCAGTCAGGAGCGGTCGATTGGTCTAGACGAGGTGTGTGTATATGCCCGCACAGCACACGTTGGCCGAATAATCGTCCCGGTATCGACATACAAATATGTACAATGAGAGATTTATTAATTACAGCAAGCGGGGGCGGCGCTCGACGAGACGCATACGTCTCGATCAACGCGAATCGCGTCCATCGGATCGGATCGGATCTGGGTTTCCGATTCGAATGCAAAGTAATTATAGCGTATCCGAGCGGCGAGTCATCTTTTATCATCGCGCGACGATTCGTTTGATTAAGCGTTGATTTGTCATTTCACGCGTTACTTTAATGCTTAAGTATAGAGAGTATATCCGACGTATATGGACCATACATACCACGCGGGAGACGTCGGTTGCCCTATCGCCGCCAGACGGCTTCCGTCTGGGTAAACACACCGATATACCGAACACAGTCTGGCTGGTAGGGCTTACCGACTACCTAGAGACATCCATCACAGGATTATCGCGGGAGGTGCGCTCGCGCGCGGTTAGAACGTGTGACGTCCATGTATGCGTACGATCGGTATGCATAAACCTCTGTTCGTGTACCTCGTCTGCATCTCTACGTCCACATCTCATCGGGCTAAGCGTACGGTCTCTCTGCCCCGTCCTATACCGTACTTTGTCCGATTCTCACTTCCGATTCTCCGGTTGCTGCTTCCGAGATTATACGCTCACGCGTCCGTTTTCACTCTGCAATAAGAGTAAAGACACGTAATATGTAAAATACAATTCTTATCGAATCTGATCTCGATGAAAGATCTGCGGGATTGAGCTAATGAATCGTGTGTTCGATGCGTATCTTGAGCAATTTAAAATTTAGAAAATCTAGAGTCTATCATAAGAAACAATCACATAAATGCATTTTCTAATTAGTTGTATGTTAACATGCAGTTTAGTAAATGAAAGGTTTCGGAAATGATGCAAAGTGTGCCTGGTTAAACATTTGCGCCAATATTTTCATCGACTTAATTTTTTTTAAATTAAGTTGACGAGGACTCTAATCTAATCCTGACCGGCATCGACTCGTAAGATATCTTCTACCGATTTAAAATAAATTTTTCTCGATGGAATTGTACATTTCTCCGGGCGTACGTTTCGCGCGGAAACATTTCGATTACAATGGATACGAGAGAGAGAAAGGGGACCGAGGGAGAAAGAGAAGCTTGACGTTTATTTGAGAGTCGCGGCGCGGTGCAGTCGACGATGTATTCGGAGGTGGAGACAGAGGAGGAAAAGGAAGGAGGAGGTGGCGACGGCGGCGGTGGCAGACACACTGGCAGCGTTGTAAACGAGCAAAGTTTCGAACCCAATATGCTGTCTCCGCGCCGGAGCCCATATTCAAGCTGTCAAGGTGCGGCGCACGTGCGTCCACGTCGCTTCCCGGTATGCCAGACGGGTAAACCGGGACAAACTTTCGAACTGGCACAGACCGTCTGGTACCCTACCACCGTCGCGTCAGAGAACCCGCGAATTCCTAATATGTTATTGTACGTCGGCACCGTTTTGTTCGTACGATCGACCACACGGTGTCTGGGTTCTCGACCCAGGAATTTCCTTCCTCTCTCTTATCGAGCGTGTATCGGTATCGAGCATTCGCCGCCATCGACTGCATCGGTTCATCGGTTGTCGGTCGCACGAGATTTTCAATCCTTTCTGCGAGAGACTCGATGCTCTGCCACTTGTATTTTTTCGCGGCCGCCAATTGACGCGTTGCCCCTTGCCCGCGATAGAGTTTTGCGCGCCGCACGCACGTACGCACACGCACGCACAATCGATGCATCTCGACGAATCGGGGTACGCATATGCATTAAACGTGTCTGGGGTTGAACGATGAATTAAGCGGGAGAAGAGAGAGGCGGGAGGGGAGGAAGGCAGACGTCGCGACATGTCTGCGCCATCTAATCGGTAATCACGGTGCATTGCCTCCTCTCGGCTGTGTCGTTCGACACGTCAACCGGTGTGGCCTATTTGCCTATTTTCTACCCTCCCAGCTTTCGCCCTCGCGTCAGACGAGACTGTCAATTTACTTTGTCGTGTATCAACACGCGTTATTCGATTCGGCAATTCGCGGTCTTTTCCTCCTTTTTTTGCTTTTTTGCAAGACTGTAAACAGAATTTCAAGCAAATTTTCCATTAAAGTCGATTTTTATTTCAATCTCGGCTCGTATAAATAATGAAACTGTGAATATATGCGAGAGATGACTGACATTATTACTAGGCTGAAAGCTATTTTAGTCTCCTCCTTATAATAAACTTACGAAATCTAGGTCGTGTGGTGCTGAGACTAGACAAAATAATTTAGTAATCCGACGGTGACATCCGACGGGAGACGCTGTTTAATGAATATCTTATACCGGTCGTCTTTTCAGCATAGTTTGCTCCGCCATGCAGACCCTTGTCTGTCTCTCTCTTTAATATCATCGATCCATCTACGTTAACCGTAAGGCTAATAATTATCTCGATTGACAATCTCGAAATAGCATTAATTCGGGCGCGATAATAAATAATCTAATTGACTTTTTGCTTGATCGACCCAGAACGCGAATTGCACTCAATTTTGGACTTTGATATCCTGTTGCCCTTTTAATGATTGAATTGAACCGATAAATATTTCTAAATATTTGTCGATTAATCAAGTTCTGTCAAGAATGAAAACAATTAAAGTTAACCGATATGAAATAAAGCGATAATGAACACAATTCTCGTAAAAGATTCTTTCTTTTTGGCGATAATGGCTATGAACAAGAAGAGAAAACGAATCGGCGAGCGAGTTATAATATATATGCAAGTGGTCTAGACAGTCCAGACAGATGCATCATCGCTAGCATCATCGAGCGAGAAAGCGAAACTCCCGAGTTGGGCCTTTTCGCTCCTCGACTCTCGCAAGCTCGTCAATCGAGTAACGACCGCGGTCGTTTTACGTGTTCTACGGTCGTTGCACGATTGTCATCGGCATGAATTCTTAGTGTTTCCTTTAGGCGATCCTCTCGTTTATAAGGGCAGAATAACAAGTAATTTCTATTCCATCGCGCGCGAGATTAAATCATATTTCTTATCGAGAAATTTGCGATATATAAAATGAATAAAGTAATTAGCAAAGTATATGCGTGGGCGGAAATTTGTCGGCTAATGAGACTGTGATAAAGTACTTTGAGAAAAAGAGCGACCCTTTTCCTTTCATTGTTTTCCACCGTACTTGAGTCTTTTTGTCTCTTCTTTTCTTCGTGCTAAGTAAGTCAAGTAACGACGGTAGTAGATACGGTCTTGTTTGGAGCGTAGACGGGGATGCCACTTGGCCTAAATAGAGCGACGGGTTCACTGGATTTTGGCGGAGAGAGAACTTGGCGCAAAACTGAAACTATGATTTCCTCGTTGGCAACTATATTTAATCCGCCTGAAAAATTAATGAGAGCGATTTAAAATTAAATTAAGCGATTTAGATTATAATTATAATAAGAAATTGCGATATTTTTTATAGGTATCTATCAGAGGCAATTACAACAAAGCGGGTATTGGATCGAGTGAAGCAGACTTTCCCAATATCGAACTAGATTCTAACATGGAGAAGAAACAGACAATGTGGCGAAAGACTCAGGAACGTTATAAAGAAATAAGGGATTGATTTAATAGGTATTATTAATTCAAAAAATTGAGATTTATATGTATATTTTTGAATATACATATACAATTGAATTTATATGTATATTACACTTAATAATGTAAAAAATTTAAATAGTTTTGTACATAAATTATTAATTTATCATTATTTATATCTCGAATTATAGCAGAAATCTATAAAATCTTTACGAAAATCATTCACATGATTATAGCTTTATAACAAAATGCAGAGTTATATGTATTATATTTTATTATATTTCATGAAGATATATCAATCAAATATTATGATATAATATTTGACAAATCTGTGAGAACTATCTAATCCTGAGAAAGGTTTTAGTTCATTATCAATCATTTTTCAACTATGTGTTTATGAATTAATAAAAAATATCATTGATTGTGCATAATTAAAACTTGAAAATTATCATTGAAAATTTATATTCCATTCATTCTCTATGGAATTTATATTCTTAAACATATTTCTAATGTATCTATTTTATTGTTCTTTTTTTACAAAGTTAAATATATAATTTCTTCTGTTCAAATGTTAATAATTTCACGATTATCGCTATTACAATTAACAAACAGATTCGCTAAAGAAAGTGATTTTCTTTCTTTAAATCAATTTCGATACAATTTGTAATAAAATAACATTCGCACTATTTAAAGACAAAATATTTGAAAGAGAATAAAATGTTAGGTTTTGCTGCGCTTAAGAACCTCCGAAAACATCGCTGTCTAAATTCCAGTCGTTCTTTCTCTCGCGATAAAAAGTCAGTTTTATACCATTGGATACCTGGAGTTAACAGTGTCCATTCGCGGGGTCCATTCAGGCCCGGCACTAAACTATTTTCTCCATTTTGGTCGTACGCAGATTTTATGGAGCTTATAAAAATGGCAGACCGCAGACACGATAGGACAAAAAGACGAGACGGTAATCAGAAATTTTGAAGTGAATTTTTCAAATTGAGTCACGAGTTTACGAAGAAACGAGCGCGATTTTTGTTGAGTGTAAATCTGATATAGAAATCGAAGATTTCGCGGAATTTCAATTTAATTTGCTTCGTACGAGCAAGAAGCTCGACGCAACTCGGTGAAAGGCGTCTCGTGAAATAAATTTTTTGATTGTTGTTTTAATGCAAATGATTTTTTACGTATTATATAAATTTTTGTCTTTGCATAATTTATATTAATTAGTACTTTCCAAAAATTAATGAATATAATATTTTATTAATATAATATTATATATGAATATAATATTTTAATAAAGTTTTTACTTTCTTTTTTTCAAATAAATTTTATTTTAATAAAATCTTAGTTAAAAATTTATAGCAATATTTTCAATTGCTTCGATAATGCTGTAATTACATTTGCATTAATCATCGATAGCAAAGCACGTGATGAAAATATTGAAGTAAAAGGATTGCGAAATTCCTATAACGACATACACAAAAGTGGATGAGAAAGAAAAGGTAATCGCGGTGAAGAAAGAAAAAAAACGAAAGAGCAGAAGGAGAGAAGGCGTACAAACAAGAAGGCAGGAAATTGGCGAGGCTAGAAATAATTAGCGCGGTTATTTATGAGGCTCTCCTCGCCTTTCAATTATGCATTTCCGGGCGCGGGAACGAACTCACGGCAAGACGGCGAGCACAGATCGTGCGATACAGATACTATGTGTGTTTTATGTCTCGAACACAAATCTAACCGATTTCAGTTGCTTTAAATCGAGAGATAATATTCCGCCCAGGAAACTGGTTTTTAGGTGAAAAAATTTTTAATTTTCAAGCGATTTTTCTCCGAGATTCGCGTCGAATGTCTCGACTCGTTTGCACTAGACGAGAAACGAACGCGCGCGTTTCTTTCCTCCGATGAAATTAATAAGACGCATTAACTCGAGTATCTCTCGCAAAACGCGATTCTTGGTAAATATCAGCAGCGAGGAGTTTACGGAAATGTACCGTACGAGTAGTAGAAGAGGGAATCCGGGCGGACCTGGACGTCTAGACGCGGCGGTAAACGCCAGGGCAAATCGGTGCTAACAAATGGCTCTCGTTTGTTACCTGTCAGCCATTTTTCGGCCCTCTTTTACTAGTGGACAGGCCTCATCTGGCCTTGATGCATCCCTCCACTGGCTGAAGGAGGAAAAGATAGAGAACCAACTTGGTCTGGCCGCGCTCGTTTTTCCCTATTTTTCCGAAACGATCCACATTTATTCGGCAATTGTCGACCGCATCCATTTCCCATAAACTACATGTGCCTTATTTCGCTTGTCTCTTAGTTGTATCATGAATTGCGATGAAAAACTAAAACAGAAAGACACACACGTTAAAAATAAAAATTATTGCAACGACATGCTTGTAACTCAAGCTTGATAATGTTACATTAGGTACATGATATTTAATAAAATATTAAATTTATTTCGATCGATATAAAAATGTTAAGACATGGAACACGCTTGTTGATAATTTTTATCTACCACGAAAGAGACGGATAACAACGTTGGACCTATTACATGGCCGCGTCGATGGGAAAACGGTAGTATTTTGACGCAAGGGTTAATCAGGATATTACATTCCGATGCGTGTGACGAGATAAACGCAAAGTGACAGTTGCGGCCGCTGGCTCGTCGCGTAATTCGAGATGATGTCTAGCCTACATTACGAGACGGCGGATCAAATTCCCGCGCGATCATTGTTCATTAAGCATATCTGGTGAACACACTTTCGCTTTGCCACCTGCGTTTCAAAGCCGCAAAACGCAGCCCGTAATCGAGGTTGCAATTCTATATAATTCCTATATGCTATCATCGATATTTGATAAATCAATGTACGCATGTATTAAATATTCACACGTACGTTATAATTAAATAGTCGTAATTATTATCGTATTATACTTGGATAAAAATTTCCGCTAAACGCAACTTGTAATACGCGTATATTTTCATAAGTAAAACCGTAATTATATCGCACATTAAATTTGATGGGTGAGGCACGATAAAATATTCTAATGACGAAACGACTCGATTTTACACACGCATGCGAACGAAAAAGGAAACTAGCGATCGGATGCATAATTTCATATAGATAATGACCAATAATAAGGCGTGTTTCTACGATCCGCAAGTGTAATAATGCGGCTATCATATGTTGGCCGCAAGTAGTAATATTATGCTTTCAACTGCGCGTTGCAAAATCTCTACGTTCGTTGGACTTTTTAATACGTATTCGCCAACTCTCTTAATTATATGTTAATCGAGAACAGGTTCCCTCGTAAAAATATTCAAATTATTATTCCTCTATATTGCAGCAACGTTACATTGACAATTGCTAAGCTAATTATTTCAACTTTGATTTACATTTCGCGGAACCCATAGACAACCATCAACAATTTTCTATATGCAAGAATACATACAAATTTATTAAAGAATTATTTATTTAATTATATTTAATTTAATATAAATTTAACTTAATATATTATTAATTAATTAATTAAATATATTAAGTTAAATTTATATTAAATCAAAATGATTAATTATATTAAAATATATTAAAACATATAAAATATATAAAATTAATTGAAAATATAAAATATATATTTAGATAAAAAAATCGTCAAATATATTCGACGACTATCATCGTTCGAGTAACCGGCAGGATACTTCGGTAATAATTAATAAAATTAAATTCCGTGCAACGGAATTGTCGCGGTCCGAGTACACATCGGGAGGGTACAAGCGTTTCCCATTCGAGATCAATATTGATAAAAGGTTCGAAAAGAGTCGGCGTATGGCCGTGCACACGGTGAAAATGATAGCGACGTTGTTCGCTAGGCAAAGCTAGCCGGATGTCGACTGTAGCACCGGCAGAAACAACAAAGGGTCCAGTTCTGGCTGGGTAATAATGCGTGGTCGTTGTTAGCGTTTGTCCACCGTGCGTTCTAATAGACAAGCGCGTACACACGCGTACCTTTACGCGGTTTGTAATTGAAGGGGCTAGGAATGCGGACGCACGCATGAAGTAGCAGCCGGTAGACAGTGCAGGATACGCTTTGCAGTGTACCGCGCGCATTTATGTATGTCCCTATTACCGGGGAACGTGTGCGTGGGCGGCCCGCGTTAATTAACGATAGAAAAACATGTGTTCGTCAATCTCTCGCCAGTTATGCTCGGCGACTTCTCGATTCTAGTACGCAGCAAGATATACATATACATGTACACGCCCGTATCCTGTATTTAGCGCTGAAAGCGTGTGCGAGTCCTATCTATTCCGGAGTTCAACCACCTCGCGAGAAGGACGCGTGCACGTGTCCGTTATTATTACTCGCCGAGGACACGTCACTATGCGATATTAGTAAATAGATTGTACGACTCGGCCGGTTCCTTCGCACGGGACGTGGACTACTCCCATAGGACCTACATGTGCCTGCGAAAGGGCCGCCTAATCTATGACAAGTGGATCTTCCTGTTTTGTAGACTGGTCTATGCTCGCGTCATTATATTGACCTCTCTTAAACAATCACGTTGGCCCGAATCTTATTCAGGCCGAAAAGCAGTGTTTCTCATCAAGCGACAACGAGAGCCGTATATATCGATGCGATATATAAATTGTCGATATAATATACCAACGTAACGCTAGACCATCTTTTTTCGCTCGCGAATAATTCACAGCTGTGACATCAGACATGCGAGAACTCGATCGATATCGTATTAATATCCCGCAGCGATCCAAATCAAATATCAGTTAGTTATGTCTTGGTCGTTTGCCGAGAGACAAAACACGTATACATATCATAAGACATCGATACTATAGACGTTGACGCGAGTCACGTGACTCATATATAATTGAGTCATATATAATTAATATACAAATTGTTTTTTCCCCTCTCTAATATTATATATTTTTCCCCTCTCTAATATTATATATTTTTATTTACATTTCTAAAACCTAAATAATATCGATAATCATGTATTAATTAAACGCTAATTAATTTACTTTAATTTTTTTAGTCACAAAATGACATTTTGCAATTTTTTTTGCATAAACTTTAGATATCGCGCTTTAACCAGCGGATAAAATGGCCCTGCTGAGGTCATAAAAACGCGATCATTGCCCGTAGAAATGTTCGTAACGCGCATAGATAACCCGTTCATTCAGTACATCATCGGAACAAGTCCTATAAATAGTTTCGCGCTGCTGAATGAGACGAGTTCCAGGAAGGCGAGGCACGAAGCGTCCTCCGGGCGCTTGTGACTCGTCGGAGACAAGAATATCGCGTAGGTGGCCAGAGTGGCACGAGAAGAAGAGAACATTGGATTCGAGACGAGTAACGGCTAAGAAAATAGCAGATTTGAAAAAATTGTAATTGTAAAAATTACCCCGTAGACTCCGCGATCAATTTCACTTTATGAATCACTTGCCTGATATAAATTAAATGCATGTTAGATCGCTATAATAAACTTGTCATCTCTAAATGATACTTAGATTGCATTAAATTATTATTTGCATTAAATGCGATACATGCGTACAATCTAGATACAAAGAAAGATTCATTCATCTAAGTATAATTATATTTTAATTATTTAATTATATATTTTCTAATTATATTTTTTATTTAATTACTTAACATTTTTTTCTCCCATATTACTTTTAAAATACCCTTACTTTTGACACATTGATTACATGGCTCTTTAATGTTGATAATTGTTTTTTTTTCTCCGAAAGTGATAGATTTCGTCATTTATGATTTATCTCGTAAAAGGGATATAGAGATGCTTCGTTGATTGCTTCTGCCATCGGAATAAGCCAGCTTTATCGTTCACATTTGTATCCTTCGAGATGCGCGAAGCAATTCGATTTATGAACGGTAGTTCGAAAGGGAATTTCCTAGAGCGTTCACGCGTATATTACGTATTTTTCGCCAAGATCATACACGCGGTAGAGTCAGCGCAGCGATAATTTCCGCCAGGTCATTACTGTTGCATTAGCCAGCGGCTGAGCATCGATCTGAATTATATATAAGTTTGCAAATTGAAGAAGCGCGGATATAATTACAGGTTGCTCCGCGCAAAGTATCATCCATTTTAATTGTGCAGCTAGACGAAATCAATTTATATCAATAACAAACTATACGACCCATCCAGCGCGGATTATTGTTGTTACATTGCAGCAATATTGCGACAAGAGAAAAAAAAACCAGGAAAGATTCGAAAACACAAAATTCCGCATTCTTGTCGGAAACCCCGCGCGTCCCAACAATTCGCGGCCTTAATTCGTTGTAGAAAAATGTCAAGGAATCTTGGCGATTCGCCAGAGCGTGCACGTGGATCGACATAGACGCGTGCACCTTACGTACCTACGTGTGCAACGAGCGACCGAAAGCGACGCAACGAACCGATCTACGGAGTCGACCGCGTAATTAGCGGCGGTTACGTCAGCTGTGGAGCCAACCTCGGCGCGATTCGGCGCGCGCGCACATGTGTGTGTGCATGCGTGTGCGGCGCGCCGACACACGCACACGCACGCACGTAACGTACCTACACAAGCGCGCGAGCAGGCGCGCACATAACATATAGGTAATGCGATAGCTATGTAGCGCAGAGTTACGCGAACTCAATAATACGTCTGACGGCCGTCTAGACGGGGCTACGTGAATGCGGCACATCGCTGCCTGCGCTGTATGCGTGCGTAATCCCGCGCACGCACGATCATACGCGGCTCCGTACGCGTACTTATACACGTGACCGACGTGGCTCGTCGTCATCCTCGGGATGTAACAAGCTGCGAAAGCGAGTTACGTGGCATAGCACGGCGACTCTCTCTCTCTCTCTTGCTCGTACCGATCGGATATCCTGCGATATCACGGAGCATCGTCCACGTCCCGGAGAGTTGGATAGATTGGATTAACTTTGTACTAAACATGGCGCGGGTAATTCGCCTCCCCCGTGCTTGTTTCTTCAAAAATTGGTCGTCCAATAAAGTTAATATCGATATCCAGTTGTTTTCCTGTATGGCATGTTAATTAATTAATTAATTTCTTATCGATATCGAATGTCCTAACAATACAGATAGATCAACATTCAATGAACGTAGACGGTTAGATAAACAGATGGATAAATAGATAAATAAATAGTCACCTATCCGAAGAGACGTATGCGTGGATTAGCGAGGGGAAGATAACTCTGGCAGGTTGGAGCTGGAGAAGACGAGAGGTAAAGATATATTAGTTTTGCGCGGAGCAAAAATATAAAAAAGAGGAGGAAAATGAGAGAGAAAGAGAGAATGAGTATATGCGAGTATAGTGTACGCCTACTTCCTCTCCCGAGTATCTGCAACGTCTACGTGATCGGCTACGTGCACTTGCAAACGGAACCAGGAGGCGTGAAACCAGTTCGCATGGAGAACTTCAACGGTTGTTCTTCTCACGCTACTTGGACAGTCACTGGCTACTCATAGATAGTAATCGTAATTACCAGGCGGACGTGGTTGGCTCTTGGTACAATCATTTTTTTTTCTCGCCTCGTCATCATCGTTCCTTATACTTGCTGTTTTTTTCCTCTCTTTATCGCTCTGCCTCGTTTTTAGAATACATATATTGTTTAGCTGTCGCCACGCGATCCTCACGCGACCAGGGACATCCTGCCAACCTGCATTCATCGCACGCTCGTTCATCAGCATTATACATCCCTAAAAGAAAGAATCAGGCGTAAATATAGATCGGTTGTACAATCGACGATCATCAAAGATGAATAACTTTTTAAAGGAATCTGTATCAAATATGTTTGATTTCAAATAATTTATATCGGTCAATTTTATCTTATAATAAATAATTGCGAGCATTTCTAAAAAACACGTACTATGATGTATAATTTGAGTGTTTTGAAAAAACTAGAGCAAAAGAATTTATTTTAATTTCTATCGACAGAAATTTCCTTTATCAATCTCTAACTTTTTCGAATATTTAATCAACACTACCGCGCTATATTAATAATTAATCCTCGTGCAACGACTGAAGATTATGTCTGACATATAACGTGGTGCGCGCATTCCCCGTTTGTTGATCGCGAGTTTGGTTTTAGTACTTGGTTTCGCCCATCGAGTGTACTTGTCTCGTCAGGGAGTGCAAGAGCACCCTGAGCCATAGCCGTAGACTAATGATTCCGTCTGAGTGGGAAATTGACCACTAGGGTGCTGAAAACCTTCGACCGCTGATCGAGAGAAGGAGAAAGAGAGAGAAGAGGTCCATTGTCTCGCGGGCCTTAGCGAGTGCTTTTCAGTTTTTTAACGGCGCTATGCGAGGAGCTTGGAGAACGCATCCTCAACGCATACAAGCTTCTTGCACCATGGACGATCGTAAAGGAGATTTTGCTTTACCTCACTCGCATGGTCAATCGTGAATCTTACGAATAATCGCCAATTTATACTTTACACTATTCGCAAAGCCTAAATTAACAGAGCAGTGCTCCTCTTAATGGTGCAACAAATTAAATCATTTCTCGATAAATATCCCTTTCTATAAAGCAAAAAATTCGATGTGTCATTCAAGGGATTCCGAATAGCTAACAGTCTGCAAAGTGTCCATCATATAATATAATGTCAATATAAGTTTACATTATAATAAGTATACTGGTTATAATAGAGGAAGAAAGAGAAGGAGAGATTGATCTGATCTCGGCGCAATAACCATCGGACTTTGATATTTACGTAAAGCTGCGCAGAACGAGATCTCGAAATGACTGGAGGCGCTCTTGATACTAACGCAAGAAAACGTATCTAAAAAATACGCTGTCATGAGAAATATACAAGAGAAATGCTAATGGACAGCACATTTATTATACTATTATATTAAAAAAAAAATAACAGAGAAAAGAGAAAAAATTCACGAGTGCTCAACATTTTTGAAAGATTGCATAATATCTGGAAAGAATGTGTTAATCTCGTTTCTTTTTTGCCGATACAAAGAGCAGCAAGATGGCAAGATTACACGTTCGATATATATTGATTTTTTCCTTCATTATAGACTAACGTCGCGCCTGTATCGGTGAACGAACACATCTCGAATGGACACGTCTGTCTCTCGCAGAATATCGTGGAAGAGCATACGCGCATCGTTAGAGCTAGGCTGTCAGATTGCGCAGGTGGTCACAGTGGACGTGGATAGATGGTCCATGGCGTGGGCAGCAACGACCGTCGTCCCTGCAGGCGAGTTCTCCCCTGTGCCTTCTCCCTTTCTCCGTCTCCTTCTCTCTTTTCTCGCGCGTCTTGTTCCTCAACGGAAGACAACGCGTCGCAGAGTCTTGTCTCTTATTCCCGCATCCTTTTATCCTTGAGTCGTCGCATTGGCACGTTGTCCTCCTAGTTTTGCACCGCCGTTCGCTCTCCTCTATTCGTACACTCGCCAACTTCATTTGCCCTGCCTTCTCTCATCCTTTCCTCCTTCCGCTCTTTCCATCTTCGGCATCGACGCGAAGAGGCCGACCCGTTCTCGGTACGTGTCAGTCATTCGCAGTCAGACTGCCCTGTACCTTGAAAATACTTTCTGCCAACTTGCGCATCGTCCTGGAATGACCTGTACGCATGCATGCATGCACGCACGCATGCACGCATGCATTCATGCACGTGAGTAGACACGTGCGTGAGCGAGCGAGTAAGTGTAACGTTACCGATTCCTTGACGGCTCTCTCCGCCGACGGCATCTCGACATTTAATATTTCAATGTCCGTTAAAGTACATTCGTGCCTCTCTCCGTATCGAACCTGCCTCTCTCTTTCTTGCTCCTTGATATTTTTCTCGAGATAGCGAAGACTTTAAATATCTAGAACTTCTCGACGAGTTTGAAGACCGGCTAATCAACTTTATAAATTGGAGGAATATGGAAAATATTTTTACAAATTGTACATCAATTGCTATCTAAAACAGAAAATTGAATATTATAAAAAAATTTATACAAGACTTTATAAAAAAAAAATCTATATAAGACTTTGCATTATTACAAGAAAAATGTGCACGTCGATAAGACATATCGAGAACATCCACGGAGAACGAGCTTCAGGGGTCCATCCGTATTGTGGAGCAGGGTAGAAACAATCAAGTTTTGAAGGGTTGACTCCGGCGGGGGGATCAAAGGTTGAACGAAGGGGCGCGCGGTTTCAACAGCCCCACTGAGTGGCTATTAGGCACCCCCAAGCCAAGCAAGAGCAATTTGCTATAATCATTACCATTCAGGATCTCCGAGCCGAGAGGGCCCGCTCGTCTCTCGCCCTCTTCGGCCAGGAACTCGTAGCTTATGCCAGTGCCATTGTCAACGACGAGTAATATCTGACCAAAAGGCTACGCTAAAGTGAAACAACGTTCAACAGTAGTCTACGATTTGCGGAAAATAAACAACCGAGATATTATAATGATAAATAATGCATGAAAAGAGAGAATGGAAACAATCGAAGAAATTCTTTTATACAAGTATGCAAAATGTAAGATTTTTAATCCGATTTAAAAGATCGGCTACTAAATTGATTGAATTGATTTATCGAAAAAAAGAGATGAAGAGTAAAACGAGAAGAGTAAAAATCAAAGAGGAAAGGGAGACTAGAGGACGCATGAATGAGCCAGCAAGAACAATTGATGAAAAACGGCGCGAGAAACGGCGCGTGGTTGCATTTCTTGGAAAGTCTGTCCAAGACGTACCGTAGAACGAAGGAGAGGCAGGTGTGTCGCGGATGCAGCTGGAAGGCACTGCATGTGCACCGTCTCGCTGCGAGATACCTCAACGTTTTCTCCTCTCTTCTCGTGCTTCTCACTCTTTTATCCGCTCCTCGCGTCAGGAGCGAATTATCGATAAAGTTGCTCCAAGGAAGAAAGTGCGTGGCCTGCGCGTGAGAAGCAGTCGTGCCAAGTGGGGATCTCTCAACCTGAAATAATGCCGCCCAGAGATAAGACAGATTATAACGCGATACGCAAACACCTTCGCCAGGAGTACCTCCGGCGAAAATGGCAACTTTGCGAACGGATAACGCGAGTTTCTCGCGAGGAGTGTTTGCGCAACTGACCGCTGCCTAGAATCGGAAACGGATTCGCTCCGGTAGAATCCGTCTACCTGCTCGTGCCTCGCTACAAAACACGACGTTTCGCGGATGTTCCGCACCGCCCTAAAAGTCTGTTCATTCGGTGACGTCGGACGGTCGGACTCGAGGACTCGACAAGTCTAGACTGCCGGCAGACGTGGCAAAACGACGATATATTCAGTCTCGTCCCGCTCGCTGACCACAGTCAGCGGATGGCTGCCTTTGCACGGATCCTACTTCCGAGCGAAGTAGTCTTCTCACCGCGAGAAAAGAAAAGGATGAGGAAGATAAATTATATTTGCTAGAAATTTACACATGCTCTCTCTTCTCTCTCTCTCTCTCTCTCTCTCTCTCTCTGTCTCTCTCCTTCTCTCTGAAATGCATAGTCAAAGACAAATTATTGATACGCTCTTTCGCCGACGTGCTTCTGCAAAATTATGATAGGTTGTTTGCGGTTTCGCTTCGGCGGTACGTTTCTGCGGTTTTGATTGTCTCGTACGCGATCTCGATCTATGTCGGCCTAGATTTATGTATAAGCTTTTCGAAAACATGGATACGCATACAAAATTTCTTTCTATAGATGTACGATAAAAAACATACGACCGTTACGACTTTTGCTAAAACTTCGTGATCGCGTTGCCTGGCTTCTTTCTTCCACGGTTCTCCGTTTTGATCCTTGCGGCCGAGCCCGGAGATCTCGCGCGGATTCTTTCTTCGTGCGCTTGCACGCGACTTGGTGCGAAGACGCATAATAAACGGTTACCATCGAATCTGTACCTGTATCTGTTCAAGAGAGCCTCCTCAAGTGATTCGTGTTGTAATAAATAGCGACGCAGGAGGAAGAGCAAAGGGGAGGAATAAAAATAGGAACAAAAGGACATCGTTGGAAGAGTCGAAAGCTGTTATTGCCATTACTTTGCCTGCCTGTTTCTCCGCAATGTTGCGGTATGCATTATGCATGTAAACCTTCCAAGTTTTGCGTATTGGATTCGACGTTAGTTCAAGACTAACGCGTACTCGCTCGAGATTACGATTCGATTCTCCGATATCGAAAAATCCAAGACGGACAGATTACAACAAATGTCATTTCTGTCAAACTCATCGCGTATACTTATTATTAATAGATGAAGATATGCTTGATGTAAGTGGATCGGGGTAAGCAAGGACACGAGAAAGGCACTGTTTACTCGGTCGGAAATGAGACGAGCCGTTGATAGATCTCTCGAAGCAACAGCGCGATCTAAATAGGCGAGTCTCTCGTTATCTGTCAACGTGCCATCAAAACGGAGTGGCTGTTTTCTCTTCTTTCCCGGTGCGCCTACAATCTGCATTACACATCTGCAAAGCGAGCAATTTATTTCTACAAGCATGCGCTTTTGCGATTCGTATCTTACGTATGCCTACGTCTATCGTGCCTACGTGTCCGCTCTCGCGAGCGAAACGCTCCGCTAGAATGTCCGAGTCCTGTCACGATAGCCGGGGACGCGACATCGTCTAACGTATAAACAATACTATATTTCTAATATATCAGTCCGCTTTGTCGCGGACGGCATAATGATGTTAAGGGGAACGCGCGCTCGTGTAGTTTTCGTAGTCTTGCAAAAAGCGCGTACCCTGTTGTCTCGTTACGCGCGCGGAGATGTGTGCGCACGAGAGAAACATCGGCGCGCACGTGTGCAGCGTAAATCTTTAGACATTACCGATGCGGAGCCGCGCGCAGCGAGAGAGGAGCCTGACGCGGATATACCGTCGAGAATGGGAACAGAAGCTGCGAGACATTGTTTCTTCGAGAAATCTCCGTATCCCGCCGCGAGAGAATAAGAATCGCAAAATTCAATTCTCCAACTATGTTCGCTGACCGGTTGCCAGCACCGGCTACGCAGCATCCGTGAGAAGAGACGTACTTTCCGTGAATGCGCGGAAACGTCGCTGCTAATATTTCAATTGTATCGTTTTACGTTGGAGATTTTTTTGTAAAAAACATTTCTTAATAAAACGCCAGAGCTTTGCAAAGTCCGGTGTTTTATAAAATGTCTAGTTTTCTATCAAATAAATTTACAAGAGAAATTTGCGAAACTTCTATAAAGATTCTGACGTTTGAAAAGTTCAACTCTCCGAGCAGGGCGACGTTGCTCTTTAACAAGCGTAATTCTTAGATGCATGCTGTCCACGCTCTCAAGTGACAGGATCTTCCATAGCATTATCGCTGCTAATATTTCAATTATATCATTTTACGTTGGAGATTTTTTGTAAAAAAAATTTCTTAATAAATCGCCAGAGCTTTGCAAAGTCCAGTGTTTTATAAAATGTCTAGTTTTCTGTAAAATAAATTTACAAGAGAAATTTGCGAAACTTCTATAAAGATTCTGACGTTGAAAATTTCAATTCTCCGAGGAGGGCGACGTTGCTCTTTAACAGGCGTAGTCCTTAGATGCATCCTGTCCACGCTCTCAAGTGACAGGACCTTCCATAGCACCGTCACGATTCCACGCAACCGCCGCAAACCCTCCAGGGAGCACGTAATTATGCAACTATTGGCAGTACGGTAGTATAATGTTCGCCTCGGGTTACTGACGGGCCCTGACGGCAGTTTCGCCCGATTATGCGCCGCCAATTCAGCATGTGGAGGGCACTAACGCGTATATATGTATACGCACGAAACATCCATAGTCGCTTATCTATCAGCGACGAACCGAATGCGTCTGGACGACGATTGATCACGTTCCATATGGAAACCAATGACGTTTTCGGTGAAGGATCGGATCAATTTGTTCGCGCCGCGTTTCACGTGCACGCTATCGATGTTTAGAGTCGGCGATATTTCTCGATGTAGAAGAGAAATAAAAATGAAAAACGTTTCCGCGACGTGAAAATCCTGTTAATTAAATATAATTATAAACATATTAATTAAATATAATTGTCAACTCTTAAGCTTATAATAATCTTGATGAATGAAATTTGTACGAAAAATAAGATTGACTGATAAATGTCAAGCTCGTGCACACAAGAATTTTCTACATGTTCCGGCTTGTCCTGCTAACTTTTCGTTTGTTTCGAAATGTTAAAATTTGCGAGATACGCGTAATTACTCACCGCGACTTTCGAGGTCCAGTTGTAGAGCATCTCGATTCGTTGTTTTGCATGCTCTCTTTTCTCTCAACTGTATGTTAAATCGATCAAATCGGTGACATTCGCGTTTTATTTTCTTCCATTCCTGTTCCAGCGAGTTTTTGTCTTTTCTTACAGACTGACTCCGACTATATCGAGTCGGTCCATCGCCGATGACTCGTGACTTCCAGCAGAGTATGAATGAAGGGTCGCGTCTCCAAGAGTCTCGTGTCATCGGGAAATTGCAAGAAACGCGATCACTAGAACGCGTTATCGAAATCTAATAAACAGATATTGGGCATTATTTTTTGTAATATTAAAAGTCATAAGAAGAGAAGAGAGACACGTGTTCATGTTTTTTTGGTGATGCTATTTGAGAGAATTATATTCTTATGTATTGTGTGTATATATTACCGTTTTTTTATTAACATGTTATGCATGAAAAAAAAAATATAAGAAAAAATATAATAGAAAAATAGTAAATAAAAAAATATATATTATTAAATTTTTCTATTTATATTAATTATAGAAATAATTCATTATTGATGTTTTATTTAATTGATAAAATAATAAAAAAAATTTCAGTATTGATTATTCCTTACATTCCAGAAAAAAACAAATTTATAATTAATAATATATATTAATAATAAAAAAATCTGGTTCTCTCTTTCTTTCTATCTTTCGCCGAATAACTAAATGTATCGAGAGATTACTATCGCGATGCGCCAAAGCGACTGAGAAGCGAATAGAGATGGAGCACAGCTTCATGCAAATAGAATTTTCATCATTCTTACCCGCGCAAAGACAGCCGTTGATAAACGAAGGGTGATTCAGTCTGGTGGGCCGTTTATTGAAGAAAGTCTAGACTGCATAGTAGTCGAACAATCCCCGGAGTAAGTTCTCTGCGCGACACTTCCCGAGATCGATCAATCGGTGACTTTTTGTAGTGGAAGGATTGATCAAAGACGAGATCATGCAAGCACAAAGGAAAGAAGCTCTCGCTGTCTTCATCTCTCTTTCTTCATCCTTCCGATGATCGCGCCTCGCCCTGCGTTCCTTCTATCTTGCATCCCTTTCCTGCTTTTCGCTATCTCGTTATCTCTCCCAGCCATCCTCAATGACATTTCTATCAACAGATATTAGTTGTCAGTCAAATCTCCTTCTCTTTCTTTCTCACCCTCTTCCTTTTACGCTAATTATTCTGTTATCCCACGTGTGTTTGTTTACTTCAAACTTCATCAAAGAACAGAGACGATAAGCCGGATTGCTTTCGAATAAATCTTACGTTAAAGCAAGTTATTATGTACATTGACCAAAGTGAAAGACATTTTTACAATTTTAATAATTATTTGTTATCGAAAAAAATGCTATATATTTAAATATATATAAAGTCGCAGGAATTTATCATATATGCGATACGGATTTCTGTATGAAATATTCAAAGTAATTTTACCTCTTCGACTTGAACAATCGTTCAAGAATATGGCCGACATAATTCCAAAAATATTCCGATATGCTTCCAGAGATATTCCGATGTGATCAACCTAGTCTTTCAACAAATACATAAATTATTCTCATTGAGCCTCTGATAAAGAAAGTTTGCCAATGATTAACGACTGTGAAAATCAGCCAATCGAGCTTTCAAAATCGCGCAAACAGAGAAACCTGACAAAGTAGTAAGTCGAAAGAGTAAGACAGCCAGGGGGCAATCGTTTTACGATTGTTACGCGCCATCGAGATAAGATACCCCATCATTCATATCGCGCGAGCGATAGACGCAAAGTCTACACACATACTTGGACTTGGCGTAATGATATCAATTAGTGCATCGCCGCGCGAGGAAGGACGGGAGGAGGGTGCGGGCTTCCGTAGTGGGGTAGTCTAGCGGGTAGTTGCGACGGGGTGCGCTGCAAGGAGCGCATAGTATCCCTGGTGGCAGATCCAGCATCGTCACGTGTCCAGGGGGCGGTACCGCTTTGTCGGGGGTCGCGCCGCGCCGAGCCGCGAGGTATAAAAGAGACGTGGACCAGCGGTGCATCCACCAATCACCATTGCACCTTGTCGCTGGAACGGTGTGTATATCGCATTGTCTTCGCGTGCCGAATTTTCTTGTCTCTCACGCGCGTCGCTCGAGATGATTTACCGCGACTCTGACAGACATTTCAACGGCCGTCATCTCGTTCATTCCCGCTCGCGCCGAACACGTTCCGAAACAACCGGAAGTCGCTGCTTTAACGTCAACCCCCTCCGTGTCTTTGGACAGTGGCGAGATATGTAAGACCGAAGCTATCTGTCTTTCTCACAAGTACCTTTTTTGCGATTCAGTTCCACGAGATGCTATCGAGATTGTTGCCGAAATTAAGAAGCTTCCATTTAAGATTCTTAATCGAATATTGCATTTTTAAGACTAGCGTTCCTGCCCACATAATCCCGATAGATTGTTTGATATTCCGATTACTAATTTATTTGTTAGTCATGTACACCCATACGTTGATTGTACAGTATAATTTGACTATTTTATATTTCCATGGTGTTTCTGGAATGATGAAATTTAACTTGGTCGCATATCGTTTACGGACGTGTTGTAAATAAACAAGTGTCGTCATGTAAATAGAATGTACAAGAGTGTTCTTTAAAATAAAATTAATAAATAAAATCGCAATGCATGTAATCATTTTTGCGATATATTATTACTATTTTATCCGTAAATAAACGTATATTAATAATAACTTATATCAATAGTAATCGTGCAAAACCGATACGTGTCTGTTTGAGATAAATGTCGCGAGGTAAACGATCGAGCGGGATCGCGGAGATTTGGACACTGCAGAGCTATCTCGTGAAAGTAAAACGTTTAGAAAGTAAATCGTTTGGAGAAATTTACGCCAATATGACGAAACGAAGGGGGGAAAAGTCGCGAATTCAACAATACTTGATCGCATATGCGTAAGCTCCGTGGTCTCGGCTCGATCGGGCAAGTCTTGTTGAACTCTCGCAGCCGGCGAAACCGGAAAATTCTCTGCTATAAACTTCCGCGCGAGGGACGCGAAAAAAACAAAAGGAAGGAAGGAAAGAAGAAAGGGAGGTAGTCGAAGGGAGGCGCGTAGGTGGATCCTGTAACCCGTAGACAAGACGGAAGAACACGAGGAACGCGCGGATGCGAGAGGAGGGATGCAAAGGGTATGGTGGACGAGGGAACAGAAGTAGGATGAGGATGAGGACAGGCCGAAGAAGAAGGAGACGAAGGAGACGAAGGAGACGAAAGAGAAGAAGAAGGAAAAGGAGGAAAAAAGAGGAGAAGGATAAGGAGCAGGAGCAGGAGCAGGAGAAGAAGGGGAGCTGCCGCAGGAGGAGGAGATGTACAGGCATGCAGGAAGGCAGGCGTATAGGCATACAGACAGATAGTCGCCGTCGTCGTGACCGTCGTCGCCGCCGCCATCGCTACTGCCACCGCCACCGCCACCACCACCACCATCATCGCCACCGCCGCCGCCGCCGCCGCCGCCGCCGCCGCCGACGCTGCCGCCGTCGCCGTCGCCGCCGTCGCCGCCGCAATCGCGCGCTCGAAGAAGGAAAGTGGGGACGATTGAACGCAACGCGGCCGCGTGTACAGGCCTGCTTTTGCAGAGCTTCGCTCGGCATACGGCGAAACGTTTCGCCTTGTGCTGCTGCTGCTGGCTTCTGGCTGCTGACTACCAACTGGCCGCGTCGACTGCTCGCTCCTCTCAGTCTGCCGGGCGGCCTCGCGCGCGCTTGGTTCCCATCGGCGCCGCGAAGCGAACTCGCGGAGTTCTCGTGGAGGATCGACAATCACGTCGTGAATCTACCGGACTCGACGCCGCGACGAAAATCGAGCTGTAAAGAAAGAGAGATATATATTTATATATATGTATGTATATATTGTATATGTACGTATATATCTGTCGACGTTGAGAGACGACTGAGGTAAATCGCGAGATACCATTCGTGGTGGATCCCCTCGGGGATTCCACGAGATTGGCCGCGCGAAGGAGGCAATCGAGCGTGGAAGGCACGCGGAGGGTTTTAGGATCGTGCATTATATCGAGGACACACCGAGAATCCTTGTCTCGCGACTCATTTGTGCAACGTGCCCGATTCATTTCGTAATAAACTGCATATATATCGTACCACGTGTCGCGATGATTCGCGACTGGTGGCTTCAAGTGTCGTGCTTCGATCGATGAATCAAGCCAAGGAAGGGAGGCGTTCGCGAGGAAGGCCGAGACGGGGCAAATAGCGTACGCAAATACCGCTCTTACGTTCGACACGAAACTTTCAACCATCCACAGGTGTTTGAATCGATCCATTTTCGCGTGTCCTCGTGGACGTCGCGATACGCAGTGATCGTAATCCAAGAATCGCAACGTCTTTCCACACGATTCAATGAGGAAGCCTCGACAAAATAAGAGAAAACAATTTTTATCAACCGTAAGGAAAACTCGTTGTCGTTCGCATGTGCATAATTAAAGCGAGCTCGAAATGATAAGGGGAATTTGCGAGATGACAATTTGAGAGATCATTGAATTTCGTAGCATTTAAAAAAATTCAAATATCGATCAGAGTACAAGCAAAACAAAATATTTAACGTATAATATAATAGCGTGACGTAAATGTTTACACATGGAATAGTAAAGTAAGTAATAGAAATTTTCTCGTTAAGACAATTGTGAAAAAAATATTGCCAAAGGAGGAATAGTAGAGCGTTTAATTTAAATTTGTAACATATCAATCTCTCGCAATATTGCAATTAACTTTATGTATAGCTACATGTGTAAACATAGGAATCATATATAGAGAAAAAATACAAAGAAAGAGAGAGAGAGAGAGAAAAGAGAGCAAAATTGCATTTGTTCAATACGAATCACAATACACGATGATACGCGTATCGTGATTTATTTTAACTTTCCTGGATTAATCATATCGCGTCTGTTTCGAGGAACAACTTCCTGATAATTTTACTATTCTATGACAGAGCACGTGTGTTTGAAATTACGATGACAGCGTGAGAGACAAGACTCGATTTTTCTCAAACTTGACGCGAGAGGACAATTTGCATTTTCAGACGTTCAAATGAGTCCATACAGTGACATGCGAAAAATGAAATCTGACACGAGTCCCGCGAACGTTAAGGGAAAACAGTGATCGGCCACGGTATATCCTTCGCGCGCACAGTGAAAACGAAGGTACGCATTGGCCAAGAATCGGTTCAGGCAGATGAAATGTGAAGCACGAGGACGACGCATCGTAGATCTGGCGGGAACGAAGGCGGAAGTTGAGGAAACCGAGGTGAGATTCACCGCAGGGATAGCGGCACGTCGGGGGAGCACCTGGCGCGGGCCGCCTGAGATGACGGCCTTGCGACAGGATATCACGGCATCCCCGTATAGAACCTTCCTCCTGCTGTCACTGATCGGACTACTGCTCCAAATCCATTCAGCGACAGGTAAGTGCCTTTTCTCGATAATCCCTCTTTCGGTTTTTTGAATTGTCTCTTCGATTAACCAACGAATTCATCAAAGTTTCCACTCTATTGCAAGTCTCTCTTACGCGGGAAATTGTGGTCGATACAATGTGTGAGATTACTTGGTGGCTCGCGGTTTTTTGTCGTCTGTAAAAATAAATGTACAAAATTATTTATATAAATGTTTACTTGTAGAAAATAGCACGCTTCATATTTAATAACTTGTCGCTTATTTTTCTTTCGAATTAAATATTAATTCGTTATGTCTTTCCTTAATCAAATACATGATAGCTTCTTTATGTTTGTGTCAGCATTTTGAAAACAAAAATATCGCGAGATGACGTTCGATTACAATAAAAATTTCAACTCATTTGAATTACTCTGAGATTTTTAACATTCGACTTTGGAAACAATGTTATCAAGTGGAAGCGTAATTTAAATTGACGAAAAGAACAATTTTCTCACAAAACTCTCATGTCTGTCGATAGAGATATGAGTTATGTCGGTTTGAATGCGGCCTTCTCTTTTGCGGTTTCAGAGTTATCTTGATCATCCAACAATCTGCAACATTGTAATATCTTAGTATGCAATTTGTAATTTGTGATTTCACAGGACTATAATTTCCAACGTTGCAATTTGCCGCTGCGGGTATTGCGGTTTCGTTTGCTACGTGTTTGATTTAGCGCTTTACAATGTATGTAATGGGCAATTTCGTGAGTTGAGCGAAACGAAACGTGACTCTGTTTGAATATTTGAGATATTCTCTCTCGTACACTTTCATATCATTTCAGAATCTTGGCAGCACTTTGGCAGGTTTTTTTTTAATTTTCCATCAAAAGAGGGATAATAGAATAGGCTAGAGATAAAATAGATACGCCGAGATGATGTACAATTGTCTGAATCAATAAATTGCGCGCCACTTTTCTTCAACATTTGCATTTCGACGCGAATCAAATAACATCGTATCGCGCATTATTTACGCACACCACGCATCTCGAACCTAATACGCCGTTTGCTCTTTCACGTCCAATTAAATTATACGAGATTCGTATTCCCTGCAACGATATCGCAGTTGCAGCATAACAATCTCGACGGCTATCGTCAATTATCCCTACAATGCCAATTGAATTAGTCCTGTCGACGTTTGCCGATTACTCGTAGAAATGCATAAAACGATCGTCGGCCGTCTTCGGACGAGCGATAAAGTGCGAATTAATTCAGCGTTAATTCAACGTTTTGCGATCGTCGCAAACGCGATGAACAGCGAACTTAGAGAGGCTCTAAAACTTCATTAACGTTCGAATCGAGTCGACGGTTTTGCCGAGAAAAAAATTATAGGGGATGAAAATCGTCCAAGCGATGTTTTCTTTTCTGAAATTTGAAAGCTACCAGTGCATACGTGTGCGTATGATAAGCCTCAACTTTGTAAAATTTCCATATTATTCCCAATTTATCTCGATTTGTTTTCTGCCGTTGTATCTCCTCAACCAAGTCGCATGAAAGTAATTTCACGAGCAACTCGAGAAGGTGCCGTCGAGTTGAAAATAACGAAACTTAGTAGACTGATCAAAGGTTCGGTTTTAAAAATTACAGAGAGTACAGAACTTTTTAGCTCTCTCTTTCTCCCTCTCTCTCTCTCTCTCTCTCTCTCTCTCGCCGAATCTCCGACTCTTTTAGAGACCGATCATTCTACACCCGGGAGAGGGGGGGCGAGGGGGAGGAAGGGGTGCGAGTCTGATATGGATGCGGAGAAGCTAAGTAAAAGGGACACGGTGAAACGTAAAGAGAGAGACGGAGATGCACGCACGCACGCACGCACGTATGCACGCGCGCGCGCACGAAAGGGAAGAGAAAGAAGAAATAAAGGGGGGAAACGGGGAGGACGTGTACGAAGCGGGAGACAGAGAGAAAGAAGAAAAGATGGAGCGAGAGAAAAGGGGGAGGGGGAAGAAAGCCTGGTGTAATGGAGGAACCAGTTTGCGGGTCAGTGCTCCGCATCAGCGAGAGGCGCTTCAGCCTCTAGACGCGCGGACGATGCCACCGGGTGAAAGAAGGACGGGGACGGGAGAGACCCTGCGGATCCCGTGAAGGACGTGAAGGAGGAAGGAAGGGCCCGCTCGGATCCCGATAGATAAAGGGAATCGTTCGAGAAATGCTGCGATTTCGACATTTTGCTCTCTCTCTCTCTCTCTCTCTCTCTCTCTCTCTCTCTCTCTCTCTCTCTCTTGCGCGCGCGCCCTCGGAAAAAGAATCAATTGTCTCTCTCCTCTTATCTATATATTATTCCCTTTAAAACGAGGGAGCATATGCTGCGTCATACTTTCAATCAAGATGCATTCAATCTCTTGCTCATTGAAATTATTCAGATGTTGCGCTACGCGATTAAAAATAACTCGAGCCTCTCAGGTGCGGTAGAAGGCGCAAATATATCGGCAAATCGTGTACTCGATCCCATCGTAGGATCTCGTATTAGTCTGGAAGGAAACGATGGTACGATAGCGAGAAAATCCACACGAGGCTAGAGTGCGCAGCGTTTTTCGAAAATATACTCTAGTTTTCAGTACGCATAAAACTGGTTCTATTAGCTGGGCGTGTGTAGATGCATCGGATTAGCACCTCGGGTCCGTATCCCTTAGCATGAGTAACGTGGTAAAAACAGTTCGACGAGCATGACCGAAGGCGCAGCAGTCCCGGGAGATGGTGAGCCCGCGATAAAACACTTGAGTTATGCGTGCGCGTGCGGTTACCTTCATATTCCACGCGAGGAAAGTTGCTATTCGAAAAACTGTGAGATATATTACTCGCAATTGTCACGCGCAACGTCATCGATAACGCGCAAATTCACCTCGTTTCGATGCAAATCAGACATTCGGAATCTAAGTAATAGATGATGAAATCGCAGATGCAATTTAAAGACTGCGCTCGAAGGACTTGTTACGATAGACTTTTAATTAATATTTCAAATCAGAGTCCATCGATAATTCTCGTATCGATTATTCAAAAAAGCCAAAGGGAAAAATGAGACTACGAGCGAAACGTCATCCATGTCAGCTGTTCATTTGACAAGGATCCTACCGATGACAGAACGCACGACACGCGCAAGCGACCATACGAAATGCGGAATTAGCAATCAGTTTCGAGTTTCGAGAGTCGAAATTCTCCGGGGGGAAAAAAAAAAAAAAAAAAAAAAAACAATGCCGCGGATGATACTCGCTTTTTTTGCGGCGGATTTTTCGGGATTTCTAGAGAACGTTTGCTCGGGAGAAATGCGCGGAAAGGGACGGGGGACGGTGGTGATGATGGAAGAGGAGAAAGAGGAGGACGGAAGGGGGAAGCTTATGGTTTTGATCAACCGGTCGAGTCGCCGCGCGCGCGCGGGGACAATCTCCGAGGCTTGATGACTAACCGCGTGCCCGTCTTGCCCGGACAAGAACTCGTCTCCCCTACGGCACGTCGCGAATACCTGCCCAGCGCTTGCTTCGGCAAGCGCCGATCTTTTTACCACCTGCTGCCGGCCGTCCGATCCCGCGACATCCCGTGTTATTTCGTCAGCGTGTCCCGGAACGTCCCGAGACGACATCGCGCACCAGACGAGACGACAAAAGATGATATTGGGAGCAGCCTTGTCTCCAATAATACGTCCACGTCGTCTAATTAAACAATTAGCTAATTTCTCTCAGCGACTTGGAAATTTTTGGCCGTCACAGGCAGGCCGAGTGGCGCGTCTCGTTCTCATGATTACTAAAATGGACATCGATATCGCAATCGTCGTGCGAAAATTCAACTCGTCGAGTACCTCGAGAGAGTGCTCGCTACGTGCATGCTAAGGTGGTAGTGAGCCGTGCACACTGCAAACGAATAGGCACTTTAATCGGCAGCTTATATCTCGCATGCCAACATGCCTGCAGAGAGTCTAGCTGCTAGAGCCGAGAGTCTAAAGCCATGCATCTTGAAGGATTCCGGTGTGTTAAGAATGCATCCCGCGATATCTCTGCATTTTATACCATAAGACCGACAACCGATGGTAGCCGCGTCTATTTTTGTGTCTGACGGCTATAAAGATGTTTTTAGCTTATTGTCGTGCGTCCGTGTGTGTTTCTCTGCGATTTAAAGCGCCACATTGTCTCCTATTTTCTGCTTCGAAGCCGAGTAATGAAGAGCAGCGTTTTCCTGTTCCGTTCTCGTCATTATTTATTCAGGGAACTTTATTATTACGCCGTGATAATTACGTTCCAGGGGAATTTAAGTACAGTAAACGAGAATTGTATAACGTTTGCGTAACGAATTCTTTAATTTAACACGCGAGAAAAAAATTTGTTGCAACGTCAACGGCGAGAGAATGCGAAAAAATGAATTGCAATTTTGATTGTTATTATTATTTCGAATAATGTATTCCGAGTGAAATGCTGGAAAGCTTCTTTTCGGTCGATGCCATCAGCTTTAAGCGACCCTAAAGCAGCCGTTTCACAGTTAGATAGATACGTATATGAACCGCGATAACGAATGCCTTGACCTTGACAATGGATTTTCTCCAAATACTTATCGGGTAAAGGAAAAATGTATCATTTTCAAGATTGATGTATCATCATTTGCACTTTGAAAAGAGACATTTACAGGTGATTCGTTGATTGAATAAAACGGCCTTATTAGAGAGAAAGAGATCTACCATTCATAAGCTGACTCGGGATTAATACCCATGGTATTATACAGCGCTGAATGTAATTAGAAATTGTAAGCTAGAGAGAAAGAGAGCGAGCTCATCGTGCAACGTGATGAGAAGACGCAAGGAAAGATTCTATAGATATACTACCATGACGTAATCGCGGCGGGCGCAAGGATTAAAGAGAGGAAGACCTGGGAGCTGAAACTTTGCCTCATCCGGACCATGCACGCTCTACCTAAATAACAAACTCTGTCTGACGGTGTACGAGCCCGAGTGCGCACACCGTGGCTCATGGCTCTCTGCGAACTACGAGACTAGCGACGAGATGATGATGATGATGGTGGTGTGCGATGGTCATAGATGGTAGTGGTGGTGATGACGGTGGTGGCGGTAGGTATAAGGAGAGACGACGGAGAACGCGAGGAGAGAACCTGGTGGAGATGCTGGAGTGGGGTTTGAAGAACGAGAGGAGGAGAGGAAGAAGGGCGTAACTGGGCCAAACGGTGGCTACGTCGCGGTCTAGACACGCCAAGCCGCTTCGCTCTGCTCCGCGTCGCGTCGTCTCTCGCGTCTCTCCTCTCCTTTCCACTCTTCCGCTCTCCTCTCCTCTCCTCTTCCTTCCTCATCTCTTCTTCTCTCCTCTCCTCCCTATCTCGTGCCGCGCCTCATCTCGCCTCGTCTCGCCTCGTCTCGCCTCGCCTCGCCTCGCCTCGCCTCGCCTCGCCTTACCGCGCCGAGACTGGGAATTAATGCTCCGAGTTTGTGCCAGACTTTCCTTTTCGCTCCGTAACAAGGTGGTGTAGTTCCGCCGTCTCCTCCGAGCGACGGCGCCGCGTGACACGCTTCGTCGGATTAATAATTGCGAGGAGGCGAGTAGAGCGATTCCGGATCGATGGATTTCCAGAACTGCCAGGGGAACCGCGCGAAACATTTTCCCGCGATAAAGCTGCTGGAAAAGTCCAGGAATCCTAGAAAGAGAGAACTCTCATCAATAATAAATCATAGAAGGAGACCTCTCATCAATAATAAACATTCTTTTAACAGGAAGATAGATAGATAAATAGACGGATGGAAAGAGAGAGGGGCAGGGGAGACAGCGAATTAATACAGAGAAAAAAAAATTGCCCGAGAAAATACTTTGCAGGTACATTGCAACTGGAATGATGAAGCCATGACGCGTTATGTTGACCTTACGCAACGAATTAACTGTTAAACTTTAAACATGTCGTGATCACGCGTGTGAATCATCATGCGTAATTCACGTTTGACCAGTTCGGTAGGCGCGAGCATGGAAATGAACCAAGTCTGGCACGTTACTATGCGTTATTACGCGATCTCCCGAGCTTTACTTTGGAGATCTGACAGATTAACGCGGGCTTATCGCGGACGATGCGCTACAAATCATGCTTCATCTCACGCGTGTAATTATTGCAATAATTTATGGCACTTCGTTTTATACTTGTACGACATTTATGAATGATCGATGTAAAGGGAATCGCACATTCGTGCCTCTATGTTACATCTACAAAATACCGATGAGCTTCTCGTACTTGGGGAGCTTCCGAGCAGCCTCACTCTCGCGAGCACGAGCCGCTGTATCAACCGATAGCGAAACTATTTTTGCTCCCGCCCGTAACGGGATAGCGAAAGAAGAACGTCGGAAGAATTTCGCGGCTATTTTAGCGAACGTCGTACACCGCTGTTGCGTTGCTCTATTGCCGCATCCTCGTTACAAGACTCGTTACAGCTGACGGCGATTCACCTAAACTTGGCTTTCCCGGGAACTAGAACGTAAACAAACGCGGTTGTGATCATTTATCGCGAAAAGCGAATACGGCGAGGATATTAATATCGCGAGGATGAATCGTTTGCCGGTCGCTCTACCTCCAGTATTTCCGAATCGTGGACCCGCAAATTTGCGGGCCAGCTTTCCTGCGCTTAAATTACGCCGCTCGAGGATTCCTATTTTCGCTAACAATATTTTTCGCGAACTCTATATCCGTCCACGTACGAATCATTACCGAGAATATTGCGCAAAAGACAAATGTGCGATTTGACCTTCGCTATTAATCAAACGTCGATTCTCTGAATCTCTTTGACGTAAGATTCAAATTATTCTCTCTTTTGCGCGTATATTTTATCGAATACATAGTTTATTACTCGCATTAATGCAGATATTGAAAGAAATAAAGATTTATCGCTTAATTATTAAGGTTTTTGTATCATAAATTGATTACATGTCAAAATTTTTGCACGAGTTTTCATTTTTTTTTTAGAATAGGAAAATAGAGTGATATCATAAATTGATTACATATCAAAATTTTTGCACGAGTTTTCATTTTTTTTTTTTAGAATAGGAAAATAGAATGACTTGTGTCAGATCCGATGATGTTAGAGATCAAGTTGATGAAAGAAAACAAGTTTCTATTATATGAAATATATCGATATTAAAAGATTATTTTAATGAATGAAACGATAAAAAAACATATTGCGATGTAGAAATGTGCGATCAAGTATATTTTCCTTTCGCGATAATTGCATTCTTATCTTACACGTGCTTGTGTTCTGTAAGAAAAATAAATTATTATGCAGCGCGAAGAAATAATCATCGTATCCGTTATCGACTCTGTTGCGCACGAGACGTTATTGTAACTATGAGCTAATCCTCGAAGAATTTCTACCTAATGCTAATGCTAAGAATTTAGTAAACAATGTCGCTTATTTTCCAGACCCGCAATCTTGTGATAGCGCAAAGTCCAGGTGTGGTAATCATACATTGTAAAATACTTTAGCGAACTAAAATACATATGATTATGAATGAAAAATGCGTAGTTTCCAGCAAATGCATTGTAAATATTTTGAAGATGATAAATATATCACCGAATAAACTGCAAAGATATATGGAAGTGCCACCTCTCTGATGAAGCTAAACGAATTGTTGGTCACGCTTTGTCACGTGTTTGCAATATGTCTCGTTCAATTTGTACGCTTAATCAGATATGTATATCTTGTAATAAAAAAAAGAGCTTCATTAATAGGAGATTTCAAGTAGATGTAAATGATATAAATGCTTTACAAGTGTGAAAGTTGCATATTTTTTCACGGGAAAAACAAACGTCTCGTACAACACGTAGGTATCTATTTTGCACCGTATACGTAGCGATTTCACATAGCAGAAGGCCTTGTTCCACTTTTTCGCAGCGCTAATCACGTGTCCGATGTTTGCTTTTTTATACGCAACTTTAATTAGAGAGCCCTACAAGGCGTTTCTTTTTGCCGTACCCCATTAACGTGGCTAGCTGGCACTAGAGAGATACAACTACATCGGCAATCTGCTCGCTCATTTCAAGATATATCCACACTCATGCGACGCGCGACTCGGTTAACCAGATGTATCACGATAGTTGAAAACTAAGGAAGAAAGGCCAATTTGTCTCAGTCTCGAGCACTCTAAATTGTTATGCCTTTTTTGCTAAATTAAATAAATTATTAACGAAATAAATAAAAGAGAGAGAAAGAAATAAATTAACTAAATAAATAATTGAGTAATTGAAAAAATCATTGAATCAAACAAAAATATGTAGAGACAGAGAGATTTGCACCTTAACTATTATAAAATAACTATTATATAACTATTATAAAATACGTATCTATCTCGATAAATTAAAATCTATTTATAACAATAATATTTTCCCTTTCGAAAGAAATAAATAGCATCGAAATATATTATTTTATTAATATTTATTATTTTGTCTGATTCTATCTAGGCGGTATATGTTGGTCGTCTATCAGCAACGGCCGCTGCAAGGAACTTTTATCGCAAGGCGTCACGAGAGAAGACTGTTGCGCGTCTAACGCAGCAGCAGCGACTGCCTACTCCGAGGAGGATCTGGATAGCGGAAGTCTCTTCTTCTGGAGGGTTCTTGGCGGGGGTGTACAGTGTCGTCCTTGTCGAGGTACGCAATCAGACTATTCGATCACCGAGATTCGTTTCGCGTTCTCGCATGTTTGTTTTATTCAAACGCGTCCATCTGCATCATCTACCTGATTAATATTACTTATTAAGGGAAGAAAAAAACAAACTTTCCGTTTCTACGCATATAACTCTCTTAGTAGCGATAAGATACGTGGCAGAAAAGTTGAAACGGAGTATCATTCGCTCTATCTTATCTCTTCTGGCTTAAGCTATGTTTGCGTATTTGCATCTTTGATCGATCGAGGGGAGGACGATCGAAAAAGGAGAGGAAAGAATCACCTCATCTTGCGCATCCGCGGATAAATATGCACCATCTTCTTCCATTTGGCAGAGAGTTGCGCGGAAGTCAAGTGCGAGGAGGGAAAGAAGTGCGTGGTGCGTAGGGGAAGGCCGAGGTGCGTGTGCAGTCCGGAGTGCAAGGCACCGCGAGGCGGTGGACCGGTCTGCGGGACGGACGGCAAGAGTTATAAGAGCCTGTGCAGACTCAAAAAGCGAGCTTGCAAGAAGGGCAGCCACGAACTCGCGGTTGCCTACAACGGCCACTGCCAAAGTGAGTATGTATGAATAAGTTGATCGTCTCTCGCTCTCTCTCTCTCTCTGTCTCTGTCTCTCTCTTCTTCCTTCCTCTCTTTCTCTGTCTGTGTCGTTTTTCGCTTTCATCTCTGATAAAACCACTCGCTATCTCTCGGTTACGTTGGCGCTGTTTTTGTTTACCATTTATTCCAAGACTATCGCGATTATGGTAACTGGGACGCTGAAATGATCGGATAAACAAACGCAATGAAGCGACTCGAAGAAGCAGCCGGTTGGGGGATCGGTCATTCGTCGATATTGTAATCGATTCTCTCGTAACGCGGTTTAATTTAGACTGAGCGTGCGAGAAGAAAAATATTTTCATTTTGCAACATGCCGAAATGTTTAATGAATCGTAACAGAATCGCATTTACTTCCCACGATACTAAGTCGCGATTCAATACTAAAATCGAGTACACCTTAATATATTAGATGTATTTCAGTAAAAATATTATACAGGTTTCCATTTGATCGCGTCTCAAGTGGCTCTTACATCTTTACAAATTTAATATATTTTCCATGTCCTAGTATTAATTATACATTTTTAATGTATCGATCCAGTTTGTCAACGTGTTCGGAAAATAGCCAACGCGTAGTAATATTAACATAACACGAATTGTAATGTTTGCCTTTTCTCTCTGTTTCTCCTTTTCGTGAAATCTCGTGATCACATTTACATTTTATTTTACACGGCTCAACGAGCAAGAATACGCACAAATCAAACTGCTACGAATGCAAATAAAAAAAAAGGAGAAATTAAAGAAAGCGTCTGTCACGGGGGCGGTTTACGACTGTGCGTAATAACGTGCAAAGTGTCGAGCAGGTTCGTGCGCACGGGTCCGGTGCGGCCAAGGTCGGAGCTGTCTGCTGGACCAGAACCTGAGCCCTCACTGTGTGAGGTGCGCCCGCAGGTGCCCCCAGGCGCCCCCGCACCAGGTCGCCGGCGCGCGCCCCGTTTGCGGGGCCGACGGAAACACCTACAAGAGTGCCTGCCACCTGCGACTCGCCGCCTGTCGCGCAGGTCGCGCCATTCCCGTCGCTTATAAGGGCCATTGCAAACGTGAGTCTTTCCTTCTTCGCTCCTGTTTCTCATTTTTTCATTTTCACCGAAAGATTTTACAAATGTGCGTTAATATTCACTTTGAACCATTCTGAAGAAACTCTTCTTCTTCAAGATTTATCATTAAATCGAGAAAAATTCATATTCAACTTGCGAAATTTTGAAATAAAAAGAGAAAAAGGAAAAGAAACTTGTCAACTGCATAAAATAGTATATAAAATTTAAATAAAATATACATAAAATTTAAATAAAATATTAATAAACAAAATATCGTATAAATACTTTAAATACTTATAAAATCGAAAGGAAAAGAAACTTATCAACTGCATATATATAATTTAAATAAAAAAAATTATATATAAAACATATTAATAAAATATCATATAAATACTTTAAATACTTATAAAATCGAAAATTGATTCAAGCCAATAAAAACAATAGCAAATGAAAGAAAAACAAGAATAAAAGTCTCATTGGCGGGCAGTCAACCTGTTTTGCATCAGAATGGGCCTTATTGTTGTCTGTCTTGCACGATCCCAAAACCCCTCGACAGATACCATAAAATAGCCAAGACACTGTGACTTCTTAAACGGGAAGTCCATGGGAATAATAAAATTCACGAGTAAATTTTGAATCAACGCACATTCATACAATAGAGTTTTCTTCTTTTTTGCTTTCTTTCTTTCTCTCTCTCTTTTTTTCCTTCCGTCTTCCATTCTACTCGTTTGCTCCCGTTTACCACTCGTTATTTCATTTCTTTAGCCATTAAATCCTTTACTTCAACCCTCCCGCAGAAAGAAAATAGAAGATGGGATTCATGAGTTTAAGATTTTCTCGTAAAAAGAAAGAAACGCGACGAGAAGATGAGTGAAAAAGAAAAAAAGAATACGATGTCTGTGGCTCGCCAAAGGCGAGCGTAAACAGACGTGAACGGATAACAGAATGAAAAGGTACTAAAAATAATGGCGATCCCAAGAATCCCGAAAAGAAAGTCATTTTATACAAATTGGATGAAATCCAATACACATAGATACCTTTTGCAACATAAAATCTATTTTTCGCAGTCACACAATGCATTTTTCTTCCAGATTCCTTTCGTAAAAGATTACATTGGATGAAAATAATTTAACGATAATTAATGATTAATTATGAATTAATAATTAATGAGATAACTTGCTCCATTTAAAATTTTCTACCTAAATATTTTATAACGTTTAATACTGTATCACTATCGAACTAGAGTTTCAAAATATCACATTTATTTCAAATTAATTTCTATCGCACATATTTTATCGCAGTAGTCAGTTTCTTTAATTGCGTCTCCTCGGTTAATTGTTGTCAATTTATAAACTTGTACATTTTTTGTCGCGTTTTCATCCCGCGTCTAAACTCTCGTGACTCTAAGAGACTATTCTTAAGCTAGTGCTATTCCGCAAAATCCATAATTGCGGTAAGAAACGGATAACTACGAGGTATGACTTTTGTCTTCGTGCTTCTCACGAGTGTCTTATATTGCAAGGAGAAGAGAAAAGGAAGAGGCGTAAAAGTAAAAAACATCAGAAGGCAATCGCAAGATCGTTCCAGGAAGTTCATCGACCGAGACGCGATCTGCTGGGCCGCGAAAGAGAACAAAAAATTATAAAAAAAGGGAAGAAGGTAAAAAGATGGAGCGAGAGACAAAGAGGAGCATCGTTTTCTGTCCATTCCTCTCGAGAAGCTGCCATAAACCCTCAACTTCGAACACGACACGATCGCCGATTACCAGTCAGATTGACAGATTTTTTTCCAAGAACCCATCGGGGATCCTTCGAGGAGTATCACGCGATCCTCGCAACCACCTGGCATCCTGATTATTTCAGACAGCTCCTTCTCTCTCTCCCCCTTTCCGTTTCCCCCTCTCTTTCTCTCTCTTTTACTTAATATACACTTGAAAAAGATTTATTCATTTTTCCTACAAAATCAATTGTCTTGGCGCAGACGCGTAAAGAAAGAGTAAAAGAAGGGTATCGTAAAAAAATCAATCATTTTTTAACTTAAAATTCACAAGAAAAGTTATATGTTTACCTATCGAACGATATGGTCGAAAAACAAGAAAGGCAGATTTTATCGACAATGTTGGTGATGTATATGTAACACGTACGCGTTTCTCGGTCGTGTGCACTGTTGTTTGTGGAATGTCGATGACGCGTAAGTCGCCGTCGTATACAGCTCGCGCAGGGCGTGGGCGCATTACGCTTTGGGATCGTCGTCATTGTATTTAAATGGCGAAGCTGCAGGAGGCAGCTCTTAACCTGTCCGCTCGACGCAGCCAGAGGCCAGCCGTACTTTCGGATAGGTAGGTGGGCAAGTTTCGCGCGTATATGTGCGGGTTATTTTAAGCAATGCAACCATACGTATTTCGCGAGGTGGTTGCACTTGGGCCAGACTCGCGCGAGTGTCGAGAAGACGACGATCCGCGATCACGATTGCCGGGATCGACGTGGATTTCCCGAGTGTTTCTCGCGAAAAAGCCACCGGAATCGAGAAACGTCAGAAATATTTTCGCCGCTAAAAAAAAAATGAAACGGATATTTCCATCCGCTTGCATGCTATTCGCCCTTTTCTCGCTTTCCATTTTTCAATTTGCATTACGATCGTCGAGGAACGAACGATATAGGTCAAGGTGTGTTTCGGTATTGAAAAAAAAAAAAATGAAAAAAAATAGTATCAGCCGTACACAGCCGCAGATGTAACCAGCGCGCGTCGATGTGCTCGCAGACGTGCATACATATGTAAGGATGTGTCCTTGTAGCGTCCTTGCCCTCCGGTCATTCACCGTATGCACGCACGCACGCACGCACGCACGCATGCACGCGCATTTTGCACACACGCATTCGACGCATGTAACGTAGCGCGCCCACGCAATCCGTGCACGTTGGAACGCGGTCCTTTACGACACTTACGATCCTTGTGATGCCCCCTCCTCCATTCCCTGTCCCCGATTGAACTAAAAATAACTCTCAGCTAAAAGAATTTCGGCGTGCATCGATCAGCATTCCCATCGGAGGACGAAAGTTCAATCGATTTGATCACTACCGCGGTGTGGAATACGACCATGAGACCGGACCGGTTTGATACTAAAGCCGCGAAAGGCGGAGATTTGGCGGTAATGGAGAAAAGGTGCTAAATAAAGCACGCGTGATGCGCTATTTTGCTCGCGGAAAAGAGAAAAATATACGCGCGAAATGCGAGAGAGCGAATGAAGAAGAGAGACAGCTTTTTCTCCTCGTCATCAAAAAATGTCAATAGTTGCAGCGTTTCAATTTTTCTTGGCCACCTGGTCGACGCGAGAATCCTCGTCTCGAATCCTTGACAGACCACTTTCAATGCGATAATTCCTCAAGTTCCTTTCCGTCCGTAGTTTATAGAATCGTTGGAAAGTCATCGTGAATTAGCATAAGTTGTCATTCGGATATAGAGAAACGCTCCTCTCTTTCAGTAAGATTGTTATCGACAATCATCGTTATTTGACAACTCATCTCTAAGCTTGGACTATTGCAGTCAAGAATTACACGAGAATTAGATTTACGAGGCACTTAATCCTGTCGATGCTTCATATCTCATAACATAAATAAAAATATTCCGTATTTATTTCGCAATCAATAACAACATTGCTCGCGATCGATAATCGTTAAATAATTGATTTACATATCATATTCGAATAAAATTCAATTATCACACGAGTACGAAATGTAAATTGAATTTTTCATCAAAATATATTCATAAGCAAAGGCAGCTGGAGGATTCGAAATGGTTTCTTCGACTTTATTTTTCAAGGATTCTTATTCTTCGTTTCACTATCGATTTCTCGCGAGAGATCACTTCCGTGATTTCGTGTCGACGAAATCAGAGACGAGTCTATAACGGGAATATATATATACGAACGCGATTGGACGCCTCGTTTGAAAATTCCTCGCGGGCAAAATCACCCGGCCATCCCTCGTCTCTCTCCTTCCTCCTCCTCGTCTTCTCGTCGTCGGAGAGAACAGGTGGGTCGCACGACGCTAAGGTCGCCGAGGTCAGCCGCGTTTATCGGTTTAAGAACGGGGTGAAGGGGAGTCGGTTGGATGCAAACAAGGTTGAGCACCTTACACGAGAAGGTCTTGCGGCACGACTACACCAAGTATGCCTACGTATATATCGTCTTTCTGGGGCCCGAGAATAAGAGAAAGAGAGGGAAAAGGAGAACGAGCCGACGACCGAGGAACCAGAAGGGAATCGCATGCACGCGCTCCTCGAACGACGGAGAAGAAACGAAGACGAGAAGCGGCAAATGCGAATCGAAGGGAAGAGAAGAAGAGGAAGAAGAAGCGGAGAGAGAGACGGAAAAATATCAAAAGGGAGAGGAGAAAGAGAGAGACGGGGAGAAGGATAGGGCGGATCGGGACGAGGCAAAGGTTTGTACAAGAGCCCGCATACACAGGGAACTCTGGCAGCAGCCCTTCACACGGGTCCGGACCCTAGTAACAGTATTCAGTAACACCATGCACCGTGCAGCCTGGCGTGGCCACGGCGTGTCTGGCCAGTGCCAAGCTCGTCCTTTTTTTTATTAGACTCTGGCGCAAGATCCTACCGAGTCTCTTCCTCTCTCTCTCCCTCTCCCTGTCTCTCTCTTATTCTTCTCATCGGCCAATGCACCGACATCGCTCGCTCCACCGTTTTCTTCCCCTCCCTCCCGTTCTCCTCGCAACCATATCAACGTCCGCGCGTCTCGACATCGACATTTACCGCCGCATGCCTCCAGTTGAATACCTCCTCGCAGACGGCACCCCACCAGAGGATACTCATCCCTTATCATCCCTTACTTCGTCGCGTATCCTTCTCTCTCATCCGCGTTAGCTTCTTCGCGCTCCTTCTCCGAGGATTGCATCTATCGCGTCGCGCTCGCGGTGCTCTCGATATACCGTAAACAATCCGCGAAGGGAACCTTTGGCCGTTTATGCAAACCGTATGCACGCCGTGACTTTGTATATATCGTCGCGGATACGACGAGACGATTCCGCGGACGATGCTCGCCGACGACGATCAACATCGCGCCACGTTTTCCGAAGCACCATCGGGTGTACGTGCGTGCACGTGTGTTTTGCCGAAGAATGAAACGCATGCAGGATTGCATGCCGCGTATTTCTTTTTCATAAATAGTGGTAATATCGAAAGAATGCACTGTGGAACCAAGAAATGCAACCGCGAATATCGCCATCTTTTTTTCTTTTCGTAAAGTCCCATCGATATCGCTTTGCGATATTTCAATTTATATACAAAGTGTTTCGTAATAAGTCGAAAAATTTTAGGACATGATTCTTTGTCGAAAATTAAGGGGAGTTTTTCATGTAAACATATACTACCTCATCCCTTCTTGTGGCATTACATTCCTCCAAAAATGAGAGTAAACATTAGGTTTTTATTTTTTTCTCAAGTTTGGAACAGAGTTAAAGAAATGAAATTAGGTGGATATTCTCTACTAGTAGAGAGGTTATTTATTAATATTTTTTTCAGCCTCTCGTATTCTTATAAGGGGATGAAACTAGCAAACCCTATTCAATTTTTTATTAGAACTTTTTAATGTTTATATGAAAAATCCCTCTTAATTTTTGACAAATAATATCTCCCAAAACTTTTCGTACTTATTAAGAACTACCTTGTATATAGAATGATATCAAGATTAAAATGATAAAGAGATTTTATATAAATATAGAGATTTTTATATACATTTTTTAATATATAAGAAATATGAACATGATATTGAAAGCACTACAATGCCTAAGATGTAAACAAATTATGCGTGTTTTCCATCTTCTTGCTCTCCGAGTTAATGATACATCTATCGCGCTAGTCATACGGTCATCAAACAACTCGGTAAATATCGTTAATCATATCAATCGGGCGAAAATTTGCTCGTAATTATTCCCTTCCGTGTTACACATCCTGCCTTGATGAGGACGAAGAGAACGCGATACCCTGTCCCGATATAATCATTAAGTTTCTTACGCGCATTTTTTTTTCCAAGTACTCGTTATAAATGCTCGTTAAATGATTGTGAGAATTTCAATGGAAAGAGTGCTATTACAGTTTTATTATTTTTTCATCGCTGCATTATCGCCAGCCACGCCATAGTCTCGATTTCTATCGCACGCATTCGAGATGAACTCTCCCCATATTGACAGTTTTCCTTAACGTTCGCGCGAAAACGTTGTCGCGAATAAGAGAGAAGGGAAAAAGGAGCAAAAATAAAAGAGTAGAAAGAGAGGAGAGCCCAAAGACACATCGATGGAGGAGTACGGTACACACAGCGCGACGGAGAGGTAAATAAGTAAATAAACCAGCCGGTTTAGCGACGAGGTGTCGCGATGCAAATAATCGTCTTTCTCCGATTCGAGGATCGCGAGGCGCGAAAGTGCACGCGTCTGTAAATATGCACACGGCAGTATGTGCATGGAACGTATATGAGCTTTTCTCGTCGTCCTCTCATCGTCTTCTCTCGCCACCTTCTCTTCCTTCTCGTCCCGACCGGCCAGTCCGGAATATCTTACGCTCCTGCTCTCTCTCTCCCTCTCTCTCTCTCTCTTTCCGTCCAAGATCTCTCTGCTCGATGCGCGACCGTTTATCCTCGCCACCAAAGGCGTTAAGTAATTTGCTTATTTTTTTCACCTCGCCAATGGCTCGCACATATATTGACACCGTTTCTCATCCGTCAATACTTGACGCGCGCGCGGTTTTTACCGCGGACGATGCGGCGCGATGAGAATTATCCGGTTGTCGCATGGCAAATTATGCCTGGCCGGCGAAGACGGAAGTGGATAATGGCATAGAAGGACAACATTTTTATCGGGAAGGGTAAATATCGCTCGTGAGAGAGATACTGCCGTTATATATACCTCCGTGTCGTGTCGCGTCGTATTTTTCAGAGATCCTATACAAGACGTATAGGATATATAACTAACTGTCAACGCTACCAGCGCGGTTATAGAGAGCTATGGAGAGAAATGTATCTTGCGCGTTTGTTTCATAAATCGTGATAACGTTAGACTCGAGAGTTTATGATTATACTTATAGTCTCTTCGAGAACGCGGCGGTTCAACGTAACGATGTAGCAAATTATTTGATCCAAACTGCTCTTTGCTGCGCGTACAAATTCATCTGATGTACAGGGTGTTTCTCAACAAGTGCGAAAAATTGTAGGAGATGATTCTTTGTCGAAAATTAAGGGGAACTTTTCATATACTACCTCATCCCTTCCTGTGGAATTACACTCCTCCAAAAATGGAAGTAAAAATTAGGCTTTTATTTTTTTCTCAAATTTGGAACAGAGTTAAAGAAATGAAATTAGGTGAATATTTTCTACTAATAAAAAGGTTATTTATTAATATTTTTTTTCAGTCTCCTGTATTGTTATAATGGATGAAACTGGCAATCCCTATTTAATTTTTTATTAGAACTTTTTAATGTTTGTATGAAAAACCCTCCTTAATTTTCGACAAAGAATCGTCTCCTAAAATTTTTCGAACTTATTAAGAAACACCCTGTATATCTTGTAATATTTTTAATTCAATATGACTCGTAGAAGAGGGAGGGAGATAAAACAAAGTAACATTACCGCCTCGTGTAGGGCGCACGATGCGTAACCTAATGACGGATCATTTAAATTGTCGTGCTTCAATAAGTGTTGACGACGTTATGTCAATGTCATGTTAGGTTGAATGACCAATGACCCTTGCGTATGTACAGCATTGCGTAACCGTTGCTTTCCTCCGCCTATTTACGACTGAACTTGGTAGTGAGATAAAAGTAACGTCGATTCTTCCAACTTTTCATCAGTGCAATTGAAAATATCGATTTAAATCATTCGCGATGCTTATTATAATTAATTAAATTTTCACTGGAAACCTCGAAGATTTTTTTTCTTTTAAATTTCTCGATTGTATTATCGCGTATTTAAATTATAATGTCCCAACATATCGTGTCTTTACGATTGTGTCTCTTGAAGCTCTCGTAATTATAAATGCAGTCCTATCGAGTAACATCTTAACAGCCTAGCACCGCGATATGTTACCTCACCTTCCTCTTAACTTATATCATAATCAAGCTAAAGGAAAGACACCGCGCAGAATTCTATACATGTTTAAGCATCATGTCTAACAATAAGGATCGTGTTACACAATTGTGTGAATCACTTAATAATCTCTCAAGACAAACATCATTACATAAGTTGCTATGTTGATCGAAAGAATGCTATAATGTATGCAAATGTTATAGAGCATTGTATAAAAGAGAAGAAAATACATCACGAAGAAAAATCGATTTCAAGCAATGTTGCATTTTCATTTTAATAAACGAAAAATATATAAAACGAAATAATCAATTTGAGATTTCAGCGAAAGTAAATAGATTTAGCGATCGTTTATTGTATTCCCGATCAAATTCATTCTATTAGAATGAAAAAAAAATAAACTAGCAGTTATATACAGGGTGTATCTTAAAAAACTCCCACTAAGCAAATAGCGTGATTCCTGATTAAAAACCGAGTCGAAAAGTCCTGAACCTTTTTTTTCCAAGATTTATTAAATAATTAATCAGATTTAAGTATTAAAAAGATTTCTGAAAAGATGAATTGTTTAAAAATTAATACAAAACAGTTTATTTTTTTGCTTATCCAAATCTTCATATGTTGATAACGCGGAAGTTTGTCTTTTTATTGGCGCGACTTCACTCATTAATTACTGCTTTATTAAGCATTATGGAAAAAAATGGTTCAGGACTTTTCGACTCGGTTTTTAATCAGGAATAACGCTATTTGCTTGGAAGCTTTTTAAGATACACCCTGTAAAATATATAAAATATTCTCATTAACAACTTCACAGATGTTACAAACACTTATCAATGATTTCAAAGCTCTGATTTTCGTTGTACGATTTTCGCAGAGAGCGCAGACTGTACCAAGATACGCTGTCGAGAAGGCCAAACTTGTTTGTCCGAAATGAAGTCTGGGCGACCACGTTGCGTGACCTGCACCTATCGTTGCCCCCGGAAGCGAGAACGCGTGCGAAATCGGGCGCACCGTGACAGAGATCGGGATCGGGATCCATCGACGACCATGTTATGCGCGACCAACAACATCACCTATCCAAGCTGGTGTCACATCATCAAGGACGCCTGCGTTACCGGCTTCGTTCTCGAAACGCGGCACGCGGGCCCCTGTAACGCTTACGACACAGCCCCTCTTTATATCGGTGAGTTAACAGTTGTTAAAAAAACCTAATATACGTAATGTGTGTCACACAAACGAAATTGCGACAACTTGGCCGACTGCCACGAGATACTCGGCTTTGTAAACGGTCAAAGAACGTGGAGTATTGCCAAGAGTTCGGCCTCGATTTTTTGGACGGTGGATCCGACAGCGAGCCGATAATGAAAGATGGACAAATTGATTCACTTTGATGTCGATAAATTCGTAGCATGTTATCCGCGAATATATTTCAGACACGACTCGCGCGACCCGACGATCTGAAGACGACTTAAGAATTAATCGTTTTATTGGATATAAAAAGCGTAATATATATATGCGTGTGCATGCGCTGTTCTAATCATTTATTTATTGCTCTGGGTTCTCATTAGTCATTTGCGAGCGCCGATGTAATCTCTCGTTGCAATTTCATGTGGGATTTATGTTACTCGCGCGCGAATCGTGTCAGATACATGAGTATGTTAAACATTCAGCATCCAATAACGAGAACGTGAACAAGAGAAAGAAGATTTGAATCTCTATAATTGAACAATCTCTGACTGTGTTTCTCTAATCAACTCAATTAAATACTCTTTAATGAATTCTTTTAATGACTAGTCATAGGCATAAAGTATATTATATATTTTAACTAAAATTATTTCACTTTTATCAATTTAAAAAAAATAATCAATTATAATTTATATATTATTTATTATATTATTTAAATAATCCATATTCAATTATGTTCGCGAGTATTAATAATAAAATCCTGACTTTAATATTCATAAATTAGTTGTTAAATTAGTAGACAGAATGCTGCTACATAATGGATATTAATATTTTTTTAAATGATTGTTATATCAAACGTGAATAAATAATGCTGGTAAAGATATTAAATCTTTTTTTTCGTTGAAATATTTTGCCATAATAAAAATGATTGAAATTTCTTTTAAATAAAGAATTTTGTTTAATATACTTATACTGACTTATACTAACTTTCGCTTAAACTATCCCTTAGCCTCTATTAAATTGCGTACACGCAGAAACCTGTTGCACGTTGTATGGAAACAGGCAGAGAGACATTCCGTTTCCATTCATGATGCTTTCAGTGTGCGTTTTATACGAATAATTCACGTTTTACGACATGTATTATTATTCACGATTTGTTATTTTGCAAGTGATGTATACATTTTCCGCAGCATTCTGTCTACTAATTTATGAATATTAAAGTCAGGATTTTATTATTAATACTCGCGAACATAATTGAATATTGATTATTTAAATAATATATAAATTATAATTGATTATTTTTTAAAAATTGATAAAAGTGAAATAATTTTAGTTAAAATATACAAGATGCTAATCACAATGATGCCTAACATGCTGACCGGAAATGCATATTGATCTTATGAATATTAGAAAAGATAAAGGAGAAATTTTCAAAGCTAACATTATTTTAACTAAACATTCGCCAAACATGTCAAATGTACATTCGTTGCAGAAGAAGACAATACCTCGAGCAACTATGGGGTTGACCTGGCGGACGAAGATACAAAAGCGGGTGATGATCGCGCCAAATCCCCATATGGCCTACATTCTTTACCGTTGTCGTAGCTTTAGCGTTTTCGTACTTCGAGAAACGACGTTCATTAGCGATAGATGACAGCAATGATCCTACAGTCTAGAAATCTAGGTGCTCATCTCTCACGAAGGCCACGAGAAATGGCGAGATCGCGAATTTGAAGATCGACATCGAAGCTCGATGCATTCGTTCCTCGGTTTCTGACAGACATTCGGATTAAAAGAGAGCCTACGCGAGGCTCAACTCGAGAAGAGTTGACAACGAAACGCGAAACATTAAGTATCTTAATCATTTTATTTAAAAGCAAAAAAAAAGAGAGAAAAAAGATATCATATCAAAATACATTTCAATAAAAACATATCTTATTCAGGATTTTTGGAAAAATGCAGGAGCAGAAGCTCGTTAGAAAAGCTCGTAGGAATCGCTTTACATATAAAATACGCATTTACTCCAACTCTCTAAAATCTCTCAAGGTGAGAGATAAATATAAGAAATATAATATAAACAAAAAAGATCTCGCGTCGTTCATTCCGAGAGGACTAATGGCGATGTCGTTCTTCCGTTGATTAACAAATCTGATTCTCTCAAGCTAACGGATATATGACGCATTTCTAGATATATACGTATCTATCGTGTAGTCTTATAACATAGAAAAATTATATAGGATGAAAAATATAATACGAACGACCATGTAAAACGCGTGTGATAATATTCATAAGACACCCGTTACAAGAGAATTTGGAAAGCAAATAGCAATTTTTTGCATCAATAATAACGCGATACTAAAATTTTTATCAAAGAAAAAACTCGCACACGTTTCATGTGGATGTATAAGAAAGATATCGTTAAAATCAATAATGGAAATATATTTATAGATTGATGATTTTGGAATCGAATATTTCTTCAATAAAAATTAAAATAATATGTTTGTACGCATTTATGTTAAAAACTAATGATTTAAAAAAATATTTTTAATATAAACAAAACAGAACTTTTCGGTTATTCAATTAATTTTAATTATTTAAATAATTAAATTTAAATGATTAAATGTTAAATTTAAATAATTAAATGTTTTTAAGACATAGATTAAATAATTACATGTTTTTAAGACATAGATATTGTTAGAGATTTTATTGTTAAAATATTTATCGATAAAATATCAAAAGTACTGCATCAATTAAATTTTCACCATAAAAAGGAAAAAAATAAGATTTTAAAATCATCAATAAATTCAATTCTATTAATGATCATTCAACACATTCTACGAAATATATTCATATATATATATATGTCAATGATAAATATCACACGTCCCAATAAATTAAAGTAACATATTTTTCATCGATGGATATTTCGATGAAATACAATAAGCTACCGAAAAAGTGTAATTTTGGTCTTACCATAAAAAAAAATTTGAGAGAGAAGCAGATATATAATCGAAAAAATATAAGATCTCACATCTCAGTATAATTTTATGTAATTTTATGATTGGTGCAGAATGAACAACGACTCGAATCTTTCGTATTATACACTTATAACTTTCACGTTATGTAATTCCTTACTTTTCGAAATGAGAAATGCATCCTTATTCTAAAAGACGCATATTTATAATATTCCTTGACATCCGGTTAATCGATATATAGGGTGTCTGAAAAATTGCGCGAGCATTCGCCAGAGAATAAAATGAAATAAACTGAATAGAAAAGTCCAATTGCAATTTTCGCAATAATTATTAAGATATTAATTAAAAAGGATTAGCAAATGAGCGTACGTTGCGTCAATTTTTTTTAATTAACCAATAATTATTTCAATAATTATTGACAAGATTGTTAAATTAAATTTATGTACAACAATTAAAGGAGATCTTTCTGTTCAATTTATCGCGTTCACGAGGCACTATCTTTATCAGACACCCTATATATGTATATATAGGTAAAACTTTCGATCTCGAGAATGCGATAACCGTTTATGTTCGGCGTGGCATCCGATTGCATCGTGTTACGGCGTCGTAGCATTCGGAAAAAAAAAAATGTAATTCATAATGAGATTGTAAGATTGTGTGGCGCATAGCGCCGCGATGTCTCCCAAAAGTAGCACATTAGATAGACGAGCAATTTGACGTAAGTCAGTATTTATTATTAATCGATTTACGACGAGAGGTCGTTGACACGGCGAATGGACGATCGAAGATGATTACGTCATACAACGGTGGTTTTATTAATTTCCCAAAGAAATTTTGCGATTGGCCACCGCATTAATAATTTCAACAAATTTCAGCGCACGATGTACCTTTTTTTGTTCATTTAAAACAGTAATCGATGACAATATACTGTTGGCGTTGAAGGCTCTTAACTGTTGAATCTTAGATTTAAATTGTATAACTATAGGAATATACACAATTTAACTGAAAAAAACGTTTTGATATATTTTTTTATTTTTTTTTTAAATAGATTTACTATCTCTAAATTAATAAATTTGACGTTTATTTTTCCCGTTATCTGTCCCTAATTGTTTAATTGTATCGATGCACAGTGTATATACTGTTATATACGCTATAGATTTTTAAAGCTTGATATTTTGACTTGAGCATCATCGATCGTCCAAATGCTTCCGTCCTAGCGTCAGTAGTATTCGTGTAATATTTGTACTTAATTTATTTTAGTTTTACGGACAAACGTTTCGTACTCTATTTAATTACGCATGATCAAGCAATCGTTTTAATCGAATGTAATGATGTAAATTTATTGGGAATGAAAATCAAAGTGATATCGCGATCTCCAGTATTATTAAATCTCGATGATAAATGGAAAATGAAAAAGCAGTAGTGTACTAATTGAAGATATAAGAAACCGAATGATTAGAATGGAAAGGCAACGAGAAAATGTAGCATAGCGTAATAATCAGTTGCATAGCGTAATAACCACTCCATTATCAATCGATCAAGATGATCGATTTCATTGTGCGTGTTATCTATAGTTCATTTTCATTCCCAATACCAATTGTCGCCCATTACTTGGAGGGCGATATATCGATGAAGCAATCGCGGTAGTTGAAATCAGGCTAAGAATGTCGGCCACGTGACACACCACCGACATAATATAGATAAATAATAAAAAGTCAACGTGCCCTCTGGCCTAAAATAGTTTGCGGCTAATGTTTATGGCTAGAAATACGCGCTGCGAATCGCGTGTCGCGAAAGAGAGATTATGACACGATCTATATGCGTTGGGAGGTATAAAGCAATTATAAAAGCGTATAAACTCAAGACTCCGTATTTACGAGAGATTTCTCACAAGCAGAATAATCTATTATTTTTAATGTCTAAGTTTCAAAATGCTTTATCTAGGCAATAACAAATTAATTAACTTATAAATAGATGAATAAATATATATATAAATATATAAATATATATATATATATATATAAATATATGAATATATAAATATATATACATATATACATATATATATATATATATATCTGTACAGGCTGTCACTGAAAAGTCCAGCCGTTACTTTGGAGAAAGAAAGCACACTTCTTATATAAAAAAGATGAAAATATTTTATTTTACAATTATAAAGAGGCTCTCGAGAAACGCTCTCTCTTTTCCATATTATTCCCAGAAATGTTTTGAATATTATATCATTAAAATTATAATAAAATATATATACCGTGAGGCCGTTTCTTTTTACAAGATATTTTTATCATTTTGATATGAGAAATGTATCTCCAAAGTTTATTTCTTAGTCGGGCGTTCTAATGACACCTTGTATACGCATATACTTATACAGGATATGCCGCCATTTTTTCACATATTCGTTGACCAATCTGGAATCTATTTTTAAATTTTATCGAATATTAAAGTTCTTTGATATAAAATTAATTTATAAAAAAATTAGATGCTGTCTTTCTTATTTATTTTTATCTTTAAAATTTTATTCGTCAACATTATAGTAATATAAATCTAATATAGAATAATTTTTATAATCGCAAAACATTACTAATCTACTGATATTTATGTTGTGAAAAAATTGATCCTAGATTAGTCAGAGAATTCGTAGAAAAATATAGTAGTAATAATTGTCGGGCAACCTGTATGAAAAAATATATATATATATTTGCAGAATTGTACAGGATGTTGGAAAATAGGCATTTATATGGTAAACAATATTCCTTTTTAGAAACTGAATTTTTTTCCCATCAAAATTTAATTACAAAATAATCAAAAGTTTAAAATTTAAATATTAATGTTAATATTTCAATTATTTATATATTTACATATTTTTAAAATTTCGAAAGATTATAGTTAAAAAGCTAAATATATATAAATTTTATTTTTTTTCTTTAAGAAAGGTATATTTTGAAAAAATATTTTTTTAATCGGCATTTCAAGATTCATTTGCGAAACTTTTATTACGAATAATGCGTTTCAGATTTTTTAATGAGGAATATCGTTATGTCAACCAAATATTTTGTCTATTTCCAAACGCCCTATGTATACATATAAATCTTGTATATTTACATAGCTTTACATATTTATTAATTATGCATATATACATGATTTACATGTATATATAAACTTACAACTGCTTTCAAGACTGTGGACACACACATTATAAATGTATAAATGTTTAAATAAATTATTATAATGTGGTACTCAATTATAATGTATCATATTTATTTATAATTAATTAATTAAATATTCGACGCGTGTACTCGAATCCTACTTTTATATATCGAAATTCATTATTTCTCAACTTGTTAAGTATAATGTGTGGTATCGATGCAGCAGTTGATCGGAAAAAAAATTGAAAAAATCCGCTTACTTTATTCCACGATTATTTCGATGTAGATCCTTCCTTTCCGCCATGTTTATTTTTCCATATCCGTGATCGCGTAGACCGCCAATCTGTCCTGAAAAATAATATTATATATTATAAAAATACACAATATTTAATGCGTTGGATAAAAACTCGTAATATCATTGATATTCATTCTCGATAATTTCATTAATACTTACTTTAATGGTGTTCAAAGAGTATCGGGGGTCCCGCAGAGTTGACCCTGACCGAATGTGACGTCACACTTTTGCACTACCGATGTAAATTACAATGTCTACATAATGACCCTCGATATTTTTTTGTTACATTCCTGATATTATGCCCGTTTACTTGTAGCTGAGTGTATATTTATATCATCTCTAGTAAAAATTAAAATCGCACGTTAATATTACGAGACAAGAATGTGATTTTGGTAATATATAATATTACGGTGAAGACCGTAATATTATATATTATTGGGATATATCGTAACAATAATACAACCATACAATTCACAGAAATCACGCGAGCAATTAATTACTTACATTCCTTCGATATTTAGGATACTCAATCACAATTATTTCTCGGAAACATCTCGACAGGAATGATCGCGCGCAACAAACCGGAAACGAAGAGAGACGAAACTTCTCGATTCTCGAGATTCCGTTCGCGGAAAACTGTGGTCCGATACTTCCTGTTCGATTCAAATATGGATGTCGCGTAGCGCGAATTATCTAATTTCGATTAAACGGCTAACACACATGCGTTTGCATCGGATGTAGAGCACGAATAGCTTCTACTCTAATTACTAATAAACGTACCGCAATATTCGACAGTTATTCGACATTTATCAACGATTAATGATACAAATTATTACGCGATTTCGCGATACGACATACCTCGTGACAGCCATATTGGATACCATAAACTCGGAATCTCGGAATCGAACCACGTGATCCCAGTGGACCATTCACGTCCGATTTACAACATCCAATAGGAAGTGTCTTCTCTAGTGTCTTTTCTAGTGTCTTCTCTAGGATTAAAAGTGACGTAATTAGAATCCACACTTTCTATTGGACATCGAATGTCAGATATGTGCAATGTGAATCTTCCATAATGGAGTGAACAATGAACTGAAATGCCGGGACGCTCTTGACTTCCTGTGTTCTCTTTGGTTAGGTTAGGTAAATTAGATTAGATTTCTCCGCGTTCGTTTCGTCTCTTAAATTTGTCAAAAGCAGAATGACAGGTCATCCGTCAAGTATGACATTTAAAAATACGGTGAAAAAATAAAATGTTTTTTACACAATGATACAATATAAAAAATCTATGACAGTTGTAGTTTATACGATTGAAAAATAACCTCACATTGTGCGTAGATTTCATAAACACATCGAAATGTATTTAATATCTTATACGACGATATTAATTTCATTTTTAATATCGTGTTACACGTGGGAGGTATATATATCTTTTATTAAATTAGCAGAATTTTATTTGTTAATATTTATTTATTCTTTGTTAACATTGATTTATTAATTTACAGATACCAGAAAACTTTGCAAAAACTGAACATTCCAATAATTGGGCAGTTTTGGTCGATACATCACGTTTCTGGTTTAACTATCGACATGTCGCGAATGTTTTATCTATCTATCGCAGTGTTAAACGATTGGGGATACCAGATTCGCAAATCATTCTTATGATAGCTGATGATATGGCTTGCAATCCTAGAAATCCTAGACCAGCGACTGTTTTTAACAATATTAAGCAACATATTAATGTTTATGGAGATGATGTAGAAGTTGATTATAGAGGTTACGAAGTAACGGTAGAAAATTTTGTAAGATTATTGACTGGTCGCTTAGCGGAGGAAACTCCTAGATCTAAGAAACTATTAACAGATGAAGGTTCAAACATCTTGATTTATTTAACTGGCCATGGTGGTAATGGATTCCTAAAGTTTCAAGATTCTGAGGAAATCACTAGTCAAGAGTTGGGAGATGCATTAGAACAAATGTGGCAAAAACGGAGATATCACGAGATTCTATTTGTGGTTGACACTTGTCAAGCGAGTTCAATGTATGAGAAGTTTTATTCCCCAAATATATTAGCAGTCGCTTCAAGTTTAGTAGGGGAAGATTCGCTTTCTGTAAGTAACAAGTTATATTGTTGCAATTATACACCATTGTAGCAGAATAATGTCTATTTGAATTCATATACTTGTAGCATCATGTGGATCCTGCCATTGGAGTTTACATTATAGATCGGTATACTTATTATGCATTAAACTTTTTGGAAAAAGTAGAACCATCTAGTACTAAAACATTGGGTGAATTTGTAAGCATCTTGCTTTAACATTAGATTCAAATCTTTTTGCTATATTGCTTTAAGGCTTACTATTTTCTTTTTTTTCAGTTAAAAGTATGTCCGAGAGATTATTGTTTATCTACAGTTGGTGTAAGAAGAGATTTATTTAGAAGAGATCCAGATAAAGTGCCAGTAACAGATTTCTTTGGGTCTCTTAGGCCTGTAGAACTTACAACAAATATAGTGAATGTTTTACCAATTAAGTCTAATCGTACAAAAATTCAAGAGCCAAAAGGAAAATATAGTTATGTTGCGCAATTCCCTGATGTATCTCAATACGTATGATAAGAAGAAAGCTTTTTGCTATAAATTTAATTATTTGATTTTAATTCTACTTGGAGATTATAAAAAAATAGGTATGTCTTTAATCTATATTATCAATAATTGTTACAATAGAAAACTACTGTTTCTTACTATTTTCTGTACTTGTTCTTTTCTTTTTTTTTCTTTTTTTTCTTTTCTTCTTTAATATATAAGTATATATAATATATTATTTCACTTTAAACGAGAATACATCAAAGTATAGACTCGAGGCACCTTATATTTGATGACAATATTAAGAAAATAGTACGAAATAATGATACTTTTCATTATCTTCTTTCAACTAAATAAATTGCCATTTTTTCCTCTTTATCATTATTCATATGATTATATTTTTATCATCTTCTCTCTTTTGACTTTTCTGCTCTATATAAGTAGATCTTAGTCAAACAATGATTTCTTAATATAGTATATACAATTGTATTAATATTAAAAATTTTTAAAGATTTTTTAACTATACAGATATCCTTAACACTGTAAGTGCTAATTTTGAGAAATCTTTGATTGGCTAAGTTTTTAAATACTTTTCATTTAATTAAAGCTTATGCTTGTTACATGTATATAATATTTTTTTCAATATTATCATTTTTGTCATAAATAAGAAATTTATCTTTATAAATAGGCAAATTGTGATGCACTCTAAACTAATTATCAAATAGATATCTTCACCTTGGCATAGGTCAGTAAAATAACCTTATGAATCACATTTTAATGGAATTATCAATCACGCTGCCATTAAGTTGATATCTACTTTAGAAATAAAAAACACGATTTGTTTATTCAGCATAATATAAGAATAAACAGTTCTATGTATACTGTAAATAACATAATATATTGCGCATCAATTTAGTAGAAATTGTATTTCCCGTTTCATCGGGATAATTATTTTTTTGCACATAAATATGAGCTTTCCAAGATTAAAATATCAGTTCATCGCGAACGTTAGGCTTATATAGTATAGTATAGTCTTATATAGTATACTTGTATTTCTTATAATTAGTGTGCAATTGTACCAAAAGGTGTGTCTGTATATGTGCAAGAGACATACGTACATAAGATATAATTACATAATTATTTATAAATTCGTATAAAGTGAGTACATCTTGTTATATATAAAAATCTTTATTTCTCTTGAATATTCTGTAACAGAAACTGCCAAATCAAATAATGATAGTTAAAAACTTTTGCTATTGCAATTTTAATTATTATTGAACTGTGTTCCAGATGTGGCGCATATTTTATTGCACATTTTGGCTTTTGATATGTTCTGTGCAAATATATAGCAAATATGTAGCAGATAAAAAATTCATCGAAGTACACGAATTGAATTCTAAGGAGATATCGCCTATAGATCAACTGGCCCCCATAGATCCTGCTTTACACGCTTTTCCAACTATTCCAACAGTCCCTCTCTTACCAAATTGCATGAAGCAAGGCTACTTGAGAGATCCATTTAACTGCGGCAAGTTTTACCGTTGCGAATACGATCAGGGCATACCAATGGCATATTATTGTGAATCAGGATTAATATTCAACACACTTACAGAATCATGTGATCAGCCACAATATGTGCAATGCTAATGTATAATAATAGAAGTATTGTTCTTCTGATATTTTACAACATATATATAGACACTTTATTGTAAGTAGCAAGAAAGAATTTAATTTTAAATTAAAATTTATATTCCTTATTCGTCATGTTATATTCATTGCTTTAAGTGCAATATATTTACAATAATAGAAAAAAATTGCTCACAATTATGTTTTTTATTTTATGTTTAGCATAGCATTGTTATGATTATTCTAATATATATATGATGGAAATATCTTCTCTTTTGTTTTTTATAAACAACGCGAGAAAAAATAAATGTGAAATATGAATTTAACGATTATATATTTATATAAGTAATACAGATCATGTGTGTATGTATATATATTTGTTTATTATATGGTATCGTTCACCATGTAATAGATAGAAGCATTATAAGGCAGTTTATTACCGTTAAATGCAACCATTAACGAATTTTTTATAATTGCAAACGTTACTCTTGTCATCGAAGCCTAATCCACTTGGGCAATTAAATTTTTCTATTTTGTAGGTGCCATTGATATCTAAGCATTGATAGAATACGTTGCAGTCTTCTTTATCACGGACGTAGCCAACTTTCTTACAAATACCATTAGGAGGAGCAGTCGCTGGTGGTTGTGTTGGTTGTACAGTTGATGGTTTAGGCGGATTTGTCTCTTTAGGCGAGTCCGTTGGCTTAGATGGTTCTATTGGGATTACTTTTCCTCTCAGTTTGGCATTTAATGTTTTCAATAGAGGATACTGTTTACCGCATTTGCCACGAAAATCATCGGTCTCGATACTCCATATCATCGCACCACCAAGATTAAGGGAATTGATATAATTCGCCTTTTCATTAAGAGAACTGCAAAATAATTAATACACACACTACAGCTATTGAACATTACTCTCTTCAATGGCACACAAATAAATCAAAGAGAAATCTCGTTACGTGAATTATAAAGGAATACACTAGGAAAGAATCATCTAAAATAATTAACGAAAAGATCACTTACGTTACATCGTCGTAGCTAATCCATTGATCATTTTTGAAAGCATATGGAACGTCATGCCCTTCAGAACGAGTAATCGTCCATCCACCCTCTTTTATCAAAACGCATATCTCATTGTAGCCCAGCATTCCAGCCTCACGAGTATACGGACCGGCAGTACCAGGTCCCCTGGCAGGAGTTCCAAGACCGTACTCGTTCTTATTGGCGAGAGTAAATGTCCTACCATAGGATGGTACACCGACGATCAGCTTCTCAGGTGGACAACCATTTTTCAACCAGTAGCGTACGCATGCATCCTGTGAGAAGAAGATATTTTTTTTTAGAGTGCTTATTCATCACGCTTAACAACTTTAATATTCGATAACATCCGATAAATAAGAAGAAGGCGATATTTACGACGTTGAGTTTAAGCTCAAACGAGCCATGACCCGAATAAAGCGGAGCATTAAGACCAGTTGTTTTGTCCCAAGGACCATAAAGATCATATGTCATAACATTGATGAAATCCAAATATTTGGAAATTGCAGGGATATCATAGGATAGAGAAGCAGAAGGCTCAGCAGCGGCGACAGCAGCGGTGAGAAGAAGTTTGTGTTTATCGAATTCAGGTCTCAGTTCCTGAAGTAATTTTACGAAGTTTTGCACGTCCTCTGGCTTGCCACCACGTTGGTTGGGATACTCCCAATCGATATCGAGCCCATCGAAACCGTATTTCATTGTGAATTCAACCATACTCTTGACAAGTTTTGTGCGAAGGGTCTGACTGGCGACGACTTGGGAGTACTTGGTAGATCCCTCGTTCCATCCACCGATGGCGATGAGCGTCTTAATTCCCGGATTCTGTTCCCGAAGCTTGTTGAATCTGCCGAAAGCATTCTTGCCCCCATTGTTGGGGAGATCTAGCCATTCATCCAGAACTTTGACATTGGCGTCCGTGGTAAGACCAACAAAGGAATAGATAAAATGGGTGCAAAGGTCTGATGGAATATCAGAGATGTCAAATTTGCCATCTGAAGGTCGATAAACAGCCCAGCTCCCGAAATAACATACAATCTTTTCTGAAAGAAAAGTGTTATCAGTGAACATTGTGGAAGAGAATCAAATCTCTCCTTTTAATTGATCTTACTCTCTGAATGGGCAGCCGAAGCCAAAGCAGCCAAAGCGAAAATGAATATCCAACAATTCATCTGCAAATTAAATATAAACTTAAGATAAGACAATGTTATATGTTTTTGGAATGTTAGGAATATTGTTACATATAAATACTCGCGTGTATATATTTGATGACATATCTGTTATAATTATCTCTTTTATAATCGCCAAATTTTGCTTTTTGAAAATTATCTATTTTTGCACGAGATAAATTGATCATTAGGATACATATTGTCTTTACCTTGTAATCAGGATCGATTCCTTCGATAATACGCAGCAACGTAATATCAAAATTTTATTCGCACACAAGGTATATATATATATTTTCTGTCGAAAAATAATGTGCCTTTTTTGTCTGTTTGGTCATGATTAATGTTAATACAATTCATTCAAGTATATGAAAAAATATACATATACATTAGTGCCATCAAGAATTTTTGAAAACATACAGGTGCAACGTCATTATATAACATTATTATTAACGTTATTATATATTTAATTTTGTTGAACACTTGATTCTACAAATCTACTGATCTGATCCGAACAGCTATGCTGCTCGTCAAGTATAAGGGTGATTATTATCTCTATATATGTTTCTTTTTATATGTTTTACAGCTTTATTTCTCTCTATCTTTTCTTTGGATATCTTTTAATTCTATGTACAAAACAATCGGTTCAACTGATTCAGCTTTTATAGTTTGGATATATAATTATAATAACTATAATAGTTATTTTAATGTATATTTTTAAAATTTTAAAATGATATGTATATTATCATAATTGATCAATGCATATTATTTTTTGAGGGGCTGGATATATAGCATTCGATTAGTAATAATAATAAAACGTCTTTGATTTATTTCAATTAATAGAATCGTGACAAATCTATTTATGTTACATAATTAATTATTATACATTATATAATTAATTTAATTACATAATTAATTTCATTTCGAATAAAAACGCTACTATTATTTCTTATATTTTTTTACATCATTTTGTTATAAAATCTGTATTACTTTGTTATAAATTTCTGCCACGCAAATATTCTGTGATAAGAAAGTGTGAGATATTAATTATCAAATATATTTACAGTATTCATTACATTAAGCTTTCACTCTATCTCACATCATCGAACAATAATTCAATAAATTATCCACGAATGAAGATACAGATTACACATGACACTTTTATAACAGTGTATGAAATAATGATGAAAAATATGTATAATAATTATAAACAGAGATGTATGTGACATATTATTGATCATATGCATGACTAAAAACATAAATGAGTGTACAACACAACGCGTTTTTTAAACAAAAGATCATATAACATAATTTTTAACATAGAGATTAAAAAAAATTTCGAGAAGATGTGAACGTGAATATAGTTCCATAAGCATGTAAATTAAATATATATAATTTGGGATTTAAAAATTTTCACGTGATTATATTTAAATATATCAAATTTTGAATATTTGATTGTATCTTAAATCAATTAATTTTTGGATGAGTAGCATCAGAGAGTCTTCTCTCTGATAGCATGAACGATGAAAATTATGTAGAAATTAATTACCTTTGATTCTCAATCGCCAGACTGTCAAATACGATTTTTCTTTTATCAATGTACCTCGATATCACTTTTAAATAATAACGATAATAATATTGATTTTTTTACAGATAAGATACAATAAATTATGCTCTGCACATACGTTTATATAGACTCAATCCGCGCAATCTTGATTCATAGTTACATCTTGGAAACTTTGGAAAACAAATAAGTTCAATTACGAGAATTTTGATATCATATCGCTTTCTTATAGGTGATACAGGACAACGCCTAATTTATCATTAATGACGAATCTATTCTTTGCGGCGCAAAACTGATTAGAACGAATAAGCTTATTCGTGTTTAAGATGCTTATCCTTTTAAAATCTTTATCATTCTCAATCATCCTTCAAGTGAATGATTCAAACAGTAATCTTTCCTCCTACTCACTCATAGTGATAAGTAATATAGTCTGTGTTTGCAATTTTTATCAATGATTAATTTTTCTTCTGATGAGGGCAGACTTTAATAAATAATAAATGTAATATAATCTTATTCTTTAGTTTATTATTTAATGCATCTTTTATGTTAATTTACAATATAAAAGGAACAATACTCAGCATTGTTAAAACTATATTTATATGTATATAGAATTAGAATTTTCTAGTTGTCCTCTGTTTATTATTTCTTCTTAATCCAAATAATCTCAACTTTCTCCAATATTGTTTTGTATTTGGATCTAATTCTTCTAAAGTAAGTGGAGGACCAGTTCTAACATTCCATAACCAACTGGGATACTCAGAATCTGGCTTTATCTTAACATCTTCTCCCCCTTCTTTATAGAGATTTGTACCACACACATAAGTCAGGAGTCTGTTAACATCTTTTTCCACAGGTAATATTTTCTTCTCCGGTCTCTTAAGTGCTTTTTTCGATCCTGCCTGTATTACTATAAAAGAAAAATATTATTGTAAATTGTATATTTATAATTTAAATTTAATGTATATTTAATGCATATTTAATGTATATTTAATGCAGTTATTAGCATAGTTACAACAAATAATTACAATTAATAAAATTTCAGTTGCCAATTTTTTGAAATACATTGATGCAATGATAATTGGTTTACCTGGCTTAGCATAATTTTTGGTTTGTATTGTATATTGAATCGGTATTATAGAATTTTTTGAAAAATTAAAAAGCCGGCAAATCGTGGAAATATTCATTCTAAATAATATTGTAATTTTTCATTTAACAGTTCAACGATTTTATTTTTTACAGTTTTTTAATAATAATATTATTCTTTATAGGTTAGATATAAGACCACGAAATTTTGGGAAGCTACTGCTCGTTTCCCCCTAGTCGCTTGCGGAAAAAGATGACAACTTAAAATCGCAATTCAAAAAATCCCTAGCCACAACAGCGCGAAAAGAATGACAACTTTAAAATGGCGATAACAACTTTTTTAAAAATCCCTAGCTATAACAGCGGGAAATAAAAAATCCCTAGCCATAACAGCGCGAAAAGAAAACGACAACTTTAAAATGGCGATAACAACTTTTAAAATCCCTAGCCATAACCGCGGGAAATAAAAAATCCCTAGTCATAACAGCGCTCAAAGAATGACAACTGACACTTTCAAATGGCGATAACACTTTTAAAAATTCCTAGCCATAACAGCGGGAAATAAAAAATCCCTAGCTACAACAGCGCGAAAAGAACGACAACTTTAAAATGGCAATTTAAAAACTTCCCTAGAAAACATCAGTCTTATGTCATATTTGACACATGTATCAACACGAGTGCGCAATGACAAACAAGAAATATTATTTCTATCGACATTTTGGGTCGAGGAGATTTAACTATGACATGTAATTAATAATCTTAGGCTACATCGCGAAGATGTGAGATACTTTCAAATATAAAACATACATCCATTGATGGGTTAATTACACTTTTATGCTCGGTTATGTAATGCCATTGGGCAATAATACAACGCGGGTAAGAATCGTATGCTTTTGATATAATAATTTAAAATAACTATAATTTAAAACAATTTGTAACTTTCGAATTAATATAGTTCTATTAAATACAGATAACAATTTTTTGGAAATATTTCTCCGATTATCGTATAAAATATGTGAATTATTATAACCTGCTTGTTTTTATTATGATATTCTATAACGATCTATAAGCTTGATTTCTTACAGACGAGAAAAGTATCATTTGATGTGAAAGGTAAATCAACTATTCGAGGTAACAATCCAGAGGAAAATCAATTCTTGACAATAGCAGCTGCTTTACCAATTTTACCAGGTGCACCAATACCTCCCAAGTTATCAAAACGTTCTTATAATTCACTTAGGTAATTAGGGATAAGAGCAATTAATTTCATTTAATTTTACTATAAATTATCTAAAGCATTTGTACAATTAAAATTATTGGTTTAATAGTTCTGCTGGAACTCAATTTGAGATTGAACATGGAGAAACTGAAGGATGCGATATGGTCACATTACAATGGACAGGAGAAACAAGAACAATTGTGGCATCAAGAACTCTTGCTGAAAGAGAAAAGAACCCTGACAGAATATGTCTCGATAGACGAGGTTTGACAACATTTCCTAATGTGATTGGGGAGCCAAAATTGCGATTGATGTCCCTTCAGCATAATCTTTTGACTAAGATTGAAAGTTTTAACTTCTCTCAATTAACAAAGCTCGTATTTCTTGATTTATATGATAATCAAATTGAGAAAGTATGCAATCTCGGCCTTTTAGAAAATCTAAGAGTGCTTTTAATAGGGAAAAATAGAATAAAAAAAATTGAAGGTTTAAAACAACTTTTCAAACTTGAAGTTTTGGATTTGCATGGCAATCAAATTCAACAAGTAACTGGTTTAGAGGATTTATTATTGTTGAAAGTACTCAATTTGGCAGGAAATAATATTAAAACTATAGGTTGCAATGACTTTCAAGGCTTAACTGCATTAAAAGAGCTGAATCTGCGGCGAAATAAATTAAAAAAATTGTTAGGATTTGGTGAAACACCACAATTACAGAAATTATATTTGAGCAACAATGATATTCATAAGTAAGTAATTTTAAAGATAATTATGTTTTTAATTAGTAGCAAAAGCTTTATTCAATTTGGTTTTACATATATTTGTACTTATAAGATTTATTTTTGTTTATCCCTACAATACAATTAAATTTAAATTAAATTTAAAAAAAATGGAAAATGTAAAAAGAATCTTTCTGGAAAGATTATCTAAGTTCTATATATCTTTTTTAAATCCAAGAAAAATATTTAAGTATTGTATAATATTGTATATAGTTGTACAATTAATATTTCAGAATTGAAGATATGAGTAGCCTTGCAAAAGCTTTACAAATTAAAGAAATAACAATAGATGGCAATCCAGTAACTTTAAATACTGATTATATCTCTTTCCTTGTATCATATTTGCCAAATCTACAACTTTTATCAACAATGCAAATTAGTGAACAAATTCGAAGAACAGCAATGGCATGGAGATTCTCTAAGGAACAATCTAATTCAGCATTTCTTGATCTTAGTGCACAAGTTTGCATGAATGTACGTAGAGAAGAAGTAATATCAAATGCTAAAACAAATTGGGAACTTCTTAGATCTAGAACCAAAGTTTCTCATAATTCCAATAAAGCAACAAACAATGATACAAGCAACAATACTAATGTACTACGTATACAAAGCTCTAATAAATATCATGCTATAAATCCAAAGAGTTTAGATAAAGCTAAAATAAAAGGCTTTGGTAGTCTAACATCGATAAATGAAAATGTGGAAGCAAGAAAGATACATATAAAAAAGAGAAGCAATTCCAGTGATAACTTATTTAAAATAGAGGATACATCTAAATCATATCCTTTGGAATTTAAACTTCCACCCATATTAGGTTCGATAGTAGATAGCTTAACTAGTAATAAATTCGAGGATAGATTGTCTAAGGATGATAAAGAAAATATTTGTAAAACAAAAATACTTGGTGACATAGAGAACACATCGGATAGCGAATCAGACAGTTCAGAAAGTCATGAAAGTTTAAAAAGTGGTTTAAGGTGTCATCTGTTTACTCCTAACAATTGTAACTTGTCTACAGAATATGATAAGTCTACTATTTGTAAAAAATTCACTGTGGCAAAAGATGTGGTTACTACAGAAAATTTCAATAATGAAGATAATGAAAGTCATATATATGATAAGACAACTTTTACTACAACTCAGAAATCCTTAAAATACAATACAATAAATGAAAATAAAAGATTGGTCCAAAATATGAAAGTATTTAATAATCAAGATGGACAGAGCGATTGCCAATCGAAATCAACTATAAATTCTTCTGGATATTGTTCCTTAAGTTCAAAGAGTAGTTTAGATAGTTGTAAGTCATTGTTAAGCGATTCCAGCACTTCATCGATTTCTAAGAATGCAGTTCATAAATCTCATGAATTCGATAAAGATAAAAATAGAATTAAAAGTGCTCAAGCAAAGAAAGTAGTATATTACAAAAGCAATAGAGCTGCGACAGCTAGAGCGAAATTTAGAGCCCTTGCTCCACCAAGTCCACCTCCTCAACAAGTACCACCTAAAGAGAGAGAACAGGGTAGGTTAAAACAATTATTTGAATTTCTCAAAAATATACATTTGTTTAAAATGTAATACTAGATAGGATATTTTTCTAGGCGGCGACTATTTAATAGAAATTGTCGGTCGATGCTTGAACATTTATGGTCAAGGTGCTTTACGCTTTATAGATAAAACTTGGGATATATCAAAGGCTCAGGATGTTAATGTTGTAAAATTTAATTACGTACAATTTAATGATGTGGCAAAAGTTTTAAGCAAATTAAAAAATAGATTTCCTCATGCAGAACATTTCACTTTTAAAGAAACTAACATCAATCTTCTTGGCCAATTGAATGCTTTAGCCGAAGTACAGGGATTAACCAGTATACAGATAGATACTGGAAATCCTGTTGTGTCTAAGAATTGGAAAATGTATGCTATATTTCGATTAGCTCATTGGGGACTTGCAATGATCAATGGCAAAGAGGTACAATATATATATATTTAAATATATATGCATATTATTTTTGGCTTACAATAAAATTAAAATTTAATATTTTTATAGATTACAGCTGAAGAGATTGAACTTGCAAATCAGGAATATGCCGGTCTTATAGATATAGTAATGTGTTCACTGCCAGATTCTTTATTACAACCTTTATTACAAAGACTTCATTTAGAAAAAGTGCAAAAGCAAAACGGACAACAGATTACTGCCAAACAATTTCTGTTCAACTGTGATCCAGCACTTAGAAGTGTTGTTGCCAAGGAAGCATTACAATGGAGAAAGGGAAATGTAACGCAGGTAAAAAAAATACACATGTCAGTATTTTTGATATCATAAAATTCTTTATACTAAACTTTACAAGTTAAAATATATATTTGTGTACATACTAATAATATAAACGTTAATGTTTTGAGATTGGAATATTTTTACAATTTGTTTATAGGAAGATCTTATCTGGAGACACAAAGGAAAAATGCACTTTCTAAATTTAATCAATCTCACTATAAATGCCATACAAAAGTTACAGTTTCTAGAAAAGCAGTGGCCATGTGTTTTATATGAAATTATTTATAATACTTTGTCTGACTTTTCTGAAATGGATGTATACATGAAACATTGCAGCAAAACACTTGAAAGCAATAAGTAATTATGTCTAAGCCTTAAATAATGACATATCTATTACGATGTCGCATAATTTATAATTTCTAATTGACGATATGCATATCGTTAATGCTCAGTTTGACCATATCAAAAAGATATGGAACGTACATATATAACATTTTGCATTGTTATTGCTATAAATATATTGAATGTGTTTGCTAGAGTTGGTATTTATATATAAAACAATAAATTCTATATAAGTATTGTTAAAATTTTCTTTTATATATATAGACAATATAAAAAATTCTTATTACAATATGTAAGAGAAACGATCAAATATGTATTGCTATTAAATAATTGTACAATTGTACAATTGTTTGATTTATATTTTTATTATCGCGATTAATCATTTAAGTATGAAAACGTTATTATTTTTTCGATTTTATTCAAAATTTAACATTATTCAGTACTATACAGCATTGTTGTACATATCTTATATTAACGGCTACTCGATTCCCGATAGTCGCACATTATCGTTATGTATAGAGTGCTATTCTCAGATCAAATCGAATTGTCGGAGAATTTGTTAGCATCTCCATGCTCAAACGATTAAAATGTGGATATCGAGATATCATTTTGTACCGATAATAGATTCCACACTGAATGAAATTGGTGCTTTCTTTTCTAAACAAGATTCATTGTTTGTAGTAGGACAATCCTGCAAATCTCTCGTAGAAATAAAATTATTCAATTCCCCATCCGTTATATACGATTGCGTTACCTCATTGAACCAGGGAATTGTTGGATATGCAGAATGGAAAGATTGTACTTTCAATGTGGGTTCAGCTTCTTGTTTCTGATCGCATCCGAGGGAGGATAAAGTCAACAAACGCGGATGCCCTGATACTGAAATGTGCAAACAGTCCTTTGTAAGTAATTATAAAATAACGTCTATCGACAATTCATACATCAAAATGAAAATTTATATTTTTTATTAAATTGTTACATATATGATTATGTTAAAATAAAAAAGATAAAAATTAATATTATAAAATTATATATATATAAAGTTTGTGATATATTGCAATATTTCAATATGAACAATTTAATAAAATTGTATATTGATTGAGCTATATATAATATGTGCATATAGCGCAAAATAAATTTAAAAAAATTCTTTTTTTTAGATATTTAAATATTAAAGTCAGCTACATAATTGAGCTATCTATTAAATTTTTATTAATATAAAATTCAATTGAGTTTATTAGATAGTTTATAAAGGCCTAAGGGATAGTCTCATATATTTGAAATATCACTTAATATATCGATATTTACATCGATATGTAGATCGATAATATTTGAAAAATTATTTTCGACGAAATAAAATGTACAAAATTTAGAAAAATATCGATACGAATGGGATATTTATAAGAATATAACTAATAATACTTACATGCGCCAGGTAAATTATGTACAGCATTTAATCCGTAGAAGCCCTGCGTCACGCTGATACTCGTCTGTGTAAAGTGTAAATGATGCCTTTGAAAATTTTTGGCTCTTCTACCAATACAGGCAGCGTCCGGCTCATCGTATTTCGCTTTAATATAATAAGGAGAATTTGTGGTGTCTGTTGATACCTTATTCGCCGAGGATAGATGAAGATTGTCACCTTGCGCTTGTTGTTGCCTACGTAGAGCAACTTGCGCTGCCATCACTCGCTGTCTTTCGACGACTAACAGACAACAGGGACATCGGCAATCCTTCCACGCGCAGGACCTCTTGTGACCCTTCAAACCGGATATTACACCATGATTTCGACATCTCGCGCACTTGGGACTTCTTAAGCGTTGCTCCATGATTGGATGATTTAAACGATGATTTGAAGTGCCTCCGCCAGTTTTCATTCTGATTCTTATTATTTCTCGAATGACATATATATATATATATATTTAGTTGTTGCAATATATCAGTTTAAATTCAGAATTACTTAGCCAACAATGAACAATTGAAACGTTAATTTTGCGCTAATTATTTAATACGTAATCAATGTTTTAAATACAATGTTTGTTTCACGCTGTGCAAAATCGCGCACGTAAAAGGTGATTTATTGATGAGAATATCGTGTAAAATTCGCTTAGTTTTAAAAACTGATTGCTCTTCTGAATAAGTTATATTTGAAGCATTCTACATAATGTAGATTTTATTCCGTCTGTACACAATGATGTTTTAATCAATTTTTTTATCATTTACATAGTTGCCTTTTATCAATCGGTTTTTAAATAGCACAATGAATTTTGCATATATCGTTTTTTGCACGAATATTTGTATCTTTCCAAGATAGTTTTGTTTATTTCAGTAACAATCTCCGATTATATAGATCGCGACGAGACATATGATATCTTGATTCAAGTTAATTGTAGCTTATTGTATCCGTTTAACTCTTCTCGAGTGAATCGACTGAGTTACCGTGATGTCCTACTCTGCGAGAGATATATACTTGTAAGAATACTTCTTGTATCTCTCTGTAAAGGAGGTGTGTTGTTCATCTCCTCCTACTGATTCAAAATGTATTTTTAGAGACCCGACGTGTTTCCATTGGCTCGAAAGCTCAAGAAACCCCGCCGCTTTCGCCGGCTGCGAACCAATGGACCACCATGTTTCTCTTCATCTTCTTGTTATGAGTAACTCTAAAGAAGAATCCTTCGTTAATGTACTAACTTCTTTGATTAGAGTCTACTTGATGGAAACATATCGATGATTCGTCAGATTTGAAGATTGGCACATGTACACGCACAGGTACATATATAACAAAGTTTAACAAAGTTTATAATTGACGAATTAATTAATTTTAAATTAAGAAATCATTCATTTTCAGTTGCTTGGAAAAAGCTACAACCAATATCTTTTTTCTAGAATAATTTTTATATTTATTATATATGTTATTAATTTATTCTTGCTGGGTAGCAAATATTTTTATTTAATCTTGTTCAGAGAGAAAAACGACACAATTAAGATTCAGCAAATCGATTCAAAATATCCTTGTAGAAATAACATTAAGTATGCAAGATGTTAACCAGGTGGTTATCGAAGAAGACCCTGATGGAAGTCGGCGGTGTCATTCATACATTAAGAAAACATACTCGAAACTAATATTAACTGTGTGTTGGCAACATCCGAGAGGATCGTATTAACGAGCTCTTAGAGCAAGATCACAGAAAGAATGCCATATGGTTGCAGCTGCTGGTGTACAACGTTGTTAGAACGAGATTGTCTGCCTTCTATTTTTGCAATGAACAACATGATGTGTGAATAAAAGAAAACGAAAGAGATTGCACTATTATTTCGGGCGTGTGTATGACAGCTAATTTTGCCGGATGATGTTAAATATGTTAGTGTAACTAAATTTTATTCTTCCTCTACAGAAATGTACTTGACTTTATCACTGAAAGAAAATGTAAATTATTTTCCATGAAATTTCTAACTTTAGCTCGCTAAAAATTTAACATATGACTTACAGAAACCTAAGTTGCTATTTTTTTTAAATTAATTTTTTAATTTTTCTATCAATTATATTCTCCTGATTATACAATTCTTTATCGTTTGATTGTAAATTAAGCGATATATAAGAAACCTTGTGTATAACATGCTTTTTTCACATCATTTTTTTCATCGCCCTAAAATCGTACAGTTAGACAGATTTAAATTTACATATGCCAGTAAGCACGCGTGACACGTGACCGAGGAATTCATCCTAATGAGCGTGGAACGAAGGGGTGTCATCTCGTGAACACTTTTTCCTTTTTCCCTCGCTCCTGGACAGTTCAGCCTGAGGGTGTTGTCAAGACGGCAAATATGTTGACAGGTCATTCAACATCTTTCTCGCCTTAGTTTCGCTTTGGTAGGAACCACGAAGAAGCTCTGAGACGCGATGTTACACCTCCAAATATCCAAATCGCGACACGTGTCTAAAACGATTTCTTTGAAAAGACATTGACCACGAAACAATCGATTGAAAGTAAATAATACATTTCGCTTTAATATAAATAATTTAATATAAAAGTTTCTTTTGATATAAAGTTTCTTAATTTTTCCTTTTTACAGTTAAAATATTAAAGCTTGCAAGGATGCAACACGCTATGGCTTCGTATCAAATTTTCGCTAAGGAAACGTCGCCTGCAATGTCACTACAAGAAATGACACGTCATACTGAATCAAAACTAAAATACATTGAACGAAATGTCAGTTTATGAAAACGAATAAATTAGATAGCGTGTAAAATTTTGCAAGATTTTTGACACACGCGTGAGAGGCAAATTTATCATTTGTTTCCGTATACGCTTTTTATAACATAGTTGAAGCGTGAAAAAATAAAATGTCAATAATCTTATCTAGATATTGAAAAATATATCAAGTGAATTGAGCTCTTGACTCGATGATTCAAAATATTTTGCGATGCCTCACTGCACGACCGATTTTGCTTGGTACCTTGGAAAATTCATTATCGGTTTTACGGGGATACTATTCCTTTATGTCGGCTTCTTGAAAGAAAAGTGAGCGTCTTCAACATATGGGACCGAACTAAACCAAAACGACGAATAATGATGTCAGAAATAATCCTGTTTTTGTCCGACAGTGAGAAAAGTTGTGTTTGCGGCGCCAGAATGAGAGAATTACTGAGGCAGGAAAGCGAAAAGTGAGTCACGCGCGTCTTCCTAAAGAGCTTTTATTTCAACAGAAAGCTTTATTTATTATGAAGCATGTTTAGCGTATGTCATGCAATCTAAAGAAGCATGTAATATGTATAAGCGCGCCGAAAGTCATATACTCGACAAAGATATCACGAGGCGATGAACGCTTCATATGATTATTTATATCATAATTACGATATTACTAAAATTAATAATATGCAATTAATAATTTCTATGTATTAGACGACCGGACAGATGCGGATGTGCAAAAGGGTAAGTTGATGAAAATCCTTTGCACTTTGTCAATTTAAAAGTATTATTAGTTTGTGTCTAGAAAATATTAACATTAAAAAGAAATAAAAATAATTTAAAGATCTGTCAAAGCCAAATATTTGTGCAATCAATCAAAATAAATTTTTCAATATACATATTTAATTTTGAAGAATTTCTCTCTTATTACATCGTTTTTCTTTTAAAAATTTCTCACAAAATAAACTAGAAAATAAAGTCGTGCTATTATTAAAATGACAGTTATTTATATTTTTCATGTCCAATATAGGATGCGAAATATACGTTATTCATGTGGATGTAGCAAGCCAACGCGATTGTAAGTTTTAGTGTTTTTATTATTTTTCAGTTAAATTTGCATTAAAGATTATGTTTATATATTTTAATGTAGAACATTTTTAATCGTACTATTGATCTGTACATTACATTGATTATATAAATTTTATAATTTTTTAACAGATCCCAAGATGAGAGAGATGATTGTATGGTACCTGTGATTGCAAATGAATATAATAAAGACAATTGTGCAAAAAATCGTTGCTGTATCAGAAGAAATTCAAATTAAGAAAAAAAAAACGGAAACGACAGCCTTTTGATTATTGTAATATCTATCATCTAAAATAGGTAATCATTTGCCTCTATTTTCTAGCGAGACACTTTTACGATTTATTCAATCACCGCTAATGCGTCAAAGAATAAATGCAGTAAATTATACGAAAAGAAAATACAAAATTGCGTACAATTGAAAATTCTATTTGTACATTTTCTATTGCTAATTATAAAGGGATGTCTACCTTTGAAAAACGTAAAAAAGGGTGTATCCGAAACAAATATTTTAAAGCCGAATTTGTTTTTAAAAATAAGAATCATATTATTATCATAGTCAAAGAAAAAGAGAAAGACATGGAGAAAGAAAGAGCTTCAATACGATGTATATTTCAATTAGAGTACAATCTATCGACTTATATGTATACATGATTTATGGGGTATGAATCGTGTTGTTATTATATACGTCGTCATACGTTATCATCAAGCGCAATAGACAACAGTTACGAGTAACTCTATAGTATAATTGGCAACTGGCTGGTTAGAGATTCTATGAATAAATTCGACATACTGCAAGAGTGACACGCCCGGTCGCACGCTCCGAAAATCTGAAACTCGATTAATACGTGTCCCATCTGTAGGTGAAGAGTCTATAAGTAGATCTTGCGCGGGCAGAACGTCAGTCATATTCATATATTATTTATACTGACCTGACTAGAGACACCTCTTCGTTGCTAACGAGATGGATGCTTGGCCTAACCGATGCGTATATATTTTCAATCACGTGAATCAGGATTCTTTTGGTAGATTCTACATGTATATTTATAATTTTCCTTCAATATTTTTTAAAATTTTATTTGATTTTATTCAATGAATGTGTGTATATTCACTGAATAAAATAAAGTACAAAGCAAAATTAAAAAAAGTTCAGTCATTAATTAATTAATAACTTCTTAAGAGGAATGGTCACTATCATCTATAGCTATCTATAAAAATTTCACGTATTTCTCTTTTTATTTTTATTGCATTTTTGCAGTCAAATTTTTTTAGAATAATATAATGATTCTTGAAATAAACAAATAATACAATTATAAATTTATAAAAGAATAAGAAAGAGATTGAAGATAAAATCAAATATCAATGACAAAGTATATGCCCTACTCGTAATCTTATGCATTTTCGATATATGCATATCTCGAACCTTTTCGCGATTTCTCCGCGCTAATCTACGTGAGATCTCTCTGAATGGCAGGCTTTGTGAGAGAGGAACGTCGCAGCTGCGTCTCTTTCGCTTCGTATTTTGCGCGCATTCCGATGAAATAAAACGAGATGGGTAAGGGTGGCGGTTCGAGTCAAGAAGAAATATTTCGAAACGGGAAGATGTTAAATGAGCGAACTGTCCGACTGTCACTCCGCCTAGTACCTAGTTTCTCAGTGCTTCACGAAAATGTGAGTTGAAACGATTCCATGAATACATCGTAAATTTCCGTCGAAAATACACATGTAACATTTCTTCGTATTATGAAACTCTTTTTCGATATATATATTTATTTTTACATATATTTTATAAATACATCTAATAATCAATTAGATAGTTTGTAATATCGCATAATTGACCACTTCGGAAACATTCCTCGATCCATTTACATTTAACAATTTTTACAGACGTTAGATCATCTACTTTCAAATTTCTCACAGTATCTGTTTCATTATCTTCTACAAAGATATGTGTAACGAAATTATCGATATTATCCTTAATCATACCTGACATAAAACGGAATTTAAATTTAGCACAGCACGATTGGTTTTCGAAGAATCCAATTATATCTCTAAACAGTGAATAAGGTGACGCATTCTCGTTGAACAATTCCTTATCCAGGTTTTTTCCCTGCTCAACGGTAAACTGATCCGCAAGCTAAATGATTTATGCAAAATTAGATTAGTGTGATAATGTAAAATGATTTTTAATGACAAATACTTTGAACGATGAAATTACCGGTTTCCCAATCTTGTCGAAAGAACGCCTCAAAGTCTCTTCATCCGCGTCAACAATAAAATTATCATAATATTCGTCGTAGTTTTCCGTGAGTCGATGTTTAGTTTTGTCTCGGCTACATAATAATTCCCACGGCAAAAAGTCACCTAACGAGGCCCAATTGGATTGATTGGTAACGCGTTTAAACCAATCCAAAGTTACAACGTCGTATTTCCCACTATCTACTACTTCCTTCCCTCGTATCTGAAAAAAATAGTTTGCCCTAATTTACTATAAGACGTCACGATTCAAGCCTAAGCTGTGCGATAATAACAACTTACCGTTCTGTTATTACCTACTATCACGCAAAAAGTTGTATTCATTGGATTCTGAACAATTCTTGCGCTATGCTGCTGCAATATTTCTTCAATTTGCTCCTTTGCCAATTCATCGGTACCATTTATTACACAAATTTCCTTTCCATCCAATAGTCGCGTAAGCAGTACTATTTGTCCGTTGTATACATTATACTCAATTGATTTATTTCGACTTACTGTCTTTTGTAATTTAGCTACTGGTGCTTCGTCTACATCGTGCAAAGTAGCTTCCCGCTTGGTTAATTTTTGGATCATTCCCTTGTTCTATAATAGTTGAATTATTGTAAATTGTAAGCGTTAATGTATTATAAATGCTAATAGTTACTTTTGCATTGTGTATAATTATCACCTAGCAATAGTACATACGTACTTTGACTAATAACAAAAGTTCGGAACTAGTACATGGACTATACCATGGCTTATCCATTCTGATGTCTACAACTCTAGGAAATCGCAAACTGTATCCAATCGGATATTCATTACTGCGTATCATTTCGGTCGCTCGTATCTTCAAGATTATAGAATTTTCCGGCCGAATCCACACATCCGGCTGTTCCTTCTATAAAGAATATAATTTAAATAAGATCCGTGTACATTATAGAAGCAAATAACACTGTAAAATATAATGAGAAACATAGAATTAAATGAAATTAATTAGTGAATATATTAAATAATATCGAGAAAACTCTGATGAGAATATAAGATAATATAAAATAATTATAATAATTAATTATTAAATTTACTTTAGGGCCTGTAACATTTTCAGGGCGTTCTTTAATCCAATGTGATGCAAATTTTGTTTGAAGATCACGCAACATTTGATCCCCTATGCCACTGCTTACGGATACTACAGCGAGAAACCGCGATGGATTTCCTTCTTTATTACTTGTTGAAGCGGCAACGCCCACCATAAAGCTTTTAATTATTCCAGTATATTTGCCCTCTCCGTAGTAACCGCCGAGTATAATCAGGTCTATATCTTGTACCAAATTGTCAGAATACTGCAAAGAAGTAATTGTTACTTTTAAATTTTATCCATAATATATCACATATATTAATATATTAATATATTATAAATTCTTTAATGCAAGTTTTTCTCGCAAAAATTCGAAAAAGACGTTATACGTTAAAAAAACGTTATGTATGTCGCATAAATTTTCAATATTTTCTTCTCTAAACATGTGCAAATATTTCTTTCAGAAAATTTGTAATGACAAAAATATATAATTGATATATTTTTTTTACCTCTGCTTTAATCTTATAACAACCGCCTCCATCTCGGACATTTGGCTTATATTTCATATCATGTTTCTTTATAACGAGCCCTTCTTCGTTATCACGGAGGCGTTCGTTAAATGCCTCTATCAATTCCTCCCTTTCAGAAAAAGATATAAAATATTTATTTAATTTTTATTTTTGTTGATCTTTTATGAGGTTTCAAATTAATATATGTAATATATTTATTTATATTTACATTTAATCGAAATTATATATAAAAGAGAAAAATAAAATAAAAAACTAGATGCTATTTATTACATTAATTTAATTCCAACAACAGAGGCTATAAATATTTTTTTTTGTTGGAAGAAATGTAATATTTTATAGCTACAGAGAAATTTAATTAAAAAATAAAAATTTAATTTATAAATATCCATAATTTTCAAACGATACACTTAGTATAATGTAAAGTAATAGCCTACCTATTCGAAATTAAAGAAGATCGACATACAATTAAAGAACCTTCTTCCTCGGTAAATATATCATTGAGAAGTTTTACTCGATTTTTATAAGGCTCGTCAACAAGTAAAATGTTATTATGTAGAATAATATCGAATGCGACGAAACACGGTTGATGATGACTATTCGCCGACAAATTCTTGACGTCAAAATTCATACCTTTCGTGCAAAATATTCCTTTCTCTTTATGCCAACCCATTAATTCTCCATCCAATATAAAAGAATGACAATTCGGATTTAAGCGCCTCGTAAATACACCGGTCAAAAAACCTATATATGAATATCCAAATAAATTTTATATTTACATAATTTCTATCTGATTAATGATTAAAGAAAATTATATGAACGGCCTTTTGATCAATCTAATTTTTAATATTTGACTCATACCTGAAGATCCGGTTTCTCCGTATCCAGAATTTTTCGTAATATCGTATCCTCTACGCGTAAAATATTTGAATTTTCCATCTTTCATATGAAGTTGCGATCTCTCGCCATCATACTTAGTTTGTACATAATACAAGTCATTATCTCGAAATAGCTTTTCGATATTCTTAATGTCACACCTCTCTAGGAGCATCGGTTTGAAATGCGAAAATATTTGTATACCGCATTTTATTTTCGTCTTAGGATCATGCAACTGGTTACATATCTCCCGCAAATCATTTGTCACGAGAAACTTTTCATTCGCATCTTGATGATAAACTTGAAGAGAACGAATCGATTAATCCTTACAATTATTGCGACATATTTCGAATTATTGAAAAATTACAAACTTTCCAATATCCTTTTTGTCCCTATGCCAAGTCGTAGATCCTTAAGTACAATTCGTGTTATCCATTTCATTTCGAATCCCGTGATTTGTCGGAAAAGTACTCTAAATGTTTCAATTTTTTCTTGCATTGTCACATTTTTCTTCGATATGTCATCAAGGAATATATTTATCCGCGCAATCGTGAAGCCAGTACTTGTTTTGGGTAATCTTTTATCTAATATGCAATAAGCTCGTTCAGCGAAATCACTCCCTATAAATTTACCTGATGCAGGTTCTCTAAAATATATAAAATAGCATTTTTACATTTTTATCAAAATTAAGAGAAAAAGATTTTTTATTGTATATGTCAGATTAATACTTGTTTATATACATATTTTACTTTAAATTTAAGTTTTCTACTTTCAACATATTTAATAAATAAATTATTCTGACAGTCGTGATACTGACCGATAATTTGCCAGTTTTTTATAATTGTCGCTGTTTTTCATAAAACCATATACATTAGCGTAAAGTTTTGCTAATGAAGCTTGTTTCAGATTATGTGGTCCACGCTCTCGTTCAAGATCGACTAATATTAATCTTAATATTGGATATAGCGAAACATCCTGCCAAAATTAAATTAAATCATTATAATTCTGCTGTCAACCATTTTGCAAATTTACAGAATTTTGAAGAGAAATATTCTCATTTTTTCATATCTACTCATAGATTAGATCTTCGGAGATTATCAACTCATAAATTTTAACATTTTCTCGATGCAATTAAAATCTTTTCATTAGAATTTGTTTTTAATAATTTTTTAAAAATTTCCTACACAAATTTTTTTATCACAACTATATTATTGTCTTTATAACATATTACCAATTCAGGATATTCAGTTTTCAATTTGTTGCCAATATTTCGACAAAAGTCGATAAAAGTTTGCAAGATTTGCGCTTTCTTTTTTACTCCTTGTGCTTTGGTAACATTTTCCAAAATGTCACACAATTGTTTAAATTCAATTTTAGCATCTAAAGTGGCCATTATCTTAAAAAAAAATCTTTAAGTTAGACTTTGATATGGCATGCATATTTTAAGAGAGATTGCATGAAAAAAAAATTATACATTGTTATGATTACATGTAGCAATAACAAAAGTACATTGAAAAATATTATAAATTAGGAAAAAAATTTTAAGTATGTTTTTTTATATCTTTTTATACGATAGTATATTATTAAATTTTAATCACAATGTGTTTTTTACTTGATATTATCATATTAATAATAAATAAGTTGTTACTATTTACGTGTAAGTAATATGTATACAGTACATATATAGAAATTCTATATCACATTTAAACGATTCAGATTTCACATCTTTTATTCAAATTGTGATGTAATTTTCAAGATACATCCTAGCAAGGAGATGATTTTCGGATTGCAAATAAATGAGATGTAAGTTGAAAGCTGCTTCTTTTTTCAAATCCAAAAGATTTGCATGCTGTTTAACTAAATCTCCCGGATCTTCCTCCAGGACCAACTTATAGAAGTGAATCGCAGATGGAAATAAACCAATTTGATGAAACGCTCGCGCCATGTTGTAATAGGTTTCCTGTTTACCATCTTTACCACGTAGTTGCATATATTTTTTGAAAAATGCTAGTGCTAAATAAAAAAAAAGTTTCTTTAAAAAACATATATTACAATTTATATATTATTATATTATATGCTAATATATTAATATATGTGTATGCTGATCACTTTTAAAATCAATAGTCCTACCATATTAATTGGAATATTTTGTTACAATTTCGTATATAATTTTAAATAATTATGGCAATCTATTTTTTATATATGCATGCATATGTGTGCGTGCGTGCACGCATGTATAGGTTTTTACCTTGAATTATAAGTTGATTTTTCTTAACTGACATTTTTTGACATGCCATTTGTAATTGTGTAACACCTATTAACAATGCTAACAATGCATTTGGCGCTACCTTGAAGAGAGAAATGTAGCCGTTCAATGCATATTTATATGTTCCTGCGACAAGGCAATTATTTGCATGTATGATATGCAAATATGAAAATACATCTTCTCTTCCAAGTAATCGCATTATGAATCTGCTATGCCTTGAATCTTGAGCTCTTTGAATAATTATATTTAATAAATTCCACGAGTTGGATCTTTGACAGACACGTACAATTTCTCGTACGATATTATATCCATGGAATGAATCTTCATTATGTATACAAGAAATTAAACATAAGAAGACTATATGGGAATTTCTTTTTTTAAATCTATGTGTTGTTAAAGCGGTAAAACATATTCTTTGGAGAAAACCATAGTTTTTTAATTTATATGCTAGCTTGCACATTTGTAGAAAAAGTTGGAATTCAGTTTTCTCACTCAGTTTTGTATTAGCAGCAAATATTGGCGCGTATTCATCCTCTAATGTATCCCCGGCTTCTAAACGAGCATGTTTTAAACTTTCAAGACGTTGCCGGACCGTTGAACGTGCCAGTGAACTTAATTCACTCCTTCTCCTTATGTTAACACAATGTCTTGAAAGAAGCAACATTCCCGACGATAAGTATTGTTCGTATTTTCCAACTTTATAAAGTAATATCATTCTTTGATATATAACATCAGAATCTAATGTATCAGATTCAGGATCTTGATAAAGAACCTCTATCGCTTTATCGTAATGTTCTGCTTCTTTGTAAAGTTTAGCTAGAGCTATTCTTGCCCCTAAATGCTGCGGTGATAATTTTCGGACAATTTCATAAGATTTTATGGCTTTATCCATATCATTGCAACCAACCCAGCATTCTGCATGCCTTAGCCAGACTGCAGCTAAACTAAAATTCGAACTTTCTACTAATGGGTCTAATAAAACTAATGCACGCTGAAATTCTTTCTTGTCCATTAATGCTTCCGCCAAATCTAGAAAGAGATCTCCAGAAATTTCTGGATTCTCATGCGTATAAAATTTAGGTAAAAGTTCATCAGCTATTTGAATGTAACCTAATTCAATAAGAGTTATAAGAAATTTCGCTTTTAAATCAACAACTACATTATCTGGTACATCACAAGATTCTATTTCATCAATATTTTGATCTTTTATCGAAGTCGTAGCTTTTCTTTTCAAATTATTCAATTTTTCTTCCTCTTCAGACATTATGCTGTTAGTTATCTCTTCTTGTTCTGCTTTCTTATTCTTATATCGTACCTGAATATCTGTATATTTGACCAATATATCTAAACATCTATTGAATTGTTTTAGAGCTATTAACAATTCAGTCATGATATTAACTTCTTCTAATGTAATGAAATCAGGACATTTGACAAAAATGGTCTCCATTGCTTCTAATGCTTGTGTATTGTTATTTTCTTGCATATAATGTTTGGCTAATATTTTTGCATATTTCAATATATGTTCACCGTCGTCAGCTTCCAATTGATGAATCAATCTTGTGTACCCTCTCAAGTATGCTTTTTTGTCTCCATTCTGTTCTTGAAGTTGTGCTCGTATCTCATATAAACTTATATCCTTTGGACTTGCCTGAATTGCTTTAGAGAAACATGTTATTGCTTGTTTTATATCATTACTTTCCAGTGATATGTTAGCTAATCTTATCCATTGGTCAGCATCTTTAGGACTAAGATGTGCAGCAACTAAAGAACATTGTAATGATTTTTCTGGATGGTCATTTTCATATATCATAGCTAATGTCTGGTATGGTTGTGGGGCGGTTGGTACTTGTCTGAAGAAATAATTAGTAAATTGTCAATATTCTTAAACAGCCTGTTGTAATATAAAGCTTAGAAATGTATTAATAGAAAAATTAGAAGCTTGCCTAATAATTTCAGCACATATTTTGGCTGCTAATTCTACTTCTCCTTTGGCATATCTTAAATTTGCTTCACCCATAAGACCTTGTAAAACTGGTGGCAAAATACGTCTTTTTTTTCTCTGACGTACATTACTTGTTTTGCATGTTCTTTGCTGATCTATACTTTTTTGTTCTGCAGTCTTTTGTACAATAACAGGATCCACTTCGATATTCTTTCTAAAAATAGGATAAGTCATAATTTTAGAATTTTATTGCAAAATTTCTTTCGAGTCGTACCTGGAATTATCATTTTCTATTGTTTCCACATCTATATCCTGATCCATTCTTGATGAATATTCGCTAAATGTTAACTCTCCATTTAAAAACTGTTTTGTCAATTGCTCTTCCTCATCTGCAGTTAGTGACATATCCTGATCTTCTGCATCCATAATATCCTTGTTAGAACTACATGATGGAGAAGATGTGTAATTTGGAACATCTTTAACTTCTTGTACTTGTAATGCTTTAGCTTCAACAAATTCATTGATATCCATGTCCATTGAATTAATGGCATTTTCATCCAATTCTTCAATTATTACTGTTACATTACTATTATCATTAATAACTAAATTGTCATTGACAGTCGATTTTTCAAGTTCTACATCCATTGCAGTTTCTTTGACCACATCCATGCTGACAGTTGTTTCGCTTGTATCGCATTCCATTATTGTTCACTATGTGTATGTTTCATCAAATTTATGTAACAAATTATAATTATAATATTACAAAAGTGTGTAAATTATCAACTATATTTATCTAATGTTATTATTTATTTTGTTATTGCTACATGTGACATATAAAAGAATAACAAGTAAGTGATGCACATGAAAATGTATTTTGTTACAATTTTCTTCTTACTTACCATATAACTGATGTAAGTTAACAAAATAACTTATATATAATTAATTAATTAGTCGTAAAATCTAGTACACAAACTTTATACAAAACTTTTCTTCTCTCTTTTCATGTTTCTTCACTGCCTATTTGCGCTCACATAAACATCTATCACAGAACGAATGCTCCTATAAGCATAAATTATAATTTCGTGATGAAATGAATTACGATTGGTTAATGACATTTTATTACTTGTGGAAATGCCAAATTTTTATTGGCTGGGAACATCTCCCTGCAAATGGCCACAGCCAATCATATTTGTGGATATCTAGAGTAATCAACTATGACCAATCAGAGAATTTTATTTTAAATTAGCTCGTCGATGACGTAGGCAATTGGGTATCATTCAATAGTTGGCGACATTACTAGAGTTTCCGATGTAATTCGACGCTGATTGGTCGGATCCGAAAGTAGAAACCAATCATGTTCGACTGCTACTTAGCTGTTGAGTCTTCTGAATGTAGCCATTCGTAGTTTGATATTTGGAGCGTTCGGCACGTTTCATCTCGCGCAATAAGACATTTTTTCTATTTCTAAAAATTCATAGTGGCAATTATAATGGAATCGGACGAGATCGAAGCAGCCTCGAAATCAGGAATGAATATTCGAAATGATAAGAATCCCATTATCGACTACGACGAAGACAGAGTAAGGTTTGAATTTATAAGTTGTGTGCAATGTTGGACATTCATGAATCCATGTGTTTGTGCGATATTATGTAAATTATTATTCTTATTAGTATTATTTTACACATACACACACACACACACACACACACACACACACACATATATATGTATATGTATATCTTTGAACTATATGTATAAAATAACAAATCAAAGATTTCCTACACTTTATATAAATGTTACTGATACATAAATACAGAATATATTCATAAATGTTCAACATTATTTGCATTTTGTTTATTTTACTTAATATGCATAATTAACATATAAATTAAATATATATAACATTTATTGTCACACATACAATACAATAATAAGTAATAATTTAATAATAAATATTTGCTATATGCGTGTGATTTTAAATTGGCTCGTCGATGACGTAGGCAATTGGGTATCATTCGATAATTGGCGACATTACTAAAGTTTCCGATGTAATTCGACGCTGATTGGTCGGATCCGAAAGTAGAAACCAATCATGTTCGACTGCTACTTAGCTGTTGAGTCTTCTGAATGTAGCCATTCGTAGTTTGATATTTGGAGCATTCGACACGTTTCATCTCGCGCAATAAGACATTTTTTCTATTTCTAAAAATTCATAGTGGCAATTATAATGGAATCGGACGAGATCGAAGCAGCCTCGAAATCAGGAATGAATATTCGAAATGATAAGAATCCCATTATCGACTACGACGAAGACAGAGTAAGGTTAGAATTTATAAGTTGTGTGCAGGGTTGGACATTTATGAATCTATGTGTTTGTGCGATATTATGTAAATTATTATTCTTATTAGTATTATTTTATACATACATACATACATATACATATATATATATATATATATATATATATATATGTATATCTGAACTATATGTATAAAATAACAAATCAAAGATTTCCTACACTTTATATATAATGTTACTGATACATAAATACAGAATATATTCATAAATGTTCAACATTATTTGCATTTTATTTATTTTACTTAATATGCACAATTAACATATAAATTAAATATATATAACATTTGTTGTCACACATACAATACAATAATAAGTAATAATTTAATAATAAATATTTGCTACATGCGTGTGATTTTAATGTTTTAGTTACATGAGATGACAGCATCCTATTCCGAGATATCATTTGATTCACAATCCTCGCCACCTATTTCGGAATTGAGATCACTCATTGATTCTCCAGATATCGAGAGTGGAAAGTTTTTGGATGACAATTTGGAGAAAATAGGAGCTACTGGCCACAGACCGGATCAATTAGATTTGAAAAGTAGAGGTGGTAGTCCAACAGAAGATGACGATCTGGACCCGCCGAGTTATCATAAAGCTATGGGTTATTTGCAATTGGAAGGAAGAGTGATGCAAGACGGCGACATGGTATTATTTGTTACAGAGGATTTAGAGAATAAGATCAAATTGTCCAGTCCTGTGACAAAGAAGGGAGAAACTCCATCGTTTCCGGGATCGCGAAGCTCGACTCCATGCTTGTACAGGCAGGCCTTGACTCCACAATTGCCACCTCTCGATCACAATGTATTAAATGAATTAGAAATGGAAGCTAGGAAGGTTGCAACCTCTGTGGACGCTTTGACTGAAAATCTCGCTGCAATTTTACAAAATGTGAATCATCAATTGAGACATGTTATTGCCATGACCATTATTATATGATTATCATATATTTAAGTAATTTGTTATTGTTTCCAGGCATCAGCTCTTACAGTTGGCTGTTTAGAAACCTATAGAGATGCAGTGTGTAAAACGTGCGATGCTGTTGATCACAATATAAAATCAATGTATCAATTAATGGCTAAATGCGAAGAACTATCAAAGTCGATGGGACCAATTTACAAGTTAGCAGAACAGATGTAAGTATTGCAATATTCTCTTTTTTAATTAAATCAAGATTGCAAAGATTATCCTGAAAGAACTTTGATCATTATACTTTGATTAGCATTTTTATTAAATTTTTCACAGCAACATGATCCTTATTTATAAAGTCAATCAAATATATCTCCTTAAATTACAACTTTATTCTATAAAAGAAGATTTTGCTTTAATCAAATGCTAACAGTATGATAAAACATAAAAAAATATGAAAAAAGAGAGAGAAAAAAAGGGGAGAAAAGCTTACAGAAAAAGAAGCGTGCATTAAAAGTTTATTAAAAGTTTAGTTCTTACATCTTGAGTCAACTATTAATCATTAGTATTGGAAAAATATTGTAACAAAGTTTAAAATTAAGATTCCCTTTATATCTAGTAAAAAAAAGAAAAACAAAAGAGAAAGCAAAGAACTTTCTTTTGGCGCTTTTCTCTCTCTCTCTCTCTCTTTTTCTCTTTCTCTCGCACGTCTTTTTCAATTTATTTTTTGTTTGAGATTGAATGATTTAACAGAGAAATCTTATTCTTTAAATATTTTGTAAAGCTTGTCATAATACATTTGCATTAAGTCTGCAACCATGCAACAAACAGGAAAAGAAAATCTGTTTTAATTAATTTTGTTACGGTGGACTGTCATGAATATTAGAGCAGCTTAAGTCTGGGCTTTCTATGTGCATATATATATATATATATATATATGTAGTCCGCTTTGCTTGATTTTCAGCAAAGAGATGAAGAGAATGCTGGAGCTATTCGAAAGTGCAATGAACTTATAAAACAACATAAAGGAGAAAACCATATTTTCTTGAAACTTATAATTATGGAATATATATAATGGAGTTTGCATTCTAATAAGTTGTTTATTATGATTAATATATCTTGCAATTTTAATATTTAATTTAAAACCTCTTATGTATTTTTAAGATATATACATATTTAAGATATAGATTAAGTATACTTATTAAATAATAATTTACTTGAAAAAATATATTGTATTATAATTGTTGAAGAATAGAGTTTCACAATATGATTAGTGTTAAATGACATTTTATGTATTCTGCATACAATGTTGTACAATGTTTATTCCACATATTTTGTACATATGATGAAAGCAATATATTAAAAAGCAATTTCTCTGAATGCGATTCTATTATTTTAATGATTGTCATGAAAGGAATAAAAATATATTTAGTATAATTTTCTTTTATATATTTCAGTAATTCAAAATATGTAATTTAATAAAAGCAAAGATTAAATTTTATTAAAAATAAAGGAACAAAGCAACTTTTGAAGAGCATAGAACTTGGATGGAAGGCGTATTGATGACAGAGAGGTAAAAAGAAGGAGGAAGAGAGATAGAGAAAGAGAGGAAATTTGACAAGAAGCGAAAGGACGTAGTGGAAATGAGGGTGGAAAATGGCTCGGAAGGGTAGCAACGACGTCTACTTTGTAACCGTAGACCAATACAAGTCTACAGTGGAAGCGGCTCCGGATATCATATTCCAAGATGTGCATTAGAGGCACTGAGTCGCTCGCCATCGTGGCCGTCCCGTTCCATCCTGTACCCCGTACTTTATCGTCGACGGGCAACTAAATACAATAACGGGATGGATGACTCGGAGGTTGGCGCCGGGGGTTGGGGGTTAACGGCTTTCGCGACGACGGCGGACCACTTTTCAGTCGCCTTTTCCACAAAGTGGCGGGGAGACGGAGTAGATCTGCCGCTGCCTTCCTGCTTGTCCCTTTTTGCACGCGAGCATCTCTCTCTTCCAACGATGCTTCGTCGACGCACAAAAGATGGTATCAACGATCTCGCGGTCGAGGTGTTCCGAGTACCATGCATGATAAATGGAAATTGCGAATAGAGCCCATTAATCGTGACTAGAAGCTAAAAAATTGAGTGGCTTAATGAAAGAATGATCTTTCCTAAAGAAAAAAATAAAAAGTTGTTTTTGAGAAAAACAAATTTTTGTTAAAAAATATTTGCATTAAAGTACTTTTATCACATTTTCTAGTTCATATTTGAGAAATAAATATCAAAAATTGAGAAAATATATTTAAAATGTACGCAATCTATATATTATTCTGAAAAGATAAACATATAAAAGGGAAAAATAAAAATTGAATTTTATTACGTGACTATGCTTACATGATTGTACAAAATTATATATATATCATTTTGTTAAATATTATTTGTTCCTAGACATATAAATAAATATCAAGAGAGAAAGAGAGATAGAGATGATATTTAATAAATTTTAGGAATATATATAATATAAATATTGCAAAATATATTTTTTAAGTATAAAATTTTACTTTAAAAAAGTAAATAAGCAATCTATTACTTAATAATTTTTTATTTTTAAATTTCACATACTCTGTTTCTGTAAATTATTAATATTATTTCTTAGTGAAATAATATTACTTAATATTATTTCAATTTTGGAAATTTTATATGTGATATGTTTTTAATTCTAAATTTTTTTTAGAAATTAAATAAGCTTATATAATATATCGATTTTTTCAATAATTTGTATATTGATTATTTGGATATTGATATTAAATATAAAAGATATTAAATATAAAAAGATAATATTTGTACAACAATGCTGCTTTTTGGCTTCAGATTATTATTGAAATTATTTGTAAGATTAAAATTTTATAAATTTTTCTTCATATTTTTGCAATCTTATCATATACTCTTCATATTATTATATCATTCGATCTTTCTTTAATTCTTAAATTTATATATAAACAGATGTATATTCTTAAGGAAAAATTAATTCATCTTCCGTTATGGACAGTTCCTGCATCAGATTTTTAAGTATTTTCAGCGCATCATTACAACTTTTATGCACATTGTTTTGTGCACTTTTTACCACTACCTAAATAATATTATTGATATGAAATTGGATAATTTTATTAATCAGAATTTGTGAAATAAAGATTTATACGAACCTGCATGCAAACAAAATTACCAACAGTAGGAATGTGTTCTATAAATATATTAACAAAATCAGGAAGTAGAAATTTGAACATTCGTCTATTTATATGTTTTTCTATATTTAAAGAAATCATTAAAACGCATGCAAGAGCGTATGTCAGATCCTTATCTAAAGATACACATTCGTAATTGTTTATTAATCGTGGTAAAGATGTTGCTAATGAATAATATGGTTTAAAATGCATTAATGCTCCTTTTCTGTCAGGCTACAAAAGACAAAAAAGTTTCTTTCATAGAATATAAAATATGTAAAGGCAATATTAATAATCAAAAGAAATGGAAAATATAATATGACCTAATTATCCGTTTAAATTAATTACCAGTTTAAATTGTCGGAACACTAACTTTCCTTGTGGTATTGAAAAGAAAGTATCGGTCATAATTAATCTCATTTTACTATTTTGCTTAGTTGTATCACGCATTTCATCGCATTTCGAAATAATACGAAGAATACGGCCACGATTATTACTGTTTTCGCACGTTATCTTTGCGCATATTCGAAGAATTACTTCTGTTTTCAAATTCTGAAATTAAGGAATTATTCTGAAAATTATACTTGGAAGATGGATTTATTCGGCTTTATGTTATATTACATGCATACTCACACACACACGCACACATATTATTTATATTTATTATTATATTTTATATATAATTACCACAAATAAAACAGCCCGCGATAGCATTATTGCTTGCGTTTCTTATATGACTTTAATCGATAAATGGATAAGAAAATTTTTACTCAATTCGAAAACTGACCTTCGCGTTATATCTCGTACTTATGATTAGTAGATAAAAACACTTAAGTATCTCATAAAAATAGAAAAGACAGTGATTGCTCAGGAGTTGAACATTAAGTGTTTCTTATAGATTTAAAAATATCAAAAAAATAGTATACAACGATATAGTTTTGAAGGATAAATTTGACGATTTGTTTTCTTTAGGTTTCTCTGGGTTATACTTCTTGAAATAAACTCTCTGAATTTATATATTATTAGTTATATATTATTATCTATCTAATATGTTTTGATATAAATTGATGTATAAAAAAACCTGTAGCTTAGATTTGAATTTCCAGTTGCTTAATTTGTGCACAGAAAATGATTTGCATGATATTATATATATTTATACATGTGTGTGCGAAATACATTAAAATAGAATATAAATAAATATCTTTTGCATTACTTATAAATAATGTATTGCTACATAACATTATTAATCTGCACCTTGTATTATTATGATAATATTTATCTAAGCTCAGCGTTTTCGCATCCTAAATGTTCTGCATAATCTTTCCAATCTTATTTTATTATCTCATTGTCAGTTTGTTACTTTAATATTAACTTTATTATCTTTATTATAATCTTTAATATTAACATAAAAAAATAATATGATTTACATACATTTATATTACTCATACCATTGTATTTGATTATTAATATTTGCCAAATGATTTATTTATTTATTGCCATTGTATTCGTATCTCAAATAACTTTTCTCCACGTGTTGTTATATCATATAGTATACTATTTATCTAAAGTGCAATCTGATTTCAATCTTGATCTTTCTCTCATTCGTGCTTATTTTGCAAGCCCGTTCATTGTGTTTCGCCGCGCGAGCTTTTCTCTTAATTTCCTCATTACGGTTTTGCACACAATTGCTGGCACGGCTTTTTTTCTCTGATGCACATCACAAAGAACGGCAGCCTTTCTCCGCGTGTTCCGTTTGAAAATTTCACGCATTTATTTATTCTCGACGGTGCACAATGTCAGCGCGAGCAATGGCTAAACTGCACGGGTTTCAGCCATGCCCATTGTGGATCCGGGCTGTAAATAATACCGGGCAAAAAGCCCCGGCCCGGGGCGCGTCGCGACGCGCGCCTCATTTAACGCATTCGTTCGGCGGTAATTATTAAAGCCCCATCATGATTTTAATCCCGGTCGTCGGGCAGAAAAAAAGGAGCAGCGCGCGCGCGAGCAGCGATCGCGGACACAAACACCTCGTTAATTTATCTCTCCGACTCGACGGCCATTAAGGGAACACGCGCATACACTATGGAGGATGCTGCTACGTGGTGTAATCTCCACCACTGAAATGCTGAGAATGGCGCAATTTACATTGAAGCCTTACATAAAACCATAAAAAGGATTATTTGTACATGTGGCAATTTTAAATCGTCGGATTAAATCGCACTCCCTTAGAATTTTATTTTTATTCAATCATAGCTTTATTGAGCTACTTGCAATTAGTTTTTTAATTACTGCACATTCTAAAAGAGTTAGGTTAATTATTATGCAATGATTAAACATAAATTTGCAATAATTTTGATATTTTAATATTTTAAAAAGATTTTTATAATTTTGTATTTTTAATAATTTTTTAATTAAAATTAAAAATCGAAGGATTTGTTTTGAAACCTTGAGATATTTAGCAAAGTATAATTACGATCTATATTATTTTCGTAAAAAAAATGTAATTTTCTAATCCTTTGAATATTTATAACAAAAGCATAGCGATGAATTATGTCGGCATTGTGTCTTTATAAATGCGGGTCTGTGAGAAGAAGCTCGGTAGAGCTTTTGCTGAAGTAGCTGCTGGCGAATAACCATGTCCGTAGCCCTTCTTTCTTCTTCCTCTTATTTCTCTTTCCTACGCAAAAGTGATGTTGCTGCTTGCTCGGTTGACTCGTGCTTCTGCCAAAAGAAGAAGAGAAGAGAAAAAGATGAGCGTAATGACTAAATAAAAGATGAAGCGGCAGATAGCCGCCCTGCGACATTACGTTGCGTATGTCGACCTGGCTTGATCTCGTGGTAAAAAGCCCATTTCACGCGCGTGATCAGCGGGATAAAATCGCGACGAGAAAGACCGCATTGTTTCTTCTGTGTACGAAGAGAGCTTATCGCGGTTTCGATGGCGAGTATCTTCGCACGCCGATGATGGTACTCGATTAACACCAGTGTACGATTAAAAGTAGCATTGTATTTAGACTTGTGTATTTTATATTTATATTCGAATATTTTTTTAATCTATATATAATCTATATATATGTATAATCTATGTATAATCTATATATATGTATAATATTATATAATAAGTGAATATATATAATTGTATTATATTTATAATTCTGTTTCTTTTTTACAGAGAATATAAAATCTTCGATTTCAATGGCATGTCATGGCTGGGGATAATATCTGGTCAATGTTACAGCGATTAAAGGTCAAGGTAAATATCTTGAATCAAAATTCAAACTTAATTAATAGTGTAATTTTTATTAGAAAATTTATCGTAACAATTCAAATTTCCTTTTTAAAAGAAAGAAAATTGATCTCATCGTTTTTCTTTTTCATGGAAATGTCTTCGCGAGTCAAAAATGATATCAGAATGATTAAAACTTGCATAAATTTTGCCAAAATTTGAATTAAAGATTTAATCTTGTGTCAAAAGCGTATCTTGGACGTCTATTTACGATGCGTTCCAATATTACAAAATTATTGAGATTTAGATATTTATATTACAAGGCGAGAAAAAGAGAAAGAGAGAAAAATTGTCGAACGATGAAAAGTACCTTAACGCGATAGAAACTATAGCGCTCGTAACTACATACTAAATCAGATAGAAGCAAAGCGAAGCTATGAGCCGTTTCGATCACAAAGTTACTCATTTCCTTGCTTTGATCATTCACCGTTACAGCCGAGACTTTCTTAGCAAATTACTCAGAGACGGTGCAAGTGTCCTCCCGTGGGAGCTCGTCTCTTCGTCTGAATCTCACCAGGAGGAGACAAGGAAAAGGGGATGAAATCGGAGCCGTGTCTCTGAAGTCTCTGAGGCTCTCGGAGGGGAGAGTAGTCGGGAGAAATGAAACGAATAAAAGAAACATATTATGGAGCGAGTCAAACACGCGTCTCTGTTCGCGCGAAGGGGTTGGGAATAGCCGCGTGCTAGCAACGTGCGATGAGGAGCGAATGAAAGGGAAGAAATGAGAGGGGAAAAAATCGCTTGACAGATCACAGACTACTAATTAAAAAACTCGGCATCGCGACGCCCTTGCTCGTTCCCGCGCGAAACGTTGCCCTTTCCCCTCCCATCTCTCCCTTTTCGCGAGCCAGCCGCATAAGAAACCTTTCGCCTTCTCCCTTTCATCACCCCATCACCATCGCCCATCTCGCTACCTCTTCTGGAGGGCACCGCATACCTCCCTCATCTAATAGCCAATGAGAGTTCTCTTTTTTCTACTGGATTTTCTGTGCGATCTTTTTCTTCCCTTTCGCGCGTTCACGTAGACCGAGGGTGCAAAAATATAGGGATCCAGCGTATGGTACGTTATCCTTTTCACAGCTTCCGCAAGCTTGGAAGAGAGGAGAGAAGAAAAGGATTTTTCACCGGTAAAGCTTCTTTGAAGGGAAATCTCTTAAACCGATTACTAATAAAAGTAGCGCATCATTTCACGTAAGATCTTAACGTTCATTTCAACTACCGCCTATATAAATCAGTTTTCAATTGTAAGATATAATTAGTAAAAATATGTTCTCTGCGAAATTTGGGCGAAGAATCAAAAAGCAAGTCATTTTTAAAGATTTTAGAGATTTAAATATCCGACAATTTCTAATAAGATGTTTTCTTATAAAATTTTTCCAAAAAAATGTATCACTTAATCAAATAACTCTTTATCGAAATGAAGAGTTATTTAATTTTTGCAATATTAAATGACGTAAAATTCAGCGTTTTTTCTCATTTATTTACTTAAATAAACATATGTTCGATGCAGTTTAATCTGCGATATTACGAGAACGCATAGAAAGAAATGTTATTTTTGTTTTCCGATATTCAGGTAAAATAACAGTTATATACGTAATTAAAACAATTAAAATAATTTGTATCCCCGCTTTGCAATATTTGCGCGTTCTTTTAAATTAATAAATATATCAAATAAATGTATTTCTTATAATCTAAAATATAATTTGATTGATTAGATTATAGTATTAAAGAATTTAATTTAACGTTAATTAATAAAGTGTATAGAATGATGGAAGATAAAAGTGTATCTTTAGCAGTAAAATAAGAATGAAAATAAATTTTATTTAAGTTTCTATTGATTAAAGGATTAAATGAGTTTGTCGGATGAAAAAGAAATAGATGTTATTAAAAAAAGATTAAGAATAGTGAAATAAAATGAATTGAACAAAAGCGATTTAATGTTACATTATTAATTAAAAATTCATCAGATTTCTCAGATTCGTTGGATAATTCGTAGTATAAAAGATTTAGATAATATACTCCAAATATGCCTAATTTCGCGAGCCTAATGAGGAAGTCTTTTTAATATTTTTAATATACGCATTTTTTCGTAGTGCTGTAAATCTTGAGACGTGGACGAAGCGTGGTAGACAAACTTTAAGGAACCTTCAAGAAGCAATTAAATCGTTATTCGCAAATTAAGTTTGATAATTCTGAGCGGGCTCTCTGAGAAGTGAACGAGAAGTGGAAGGGTTGCCCGGTTAGTTAAGGGATTGCAACCCGTGACTCGAACTTTGTAACTTTTCAGTCACTTTTCGTACAACTTTTCTTGTTAACATCGCGCGATTACAATTTTTTCATCCCGAGTATTCTCGATGAACATGCATAAAAGTACGTAACTGCATCTACGAATTAAATAGAATTAGCGAAGAATTATTATCGTATCGATTTAAAAAATAACGAGGGTATCGAACGTGTGAGAGGACTCGAGGAGAGAACCTTTTTTATTCGAGTAATTATCTTTATTAGACGTGCCTTATTAGTATTTATTACAAACGCTCAAACGTAACGAGCGCGATAAAAAACTTTATTCGCGACAATAGCAGCATATCCTATCTGTCATAGTGCAGCTCGGACACTCGCGATACGTGTGTCGTCGGGGAACATCCCCGCCGCACCCGAGAGAGAACTAGAGAGAGAAAAAGGCGAGCGGGGGCGAGAAAGGGACGGGGAAACAGTGGTCACGCCGGGTGCAGGGTGCATTGTAACGCGGCAAAAGAGAGTCCCTCGGCATTTTTCCTCCTTCTTCTCTTCCTTCTCTTACCTTTCTATCCTCTCATGTCCTTCGCATCCTCCTCGTCTCTCTCGTCTCCTCCCTGGGAGGGTCCTTCGGTCCTTCTTTCAAACGCGCGCCGACTTTGCCGCCTCGCAACCACCACGGTCGGCTCGTTTCCACCGCGCCTTTTTCAACCCCTTGCCCTCCCCCACCCCGCTCACTCCTCGCTCTCCCTCGCTGTTTTCCCGCGGCGCGACGTGGCACATTTCCCGCGGCTTTTCCTCGCTGAAATTGCGGAAGCGCCGTCAGATAGGAAACCACATGTTGCGGTTTTTCTCATTCCGTAACGCGAGATCCCCGCAGCCTCCTGCGCCCGGTAAAATCTAATGGAATTTTTTATCATCCCCGTTTATATATACTACTCTAGGGTTCTCTAATGAGAATCCGACAATGCTTCGACACGCGGGAGTGTCGATTCTTCCGAGACTTCCGCTCCTTTATCGCCATATCGTTGATCGTCATTGCACTTCAAACGAGTATTCTCGCGTTTAATTCGCGAGCCATTGTATGCTCTTTTTTTTTTGGGGGGGGGTTCATCGATTCTATCGCGAACGTGAAACTGGATTACGATTTTTATTCAATTCAAACGCGTTTTTATCGACATTCATATGTATACAAAAAGAAAAAAAATTTTAGTTTATTTCTCTGCGAATAAAAGTGTTATATTTTATGAAAAGGGAATACTAATCCTCGTTTTTTATTTAAGCAATTAATACAGATCGTTATTTTTCTCTAATCGTCATGAATTAAACGCCAATCTCGTAAAGCTCGAAATTTCTTAAAAGTGCGAAAATTGCGAGACACGATACGCTTCTCTATAATAAACTCCTGTCCATTTTACTTGCATCGATGCAAGATATAGCGCGCTATATTTTGTCCTCTCTCGCTCGAATCTACGCCTGTTCCGATTTCGAAATAATCCTCTCTTTCTCTTTCGCCGCACTTGAACGATTCCTCTCTCACGCTCTACCTCTCTCTCTCTATCTCTCTCTTTTAAATCTCGCGCGTCCGTCTTCGTCGCACGCGCGCGCCCCCTCCCGGCGCGCTCCCCTACTCCGTACTCCAAACCGGCGCTCGCTTCAGTCTACTCTGAGTCGCCGCGCGCAGTGGTCGGAAGTTTCTTCGCCGGTTTCGAATCGTGCTACGTCGCCCGTTTGTGCATTTTTATCTCTATACGCGATACGGGACCCGCGTGCGATAAAGAGACGCGATTCTCGGCCTTGGAAATTCGTGTGAGAAACGATCGCGACGAAACGAACGACGATGATGACGGATCCGCGGGGGTGATGATCTGGCATCGCGTTCCGCGCGAGTGCATTGCTCTCGATCCGGCGAAGAAACGAGAATCGGCAGTGACGAGTGTCGCGCGTTCGATCGTTCTTGTACATCGTTGTTGATTGTGACTGTTTTCCTCGGCGCCGCCTCTGTCATTACATCGCATTACTGCGCATTACAGCCCTGCCACGTATACACGGATACGCGGGATCGTCAGGATCATCATCAACGGACAGGACGGAGTCGCCGGACATGGACTTCGTAATATTGAAGGTAGGACATTTCTCCCGAAAGCGTACTCCGAGATCCGCGCCAATTTCACAGTGCATGAAAAAGAGATATTGTCGATCGCCTTGTATTTTTCTTCCTTTTCTCGCGTCTTTTTTGCTCTCTCGAAGCGCGCCCACACATGCGCTAGTGTCTATTCGGAAAATATTATCGCCTCGTTATCCTGCTGTTCGGCTCCAGTTTTCGAAAGCTCCAACTTTTCAATTTGTGGCGCGAATTTTCGGAAGCGCGCGCATACACGTACGCACATACAAAGTTCACTTGTCCTACTCGGAGGATATTATTTAATAATTGAATAGATTTAGTAATAGTTTATTATTAATTGAATAGATTTAGCAGGATATTACTAATTGAATAGATTTATTCATCATAAATCAATTTTCAAATTGTTTTTAAAGTCGTAAAAAATGAAAGAATAAAGTGAAAATGTACTAATATTCCTCGTAGAAAATTTCGAATATCGTTGTTCTGTGACATGAGTTCTCGAAAGCGCGCCAATTTTCCACGTCTACGCACACATGCGTACCTGTGTAAAAAGTTTCATATTCGGAGAATATTCTGTTGCAGTATAATAAACTAAGCTCGAGATATCGCGGCATATAAAGAAATCGTTTGTCCTACTTTGGAATGTTTCCATTAATCGTCATTGCTCGTCTTATTCGAGAGATCATATTGTACGATGTTATTTAATGTACTGTTTACATTATTCATATATCCCATACGACTCATATTATTTAATGTACTATTTATTATTTATATTATTTACGCTATTGATATATTAATTATTAAATATATTATTAATAATATATTATTATTGATAATATATTTAATAATTTTTGCCTATTATTGTCTATTATTTTGTACTATCTCTAGTACACATAATGTGTCGAGATAAAAAAGTTTCCCCAAGTTTGTGAAATTTGCGAGAAACTCGAATCGTCCCTTGTGATCTTTCAACGAGCAGACGCGCAACAAGAGTGAGCTTTTTCGTGGAGGGTAAAAAACAGCACGTTGTATTCTCGAGTATTCATCGCGCCAAACGTGCCTTATCCGCATCCATATCATGGTTCTTGAGACGAGTCGTGCACTCGGCCTGTGCAGTGTGTAGGAAGTTACGAACATGTTACGCGAACAAAAACGAGCAATCCACTCGTTAACTCGTTTGTATCGTGCCTGGCAACGCGATATCGAGCTTCGACTCGATTACTATCAAAAATAATCAGTAAACTTTATTCGCTCCGAGCATTCTTTTATGAATTGCGTGTACTTTTTAATGATTTTATTTATCAGAATTTTACACGAGGAATGTTAGTACATTTTAATCTTATTCTTTCATTTTTAACAATTTTATAAACAATTTGAAAATTGATTTATGATTAATAAATCTATTCAATTAGTAATAAATCATTAGTGTTTTTATTTATTATAGTTTTGCATAAATTGCAGGAATGAATATTAATACATTTTTTCTGTATTTTATGCTTTCATTTTTAACGATTTTATAAATAATTTGGAAATTGGTTTATGATTAATGAATTTATTCAATTAGTAATAAATTATTAGTTTTTATTAGTTTTTATCAAAATTTTGCACAAGGAATATTAATACTCATTCTCATTTTATTCTTTCATTTTTAATGACATTGTAAATAATTTAAAGATCGATTAGTAAATCTATTCAATTAGTAATAAATAATTATAAATAATAAATTTATCCATGTTTTGCATAATATTTATATATTCTCATCTTGCATAATATTAATATATTTTTTCATTTTTTGATTTTTAACCATGTATGAATAATTTTAAAATTGATTTTTATATAAAAATACAAATCGCGCGCAATCGTAGTACATTTCGTAAATTAATGCGAATGAAAGGGAAATATACACGGTATCGTATTGAAAAAATTGCGTTAATTAATTGGATAGAGAGACACGTTAGCTCTCGGTACAATTTTATTTTAAAAAATAGCTCGCGATAGAAATGCGATTTACGCGGGAATCGATATAAATTGAGATAGGAATGTACAAAGCGTTACATTGAAATCGCATTAAGCTACATAGTGAGTTAATAATGCCGTTTCCCGATGTATCCCGCGTATGTGTTAAAGGCCGGGCGCAACCGTAGACAAGAACGAAATCGATTAAGCCCTGATCACATCCATTTCCGTGTCCTCCGTCGTGTCGCGATTTGAATAACGGTCGTTGGATGACAATGTCTATTCGGCGAGATTACATTTTAACACGTTATAAATGCGCGTCCGCGCAACGTTTACGTTTCGAGAGCGTAACCCCTCGTACCGATGGTCGACACATTACGATGCATTTACATCGCGAGTAATAATACACATGACGTTTATAGACTCGTGGTCCAGACGCAAATACCGCACCATTAAGCGACTCGCTGCTATTGGCGCGTCGAATAAGCTCCGAAAACGCGTCGATATATAAAATGAATATTTGTACAACATATTGCGCAAATATCGCGCGCGCGTGTTATGTCAGATCCAATATATCCGCGAAATTCGCCGAGAAAAGCCCGGATACTTATTTACCTTTGGCGTGCTGAAAATTGACACGATCCGCTCGAAAACTATCTCTCCACGTTATATATTTTGCGGCGCGCAGGTGCAGTTACACGCGTTTACACGGCGGAGAAATATCGGACGAAATTACTGTGATTGATGCATTTCGATGAAAATTGCAGGAATTCACTGGAAAGCGCGCGACTCGCGGTTAAAATTGTCGTATTTTTCTACGAGGTCTCTCTCGCATATATCGAAAGTAATCTTGCGTTATGCGAATTCGATTGAATTTCTACGAGGCGCGATAATTAAGTATAATTAATTAATATATTCGTAACGTTAAATGTTGCGCGAGTATAGATTAATGAATTTGCGAAACATTTTAAAAAGGATATATTAAAAAGATACATTAAAAATATAAAAATTGATCGAATAATTAAGATGTTTGATGTATATGATACGAGATAATAAATATATATAATTGAAATTTTTTTAAAATAAATAATATTTTTATATTAATATTTTTATATTAATATGTAGTTGATTCTTTATACAGTAAACGTGTAATTTTCTACAGATACAATCGTTTCATAAGTAGTAATGAATAATTATTAATTAATAATTGTAATATTATATTTTTTGATATAATATTTTTTTACATAATTTACATGTTAACACACTACTTAACGTATTAAAAATTTATTTCGTATCATTTCATGTCGTTCATCTTAATTCACTACGATCTTTAGCAAGTTGTAGAAATTCTCGTTTCTTTTATTCCACTTCTTTTCGGACTCGAGATGCGGATCTTTGCGTTTAAGTATTTATTTCCTTCGTATAAAAAGCTAAGATTCAATTGCGGTGAATGGACGCGGAGTACATTGCTCGGAAGGAGATTAAAGCATTAAAACAAACATATATCACACAACGAAAAAACAGGCTAATGAGAAGCTAGTGCAGAAAACGGAATAAAAAAGCAGAATCTTTACAAAAAATTCTTTCGTAATTAATAAATAATAAATCTTTTATATAAATTCTTTAATAATTAAAGAATTTTAAAAAAAATTTTAACTTTATTGGCGTTCTAATATTTTTTTACATCAGGTTCTCATTAATCTTTTTTTATTTTTATTGTTCTCAAAACAAGCGATCCATGCGCATCGAAAGCAAATGTTTTCAATTTGTTATATGAACTATGAGACGAGAGAAGAGGTAAATATGATTTTATCGTATATCGCGTCACAGAATTAAATGTTCTCCGCCAAGTTAAAAGGTCAGATCGTTTACGCTTTGTCTCTTATCCGCTATCCTATCTATTTACCTTTTTCTCTTTAATTCTCTCGGATACATCTATGTAATTACTATCGACCGAATGAGGCAACGTTCCAGTTATGGCCGTGTGTCCCGTTGGAATTTCGCCATGGTGAACATCTGCATTTTTGCATGGCGCGTTTCGCCCTTCCGTTTTCGCGCCGCCACTGATGCGTATTTCATGGAGATAAAGCTGGTCCGGTCAGTTTCAGTGACATTTCATAATTTTTGCCTCGTGCAATCTGCGAATAAAATATTTCTGGCGTGCGAGCTTGAAACAGTGAAAAATTGTGTTGAATCTGTTTGAAAATATCGAAGAGAGAACGTATAGAATATATAGACATTTCGACTCGAAATGTATCACTTTATATTTAGTTATTCGACAAAAAATGAAATATTTTATTTCTGAAGAATAAAATAATAATCGGGGTTATATTTTAATACATTGAGATTATAATTAAAATGCAGTTTGAAATATAACTTTAGAATTCATTAATTAGCCCTCGTAACGCTGGGTATGTTTAATATTTTTACTCCAAACTTTCAACATAATTTTGTTTGTCGAATGTCAGATTTCGAGAATTTTAATTTTATAATGTTTATAAATATTTTTTTATGTGTATATCATTAAAGTGATATAATTCCAGCAAGTGTACTACAGTTTTTGCGAGATATTTATAATTTTTCTGTTCTTGCATGAAAAATTTGTAGAAAAAATATAATTTATGTAACATTTATTCTATAAATTTAAAGACAAATTTTATAGAAACAATTTGTAATGATATAATGATTCAATATAATATGGATAAAGGATGAAAGTTTAATTGCAATTACTATCTAATTCTAAATGACATTGATTGATCATCCGATGCATCCGGTGGCATGTTTCAAGTTACTGTTTCGAGATCGCACGTAACTCGATTAAGTATTACGTATTTTCTTCAGTGGCTTTCGATTTTATAGATATTTTCGGCGCATCCGTCGCGGCGAATCGCTTTGCGATACCAATGCATACTTCATTTTCAAAGGTGCCACTCCCGGATATAACCGCGGAAGTTGGTCGTGTCGTCAGCGTTGGCGACGATACCTCTTCGGTGAGAGTTCGCGAATCCTCCTTGCAAACTTCTCCCTGTGGTTTATGCGAACGG